CGTTGCGCAACGTTGCTGCAACGCTTGCAACGTTGCCGCAATGAGGAGCTAAATTTGCGATCAGTGTAGCTGAGTCACCATTATGATGAATACCATCATTTAGTCGTTTAGATACTTTCTGACATTGGGGACAATCTTCTGTCGTTAGAGGGACCCTTAGGAGTTGTCCAGTCATTGGGCATTTATTAGCAGGAGACGGGTGTTTCCTTTCCGATTGGTCGATTTAGGCTTTCCCATTGGTCGATTTAGATTTCATATTCATTACGGTGTGAGCTGGGAGGTGGCAGGCCCATTGCTTCAGGCCCATTACTTCTTGCAGTCATTTGCTCATTGGTTGTGTGCAGTCATTGGAGCTTGAGATTCTGTGCTGTGCTTCTGGCATGTTTTTGGCCGAGTTGGATTCTGCAGTCATTGGTCGAGTTGGATTCTCCAGTCATTGGCATGCACAGTCAGCCATCGTTTGCCAGTCATCGGAGGACAGTCCCCCTGATTACTCTTCAGCCTTGAGATTCTGGTCATTATTGAGCTCTTATTTAAGTGCACCTACACAGAGGCTTTGCCTTGAGGAGATTAGGGTTTGGAGAGAGAGTCCCGAGCGTCGCCACTGTCCAGAAGCTTCGCACTGTGCTGTACGCTTTTGTGGCGGGCGTGCAGTACAGTGCCCCACCTCTCTCCTCTTCGGACCCAACGTCTGGACAAAACTTTGCCGCATGTAACTTGAAGGCAGCCAACTTGCTGCAAACCTCCAAACTCCACTCTTAATTTGGACCAAACGTCCCCGGGCCAAGCAACATACATTTTGTAAAACCTTGTCGCAGACTGCCTACTCCACTTGCGGTGATTGCCCCCAAACCGAATGATTGCGGCCCGTCGCGACTGCTTACCCAATACACTGCGGGATGCAGTGCAGGATAAACTGCAAAAGTTATAGACCTAGCACTTTGAGCATGCTTTCGACAGACCTCCCTATTGGAAATTGGCGATTTCAAACTGACAATGTAAATGAATGGCACGCACCGTACTATGCAAACCAAAATCTATTCTGGAATCCGAGCGCCACCTCTACTACTATACCTCTGCCGGCTGGCCTGCAAACGAGCATGAACTCGCATGGTGACCGGTGCAAACATGCATATGACTAAAATGCTAGTTTGAGACTTAGTAGATGCTCTACATGCTGAATATCACAACACTTTGTGCGCTTAGGGTTTAGATGGACGACTATGAATAAGCTACGTAGGTCCTCTTGATACAAATGGTGCACCTTGCTTGTCTGCGCGTGCTGTATTCACCGCATAGTACTCAGTTGGCAGCACATTTATAGGCCTTCGATAGTGATCCCCGTGAAAGTTGCACCTTACATGTTGCAGACGGTGACGTGAGCCACTTCTAAGTAACTTCAGTCTCGCATCGGACTCATATTGGGCGATCACGAAAGCAATCCCAATGGCTTGCTTCTACTCGAATGCCTCTGTAGTCCGCCTTTATGGACGTACAAAACACGTGGCAGTACCTACTCGATACCTTGTTTGGCACCAGGGTGCATGCACATGCGCAAGGGCGCCATGAAGTTGAGGCACCTCCGATCCGCCACGGGGGATGCGGCGCGCAGCCGCGGCACAGGCATTGGCATCTGCAGTACGAGTCTCCGGCTACGCAGGCGTTGCAACTGCTCCTCTAGAACTTACCAAAGGCCCGGTCTTACAAGGGCCCCTAGAGAAGAATTGGAAAACTAAGTTGGAGTAGAAGCCTTATATTAGAGACAATGTAAGTTCCTTTTGCCTCGAACCAGTAGATAAGTTGAGGTGACTTTATATACATAGTAGTTAACTATTCAATCAGGAATGAGGTAGCATGTCATGTACAACCATGTTGCTAGAAAGTGCTTGGTAACTAGAGTAGAAACATTTTTTGATGAAGCCCGAACTCCGAAATTGCTCATGTTTCTGCGCCATGGGCCCAGGTGCCTAAGCGTGTATAAAAAGAAGTGACCATCGTTTGTCTGATCGTCACTCCGAGCATGCAGCAACTGGCAACTTTCGAGATGCTGTCTTCATGCTAGTCTAATTAGCCGGCAATCCAAGCGCGGCATCAGTATAGGCCGTCATGGTTTAAGAGAGGCTCAATAAGCTTCGGACGATTGAAACGCCGAATCCCTACGTCAGATCGGACCCGATTTTTATTACAAGACATGCATCCAAGCTTTCTAAATGTCTACACGTTCACACTACAGCTTCACATATAGGTAGGTGCCTTACAGATACACATGATGCAAACATGCTGCAGGATGAGATTGGACATCGTTGTCGCAGAAGCATTTTTGTTGGTATTCAGCAAGCTGCACATACATAAGAGACTGCAAATACGAAGTACAAATGCTTGCGTACGGTAGTCTGCGAGATCAACTTGCCATGCAATCAGCGGGCTCGAAGTCATTCCACGTTGAGGCAATTGGATGAGATACATTAACTCAATGTGCTCGAACTTATCCTTAGAGCGCATTACATATGAACCGGGCATCAGTCAGCACATCTTTCAAAGTGAGTCGATTGTGGCCGCCAAGTAGATGGTCAAATAGACTGCCAGTGTTAAGCTCGGTGTGATTGTTGAAGAGCAGTCGGTCCAAGTTGTGGTGACTGACTAAGTTGCAGCTGATGACTACGCGGATGTGATATGGGCAAAGCAGAATTGAGTCCTAACGTCGGGCCTGTCCACCTATCGTACATATTGCCAAAATTCGAACGCGGTGACTAGCACCAACTGATGCTGGTTGCGAAAACTACAGTGACTGATAGCAAAGCGCTAGCTTACACTAGTTACAGACCCCTCGTACTACAGCGAGATCCGTCAGTAGGCTGTGACAAAGAATAGCATATAGCTGAGGACTAATCCTCAAGACTGTCTTGAACTTCCGAACTCCCAGTGGTCAAGTAGATTAACCTACTACTTTTGCCTATGCTACACCCTCAACAGTTTGCCAAAGAAGACCGTCTCCTCTGGCAGTCGAAGTGACTGCGGTCCAAGAATCCTTCCGAATACGACAAGCGCTCAGCCCATAACTCCAACGTTCACAATGGGAACGACACGAGGTACTAAAGTAACGCTCTCAAAAACTGACTCTGCAACTCGCCGAAAAAGGGATCACCCTTGCGTTCCGAACTACTGCCACCAAGGGGAAAACGAAAGGATGCCGATTCCCGGCACCACCCATCATTGTCCAAATCTCGAAGCAAAGAACTCCTTGAGAAGAGGCTGGACCTTCTTCCGTGACGCTGTCAGGCACGTTTGATTGTAAACCTTGGAAAAGTCGGGAAATCCCGCTGCAGGATTCGCTGTGAGCCTCAACCCCGCATCTGGCGATGCCAGGAACTTGGCGATGTCCCTGACGAGGGCCTCGTCGTCAGCCACGATGGCAATCTGGCGCTTGAAGTTGCCCATGACGTCATAGAACATGGACATGATGACGAGGACCTCCAGGTCATGTTGCGCTGCAAAAGAAGTCGACAGCCCTCGTAAGTCTCCAATCCGTTACAAGATGATCTGGTCTTTCCTATTGAGCAGTCTTCTTTGGTGCAAAGAAATCCGTCTGTCATTCCCAAGTTGAGTGAAGATGATCGATAAGATGATTCTTAACATGAGAGCCTTCGATTCAAAACAAAGGGAGAACTGAAGTAGTCGTTTGAGGCAAGCAGATTTTGCTCCAGAAACGCAAGGAAAGAGGTAAGCGGGGTTGATCAGTTGCTCACCTGCAAACGATTTGACCTCCGATTTGAAGTCCTTGTCCTTTGATGCCATCTTCCGGAGAGGCAGCCCCACAGCACTGATCCCCACATTAGCGTCAGGGGCCATCAGCCACTGCTTGTAGTCCTTCCGCAGAAGGTCTGCCGTGCTAAGACCTGATTGATCGAAGCGTTTTGCCCTCACTGCAAAAGCCGGCAGGCAACTATTAAAAGAGGAGCCAAAGGCAAGGACATAGCGTTGGAAGAGGTGGCCAGGCTGTTAGAGCAACTGTTGTAATCTGCTCACACTGACTTGAGGTCTTATGTTTGATCCCCAGTGGGTGACAACAGAGAGATGCAAACTTGCAGGGCCTGCCAGTGATCCAGAAGTACAAATGACGACATCAGCGACAACCCTTCCAAAGAGTGAAGATTGCGGAAGATACTCACGGAGCTCGAACAGGCCGTAGCGCCCCAGAGTCCCTGCTCCGTTGACCAATAGAGCCGCCATGATCTCGTCTGATTCGGTGCTTCGGCCCACTGTGTCATCGAGGTTGGAAGTGTCGAGAAGAATTGCTGAGAGCAGAAGCTTGCTCAGGCCCCGTCCTTGGAGCAGCTCTGGCGCTTGCTCGGAGATGCGCTCCGCGACGAGTGTGCAGCAGGAACCAACCTGCAGACACCATCAAGTTGCCGTTAGAAGCCCTTCGAGCGACGCAGTACAGTTGACACAAACACGAGCATAGTGCGCTCGAGTGAAATACTCTTTCCAATCAACTTTGTTCACAATTGCGTGAGGCTTGCTTCATTGGATATAGACTGCAAATTTTTGGAGCAGAAGAGTTAGAGAACTCACTGGCTCTATAAGTCGTTCCTCCACCCAGGGATACAAACCCTCCGGCTCATGATGGTCAACGATTTCAATGACAGATCGATGCAGGTGCTCCTGGCTGCGCGCCAGACGGTTGTGATCGACCAAGACCAGCCGCAATCTTCCGCTTGAAGAAAGCGCGTCAAGGTCCACTTCGTCCACAAAAAGAAGGGCGTCCAGATCCAGTCCCATTGTGCTGCAAGAGAATTGGCCAAAGAAATATAAGCAAGCCAGCAAACAGAAGGATCTGCCTTCCATCCTAATTGCAAGAATTGATGAGGAATGTGCTTGCAGAGGAATATGCTTGCCAAGGGATCGCTGCCAAGGCCCCTCTTGGTTGCAGCCAGATGCAAGCAGACACGCTTCACTGAAGTTTGTCCAGGCTGTGAGCCCATGCTTCGTTTCTTCCTCTCCTAGGATCTTCATACCTGAAAAGGTATGCTGCTTCTGTTCTCAGGGGCAGGTCTCTCCTTGGTATGTTTAGCAGGGGCACTACCACAGCTGAGGAAGGACTCCTGGTGGCCTCCAACAAACGTGCGTAAGCAATCGCAGAGACCATCGAATCCAAGTCTGCCGCTTCATTGCCCAGTACAACCGTGATGGGAGTGTTGTTGGCACGATCCTCAAACCTGCACACATTGATAAAAGGATCAGCGCTCAGGAGCAAATTTTGCCAGATAAGAGTCCTTGATTTGTTCCTGAATGTGTACTAGTGCTCATCCCTGACTCTAGGCTTTGGAATCCGATGGAAATGCGAAGTGCTGATCAACTTATTCTTGGCAGAAATAATTGAACCGTCCTAGAAACAAATGGGTTCCCTGCTGACATGTTCTCACAATGACATACTAATATACAATGTTCTCACATGCTAAGATACAATCAGAGTTCCCACTTGTAAGACCAAACCACAGCAAAAAGATACTCAGTGCTGGTGCGACCAACTCACCTGTATCTGCTCTCCCGCAGGAACACATTCAGATCTTCCACTCCTGTGTCAAATCCTGGGGACAAAACTTCCAGCTCTGGCTCAAAACCAGACACTGAGCACGAGTCCGGGGTAGAAGGCTCTGATTCGGAAGGGAAGGCATCATGGTCGGATGGTGAGGAGGAGGCAGCTTCGGAGCTTGGCGATAGTAATGGTGACTCAGGAGGTGAGTATCTATCATATGGGAGGTTGAGATCAGATTGGAATGGAAATGGCGAGCTGTTCGGGGAGAAGAAAGGGTCCTCAGAGCCATCCTCTGTGCTAGTGCACAGGAAATCTGATTCAGAGGGTGATGGAGACAGGGAGGGCCCTGCTTCAAATGCTGATTCTGGTGTTTCTGCTGATGTGCGCAAGCCAGGTCCCTGCAAATTCGACATCAGCGGCATCAGCACTCAGTTTGGTGACACCAAGCTCCAAGGCACCTTCAATTTAACCTTCGCTCAAATACAGCTTCAAAGAAGCATCTGATTTTTTTGGCCACAAACAGGACACGAGACTTGATCAAAGAATGTTCACACAAAGTTACATATATCCTGTTGAATTGCGAAGGTAATTCTTTCTGGAAGTTAACGGCACATATTGAAACGACAAAGGCAAGAGAAATGTGCAACTTGGTGAGCAGACTGTTCACTAATGGCGCACCTGCTGAGCATTATGGATTGCCTTCAGCCATTTCAGGCTTTGATCCCCCTGTGCAGCAGGCTCTACCCTACTGCCAGCCCGCTTCCCAGCCGAGCTACCCGATCTGATCCTTGCGCTCAGTCGCCTGAACATTGTTCCTGATGCAAGCCCCGACAATGTGGCCAGCTGCAGGCTTCCCTGATCGCCCAAAGGCGTTGCAACAGAGTTCACACTAAAGATTAAACCTCTTCCACTTCCACTGCGAGCCCACTTTGCGGCAACCGCTGCCGCCGTCCAAGCCAGCGTCTCTGCACTCAATCCAGCAAGTAAGGTCCCTCGCGGACACGGCCACCAAACTTCCTGGAGTAATGCAAGGGACACCACCTCCAGTCCTTGTGGTCAAAGCCAGGCCACTGCCAAACGCGGTGGAACTACCTAGTCTTCCTCACGAAGGATTCAAACAAATGTGGCCGCCCGGATCAGCACGATCGATCTTCTCCTGTACCGAGTAGGTAGGAATGTAGGCCGTCACTGCACAGGGCACTGATCAAAACCACCGGCAGCGGAGAACACTCGCGAGTCGCTTTGCTCGGACAGGCGAACTGGATCTGGTGACTGGATGCACAGAACTCGCCTGCCCAGTGCCAATGAGTCTGAGCACCAAGATCGAGGCTGGTGTCAGTGGTGAGAGTGTCGTGCTGATTCCTGAACTCATGTCAGGCCCCGTCAGCCCACATCAATTACAGGTGGAGGCACCTACGGTAGTGGCAAATGGTACCGGTACGGTACTACTCACTGTAGTACAAAGTACCTACGTACTGTACCTTCTGGCAAAAAGAGTAATTCGATAAAGTACGCGCGTTCAGTACCGTGGGCCTGGGGGACGCGTATGGCAGCCTACTTATAGCACACGACTGATAGGACAAAATGTTCACCTGCATGCTGTGACGTACCTAGGTAAGTTTGCCCGAATTAAGCTCTGAACGATTCGCTCATCACCGGCAGGATTTTGTCGTGGTGTCAGTTGCCACTGTCAGAGCGATCGAATATGCTCTTTCCTGTTTCCAGTAAGATTTTCAATGAGCATATTCTATGCTGTTTAATAGTGTCCAACTTCTCAATTCCGAAGGCGTTCTGTGTAAATTACTTGTTCCGGCGTCGAAGTCCGGGACAAAAACGCCTGAAGGTTAGCGATAACGCGGAGGTTGAACAAGGCTGGCGCCGCCAGGCAGATTGCTGGCTACGGTACCTATCCCGCAGTTTCAAACCGCTCAAGAAGTTGAAGCAACCCCCACGTTTGTCCAATCCCCGCAGGTTTGTCGTTTAGGGGCGGCTTTTACGCCAGCCTTGGGTGGCACCCCTGGCTTCAGCAATTATTGATGTCGAGGAGCTGGGATCTCCGTTATCAACGGGGGATCAGGGGTTCAGAACTTGCTGACATGGCGTTCGTGCACCACACTCCAGATCTCACATGTGCATTGTGGCGTCCACATGAGCACGCTTTTTGTCGGCAAGTCGCAAGTACATAGATACGACAAAACCAGGTACCGTAAATTGCTATCACTCCGTTCGATCACTCCAGGTACCGTATAGGTACCCTGTGCAGTCGATCGTGGACCGTGTTTGTACTTCCTACCGGTCCCAAGGGTCGTCGCGACCTCAAATGTGACCACCCTGTCACTGCTTTGAATCTGATCCTGGGACCGTATTTGCAGTCTTGACAGAAATCTGGATCTTGACTCGGTCCGATACCTAATGATTAGGAGCTAGGTAATCGATTACCGGTACTAGGTAGGCAGGTACTAGGTAGTAGGTGGGTACCTGGGCCCTGGGTACGCCACGGTACACATAACCATAAAGTTTAATAACTATAAGGTACGTTCCGTAAAAGGAATTTCTTCAACCGTAGAGGACTACTGTACATGTAAAGCCCCGGGCAACACTAAAAACCTAGGGTAATGTGACCGACAGACCCTAATGTTACTGGGAAGTGCCCGGTTGTCATCCGGCTGCTTGCGACATCGAGACCCTAATGTCAGAGGGAGGGCCTGCGTGTCACCCGGTTGCTTGCGAGACCCTAATGTCCCAGGGCAGGCCCGGTTGCTTCTCGGGTACGCACCGCGCAGCGCGGGGTACGACCGCGCAATCATTAAACGTACAGTCCTCTTACGCAATACAATACCTTATAGGTCACATTGCCTTATAGGTATTAAACTTTATTTATATCGGTACTAGGTACCTAGGTACGTACTGCCTACCGTGGTACGAGAACGAACGTCCCTGATTGTGGAATTCCATACCACGGTAACATTTGTGGTTAGCGGACAGTAAAACCCCATGCACAACGTGACCTTCTCCGTATCCGAAAGCACCCTAACTCCATACTAACCTTACTTGCTTTCGTCGAACTCCCTTGGTACCCGTTAGTGTACCTACCTCATCAATACTGGTACTGCTCAATGCTCAGAGTTTACCTAGTACCGTACCTAGGTACTCCAGCTCCAGACTCCAGAGTCCAGAGTCCTGACTCCTCAGTCGAGTGACTATGCCTCAATGATTGCTACGAGAAACGATACTCTACGCTTTTGGCGGTGCGTGCGAACGATCGACGGCGCGAAACCTTGGCTCAGTAGCAAACATGCATGTACGGTACAATCCAACGGATACAAGCCCGCACGTTTTCTTGGTACCGTAGTTGCAACCTGCACGATGCAGATTCCAGACGCAGCGGATAACATTGTAATGATTGTCGTTGCATGAAATTGCAACTTTCCCGTAAACGGTACCTACCTACTAGGTACCTAGGCTACGGATACCGTACGGTAGGTACCGCAAGTGAAACGAGTGCGCGCTGCCAGTGCGCGCCGCGCCATGCAGGCGGTCGCGGCCGGTGAGCGGCACGTGACTGTCTGAGGACTCGACTCCTCATTTAAATACTTTACAAATCAGCACTTCCAACTTGGACTAGGGTGACAAGATCATGCATCCCCATAAGTCAATAAGTTGAGCGTATTCTGCTCGAGCACATGAACCTGTACTCAGGACATGATCAAATTGTCGTAACACATATGGATTCACATGATGTGACAGCCAAAACTAGTTTTGGGAAACCGGCCTTCAATATACATATAGATTCGTGACTTCATCGTAACCGACGCGCGTCAGGATATCAGACTAAATATCACAATCTTGGCACAATTCTTTACAAATCCAAGCTGTGCAGTCTACTAGGGCTCTCTGCAATCCGGTCTGCATCTGTCTGCATTCCTTCACTTCAGTTACATCCTGGCAGCACATGTACCGCGTGTACGCTAACACGTTTCTAGATTTTGCAAATTCGAGTGGTCTAATTCTGCTCAGTGTACGTATGGACGGACTCAAGATCGTTCATTGCGTGGATCAGCAATCATAAACATTGTATGCCATGAGAAGCCAATGGCCGCACATGCTACGGCGTGTCAAAAGAGACCATCAGCCTTGCATACGCATCTTGGCACGTGCACGAATTCGATGGTACTTCGAATTCCATGTTTCAAGGTCACGATCAGAGTCTCATTGCCGAGATGCGATAACGGCATACAATTTTTGCAGTCAACCTCGTTAGTAAACATACCTACAAGCATTTGAGTTCGAGCTAGTCCTTTGCCGCATGTGCACACTGCAAGTCCCTTGAAGCAAAATCCCGCATCATTATGTCTGATTTGATCACATCATCACGTTTCTGATTTTACTGCCCCTGACGTAAAACCAGATTGATGAAATAGAGAGCACCATTTGCTGGATCTACTTCTATTCGCAAGTGAAGGCTGACATTTGGATGGCGTCACCTGACTCACAGATGGTGTACATTGGTTTAAAAAGATATCGCTTGACAACGAAGAACAATTAACATTTACAATTACTTGCTACAAATCGCTCAGACCTCCAGGATTCTCAAGAGCAATGCAGATAGAGTGTATTACCTTAGCCACCCATAACGAACCTCGACGAGTGCAACAGAACGCATGTAACAAACCTTCTTTTTCTTCAATTATATGTAGCAACGGAACCCGTTCACGGGCCTGCATTGGGAAGCACAGAACAGACCTTGTCAAGGGGGTCATAGTCGTCCGCTGCCCACGGTTGCTGAGCATTTGCATGAGCAGATGCTCAAGCCGATGACCGAAGTTGTCCAGAAATCGAGGAGCAACGACAACTTAGTGCAATCGGCAACATTCCCATGCCCAAAAAGTCCGTCCACACGGTATGCTACGTCATTATGCGTTATTCTTCCGTGTGCCCGCGACAATCGCAAGCCTACTTTTCAACGTAAAGAATCCATGAACGACAATCGTAGCTCGTACCGAACCAACAAGCAATAAAATAGTGCACGTTTGTCTTAGAGATAAGCTTGAGACAAACCGGATAAAAGCCGACAAGCCTAGAAGCCCCGTCTGAATCCTGAAACGGGTCTTCACGACTTTGCATCATGTTCCAACTACTTCACCATGCTCAAGAACCGACCCGCCAATCTTGGCCGCAATCGATCGAAATCGTAGCACTTTTGAAACCTCAGCTCCAATTCCAAGAGGCTAGTTTGGTGCAATGGAAAAGGCAGACTAAGTTAAGCTGAGCTGAGATCCGTGAAGGGTCCCAAGAACCGGTCAGGCTCTTGGAGCAGGCTGCCTTGCATACTGCAAACTCAAAAAGGGAAGCCCCTTTTACAATGTCAATGATCGATTTTAAGTGCTCAAAGAATTCAGGCCCAAAAGTTCTGGACTGCATGATAAGAATGTTTGAGATGATTGGCTCGGCTCACCAAGTCGGAGAGGCTTATTGGACCCCAGTGATCGTCGGCTCCAAACAGTAAGGCAACCTTTCCCTTCTGACTGTCCAGAAATTCCCAGTCAGGGAGTTCCAACCTTGCAAACTAGCAACCCGAAAAAGAGTGCTGTATTGGTCAAGGCGTCCTTCTCCTTTCACATCAACATGTTCAACGGATGCACCCCTCCAGTGCAAGATAATGACGCAATGAGTTGTCAAATTCACCATTGGCAAGTGTTCGGAGTTGTGAGAACGCAAAAGAACTGAGCACGCCTCCTATCGTGTACACGCTACGCTTGCAGCATACTGAGCACCGCTTTCCACTTAAGGGGAAGCCGGGCAGAGGGGGCGACTTCACCAAGCACCAAACAGAAGAGAGTTGTTATACTAGACGGTCGGGGCACAACTCACTGTTTCGAACTCGGTAGCACCCATGTACACGTAGTTAGCCGCCACATGGTGCTGCACGACAAAGTGTACAAGCCCTTCAGGTCCACGATGCAATCGGATTGAGTAAGTAGCAAGGGTAGCTGAACAAGCGAACGAGCGTCGATCTTAGGTCTAAAAACTCCTCATACCAGATGTCTCACTCGAAACATGAACTGAAATTTGGACACTCCTTGCCCCGGCAATCTTGCCGGTTCTTAATCCCCGTGACGTCTGTCGGGGACGATCTGTCAGGCCCCGACAGATCTTCGGGCCTGCTTCGGTGGACGGTAAGAGGCATCAGAACCTTCATACAGCCGTCCCAAGTCTCGCCCGTTCCGATTGCAAATTTAAAATCTAGAGGCGAGATTGGCAGGTCATAAGACAGGCGACCAGTTCAATTATCACAACGACTATCCACTCGTGGCAATAAGACTGCTTTAAAAGTAAGAAAGCTCAAGAAAAGTCAACAGAAATCCAACCTAGCAAAGGAAGGGCAGCTTCACAGTCTCGTCTAAGCTCCCGAATTCGTTCCAAAAGATCGATCGAAGCCCCGCAGACTCTCTCAAACTTGTCGTACCATATTCGGTTCCAAGGTCGCAAACCCCTGGGCATCACGGGTGCAGGTAAGGCCCCGACCTGGCACTTCGGGCAGCAAATGGACAACAAGTTGCTAATCAACCCCAGCCCTGAAACAAGCATCTAAGGACCAATGGTTGTCGTCAGAGAAACGAGTGGCTTGCTCACGGTCAGCATGTACCGGCGAGTGACGTCGATGGCTGGCTGGTCCCAGGCCTTCCCAATCGTACTTCGGAGCAAAGCCATTTGCAGACTGGCTGGGAGGAAGCCCAGAGTACCGGCCAGGGTACTGAATGCTAGCCTCGCCGGATAGAAGCGCGTCGCTCTCCCGAGGATCTTTTGCTCTGATGAATCAAGATTGAGCTGCAAGAAGGTAAGCGGTGTACTTCAAGATATTGCTTCAGAAACTAAGATGAGAGGAGGGACGAATATGCGAGAGCTCGCAGCTCGTCGAAGGTGCCGGGGCATGAGCAGAGAAACATCCCCAAAACTTCGGACGCTATCTTGAACGCCATTCCATTCTTCGAGGGACTGGCTACGAAGCAAAGCGCGGAATCGCAGATCCACAGTTTCCTCTCAAAAAGCCAAGTCGAGAGGAGCATCGGTCTTCGTGTATTGGTACTGTTGAAGAACCGCTTCTCCACATCCGTCAACAATAGAAACCGTCTACCTGCTATCTATATTAAGCTCCAGATTCTGCAAATGTTTAACAGAGGGAGTAATCTGCAGACATGTTTGTAATCGATCAGAAGTTGGTCCGATCTTCATGACCAAAGAACAGAACGAGATGCAGATGTTCAAATCAGTGCCTTACCGACAGGAAGGGGTAGAGCCCGATGACTTTTGTGACAAGCTTTGGAAAGCGTCTCAAGAGCTCTAGCGCAATGTGCGCCCCAATGGAGTGCCCCACAAGAATGACTGGAAGGCCCTGGTCCTCCAGAGTCCTCAAGTAGGCTGCCTTATGCTCAATCTGGTCCTGCACATGAGTGGCATACCTGGAGTCAGAAAGGCTTGCGTTGACCAATGCCTGATCATGGAGGTGCCTGGTTCATCCCTGTCATGGGCCTTTTTTTGAATTGCAAGTGACGCGCTTCTCAAGCGCTCATTCTTCTGAAGTTTTGGCAGAGGCCCCATGGACCTCGCTTTGACTTCTCTTGAGGGAAATACTTCTGTTGGAAGATTCAAGAAGCCCCAAAATCGCATTGTCCCAAACCAAAACGGAGATTCAATCAGGTCCAGACTGTATGGGTGTGGGGAACGTTTATCAAGGACCAAAGTGCAACTCCTTCCACAGTACTGTAACTCAAAACCGAAGCTGTCCTTATCGAGCCTGTCACCAGCTGCCAATGTGCGCCTTGCTTCAGCGGATGACATCAGGTCCAGCACATATAACTATTATGGAATGACTGGCAACAACTTATGAGTTGATCATCTGAGTCATCTAACACTTACAGAATGAGTTGCCTTGATTGGATCACTTGCCTGTAGTGATGACAGCTTTCCCTTTTCCCAATCTCTCTGTGTATGACCAACATGACTTATGCATGTGATCTTCCACTTTCTACTGACGACCTCTGAAATTAGGCCAATCAACTCCTCATAGTAGGCAACAATACCTGCAGGTTGAACTCTGGTGTAAGCTTAGTCTGGCCCCCAAAGTACGTGCAAGCTTTACATTGAAGGGCTGGTCAGACAATATGACCAGCTTTAATAAACAGGACTGCAAACAACGAACCAGTCTGGGATAGGGAGTCCTGAAATCACTTTGTATTGTGAAGATCAATCAATAATCAGCAATATGCAAGCGCGACTTGAGAAAGCCACTTTGGAAAAAAGCAAGGAAGCAATCTGCGCCACTGATTTGAGTGGGTTTGGGGGCGCAGCCCCCGCACGGCACCACCACTTCTCAGGCTGAAACTTGACTCCGTCACTTACCAGGATTGCCAGGGATAATTACAAGATGCACCAAAGGAGGCTCGCTGGAGTCCACACTCAAGACCTCTGTTGTGTGATTACCAATCAGACTTATACTTAGCACAGGCTCAGGGGGCGAGGACGAGTGTGTCGATTGCATTTCATCAACCACTGTGCTTTTCACAGCCGCTATGTCTCCTTGCAGAGTGTTTGATGTTGCAGAGGGCATCTTTTGACAGCTCCCAGTGCCGCCACGTGATGATAATGCTGGCTTTGGGTCCGTATAGAAATGCTGGCTGCTGAAGGAGGTGAGAGATCCAGCAACACTGAAACTACAGCACAGAGGGGTTCTGCAATTTCGGTGGGCTGACTGTTTCGGTCGATGAGTCGTTGTCTTCCTGATCAGTTGAGCTCCACTAGTTAGACAAGTTGGCGGGCTGTTGAGGAATGCAAACAGAGAAGATGCCTTTAAACTCGCCTTCGATTCATACCAACTTGCACAACTGCCTACTACTTGCAGATGAGCTCTGAAGAGGGCTGATTGACTAGATTTGCTGATCAGATTGCTCATGTTTCCAGGACACCCTCAAGATGCAATTCGACATTGGCATCAACCGTACAGTATTTTCTGCCAATGAATTATGCAGGCGATCAGAAACTTTTCCTGCTTTGGCCCTGGGTCTGCTCGTGTGGCAGACAAATCCAGCGCCCCACTGCGCTAGCTGGAAGAGCAGTCCCTCAGCTGTGCCCGCAGCCCTGCATCACTCCCATCAGCGCCTTCTGCATCTTTGCATGGCCTGTGGCCCAGACGATTTAAGCGTCGGCATTGAGAGCCCACGTGAGAGACTCCCCGGTCGTCTCTTTCTGGGGGATTTGGCCTGAGTTTGTATGGCCGGGGGAGAAAGTAGTGGGTTTCAAACCGTCGACTCCCGATATGGTTGACTCGGACGGCTCAGATGCAACGGCACAGTTGTCCAACGTCGTGCTGGCGGTGTACTCGCCTAAACCATGTGCTTGTCCGTGCATCTCTGGCTTGTTGTCGAGCTCCCATACTAGGTAGTCATAGAGTCACACGTTCTGTGTTTCAGGAAGCTGCAACGGAGGCTGCACAGCGTTCATGAGCGCCAGCAAGGCGTAATGGCTTCCAGCTGTCGCGTCCATTTTCCAGGCACTATGTCTGTAGCTAAGCTGGTGCCACAGGCTCTGTCACCTGGCAGCTTAAGTGGCTCAAAAGCCAATGTCGCCAGTGCTGGAGCAGCGTCACAGCTCTCGGGAGGTACTGCGTCGTTGTCCTCTTTCAGCAAGCTGTGCGGGCTTTGCCTGACAGCCATTTCCCTGCCCAAGTCTAAAAGTCGATCGCGTCGTGGGCCGATTGTGAGGGCTCAGGAAGGGGGCCGTAATGCAACGGTGGTGAGAGGAAGCGAAGCGCCGGAGAAGCCGGCAAAACTTAGACTAGGCCAGGGTGGCAATATTGTCGAATCTCAGCATGGTGCCTTTGTTGTCTACCCGCCAACCATTCCCGTCAAGCGCAGGGTTGGTCGGAGCATTGTGCGGCCAGAACCCAGACAGAAACCCAAGGAGAGCTCTAAGCGAACGACAATTCAAGGGGACGATGAGGAAAGAGACGCGGTTTTTCTGGAAAGTAAGGAGTCAAAGTTGGCTGAGAAAGCGGCAAAATCGAGAGCGAGGGAGGGTTATCTCAAAGATGAGGAGGAAGAAGCGGAAGTGCAGTCAGAAGGGAAGGACGCCGCACCGGGGTCTTTAGCAGCGGGGGAGAGTGAGTCAGCAGAGGAAGAGCCCTACTTTAGGGGCAAGGCAGACGTCCGATTGGACTACGACATCAGGCCGGTGGTGGAGAGGATCAGGCAGGAGGGGCTTGAGGTTATGGCGTTGTTTGTGGATAAGCTTGGGGTTAGGGACATGGACCGCATCCTGCTGAAGTTTGGGGCAAGGGCGGAGTGGCAGGTGGCGCTGCGGGTGTTCGAGTGGATGTTGAAGGTAAGCCCGCTGGCAGTGGCCGAGTGAGTTGATGTACCAGCTGGACTTGCGACCACCATTTCATCGAGGCCGGTAATGGTCATGGGCCGCCTTGCGCGCCGCTAGTGTGCACCACCACCAGCTGCTACTGCATTTAAGATGCCCGCATTTGGCTGGTGTCAAAGTCGAATTGTTCAGCAAAGAAGCGGTCCACTCTTGATGGCTTCAATGCATTTCTCGCTTTTCATTAGGGCTGTGCGAGTTTCTGCATTATTGCGGTCGCGGCATGTTGCTCAGCGATGCAACGAGTTAGGCAGTGCCATTTTAATCTTTTTGATTGCTGCTTGTATACCAACAGACATGCCAGAAAACAGTCATCCAGAATTAGGGTTTGCTGCGCACTGTGCCTTGACATAGCTTTTGCTCATGAGCAGCTGGTGTCTTTTCTTCTCTGCAGGATCGGTTTCTTCAGCCAGACCAGAAGACATACACAATCATGATGGACATTTTAGGGACAAACAAGCAGCCCCGGCTGGCTGAGGAAATGTTCCAGAGCATGCAGGAAGAGGGGCTGGTAGACACGGTAAGACAAGCAAGAGCGATTTGACGAGTCTCGTCCCCAGAGAGTTGTTCACGTGTTCACCATCGTTCAGTCATTGGCGTTGTTTGAAAAGAGAGGAAGGAGTACTGGGGCAGGTCTCTTTGTGAAAAGCTGACGTGTTGATGCAGATCCTTCTTATGAGTGTGTGCACTTGCAAAACTGCTTTCTATGCGGATGAATTTGTTCACCCAAGTTACTCAAAACGCTTCTTTTCGTCCTGCAGAGGGCGTGCAACGTCCTACTAAATGCGTACGCTCAGGTCGGCCAGGCGAAGCAGGCGTCGGCTCTCTTTGGTTACATGAAAGAGCAGCGCATGAGGCTGGACGCATACACGTATAGCAGTGTCATCAAAGCCCTCAGCCGGGATAGGAGCAGGACGGACGAAGTGTTGGCGTTGTTCCAGGAGATGCAGGTGGGCCGCCTTTGTTAGATTGCGGAGTCGGTATGCATTTAAGGTGTGGGAGGACCGGTCGTCCTAGTCGCCCAGATGGTCGAGTCTCCGCTTCACTCATCCCTTGAGAGTCAAAGGTCCAGTCGCGCTGATTACTGATCAGGTGCTCCTGATAGGAGTGAGATGGGAGTAAGGGGAAAGGTTCGTTGATGTGCGGCGGCACAGGGCGCCTTTGGGAGAACCAAAGGATCATGCCCCGTTTGCGAATCTTAACTTCCTTCAAGAAGCAATGGAAGCGATCCCTTATGTTTTGGGATCTGCTTTGCTCTGAGCGAAGTGAGATGTCTGGCCTCCATTTGGTGTGCCAACTTGGTTTGCCAGTTGCGCTTTTTTATCTGAAGCTGAGACTGACATTGGATGCTTGATCCGAAACCGAAAGTTGTGGACGTCGTCAATCTGCTCCACCAAGTAGTGGTTTCGGCAAGGGCCTCACTTCAGGCTGTGATTGACTGGGACAGGGTGCCGAGAACGGGACAGTAGACAGAAATTAAGCATTGGGAGGGAACGGGAGAGCTTGATATGCGCCAAGAATACTTTTGCTTATATAGCGACTTCATGGCAGTCTCTTTCCTTCCTATCAGAATTGACAAGCTCCACCAGATAAATCATTGGTTTGTCCTTCTCTCCAGGCCGCCCGGATAGCGCCCACGTCCGTCATCTACTCGCAAATGATCGAGACCCTGGGTTCGGCTGGGTTTGTGGACCAGGCAGAGAGCGTCTTTAAGCAGATGCAAAGGTCGGGAGTGGCTCCCGAACTGGTAAGATCTACACGAACGCTGGAGAACGCATGGGCTAGCTCGAATCGCGAGTTCGCTTGTATTCCGACTTGTTTTTGGAGTAGTATGCAATTGTTGAGCATCTAATCTGGCGCTTTCCTGCTTTTGTCGGTTGGGAATCTTCAAGCTCCTTGTCTGTTGTTGCTTTCTAAACTCGGGGAGGCGGGGAGCTTCCTTCTTTTGTTCTCTGCTGATGCAACTGCATTTCGCTGTTGATACAGATTGCGTTCAACTCCCTGCTGGCAGCGTATACAAAGCAGGGCATGATCAGCAAGGTCGAGGCCATTTTTGACGATTTGAAGCAAGCGGGCTTTGAACCAAGCAAGTATACCTATGCGACCGTAATTAACGCGTATGGGTAAGCCATCCACAGCACTGCGTTTTTGCAAGCCGTTTAATCTGCTCCTTGGGCGTGTCGGACCCAAGATAAGCTGGTAAATTTCGAGCACCAGATTGGCAGCAGATGGTCCATCGTGAGTGGAAAATTTCCATAGCCGATACGGATTGGGCCCGTTCGTTAAGGGAAGGGCTTTTCCAGCTCATCCAACGTGGCATGAAGTCAAGCAGTCATGTCTTCAGAGCATATTGTCAGGTAGAAGGGAGAATTCGGGTCTGAAAAGTGCTGTCGGTTTGCAGTACCCTTTGGTCTATGCAACAGCGTCTTTTCAAGGCTGCTGGCAGCCAGGGTTCTTCGAAAGCTTGTCTTCAAGGATTGCCTCCGATCCTTGCGAGGACCTCACCTCGAGTTGTCATGAGGATCTTGCATTAAAAGCACGTTCCTCGATGCTCCTTGTCCTACATGTTCCTCACGACCGGCCTCTGATCTGAGAGCTGCTTCGTTTCAGGAACGCGGGCGATCTCGATTCCGCCGAGCGCGTTTTTGCGGAGTACCTCGCGTCCCCCCAGGTCCAAGAGCCCGGCCCCCACAACGCCCTTATGGGCGTCTACGCCCGCAGGGGCGACCTCACGAAAGCGCTCCAAGTGTTCGCCGGCATGAATGAGCGGGGGGCATCTCCCAACGACGTTTCGGCCGTAATTATCTTGAGCTCTCTGGTGCGCGCCCGGAAGATGAACGAGGCGGAGCAGCTTTACGAGACGATAGAAGCGCTGGAGATCTCGCACAGCACGCAGCTGTGGAACGCGGTGATCCACATGTACGGCAAGGCGGGCAAAGTGGGCAAGGCAAGGGAGGCGTATGCGACGATGCAGAAGGAGGGCTTCCGCCCGAACGAGGTGAGGGGTCCAGACGCTTTCGACATGCTGTTGCAGGAAGTCTTTGTCTGGAACCTTTTGAGCGGAACAGGGATACGAGACTTTCATTGAGACCAGTCTGGATTGTTGGGTGAATTGATTGACATCCTGGTTTCTAGTGGTCCAGTTGTCGTTTTTAGCAAATGGCTGATGTCGTTCCGTGCCTAGGTGTTCCGTGCTTGTGTCGGTTGGAAGTCTCAAAGATGGAGCGTGGGACGTGCACGGGTGGTCAGTCCACATGTTGTCCAACCTCTTTTTGGATTGATTTTGACACGCTCAGCCTTATCGGCTATCATGATCTCCTCGATCAGATTCTCTTTCTTGTTGCGAGGAAGCATGCAGAGGCTGTGTGAATGCCACTTCTTTTTGGTAGGTTAAACTGCCAACTTGCGGTCTTTTTGGTAGGTTAAACTGCCAACTTGCGGTCTGTCTCCTCCTCCTTTAATCGATCATGGAAAGGCTGCTTCACTTTCGGTCCGTGATCTCGTCATTCTCGTTCTCTTGTCTCTGACGACCTCGAGTACTCCGAACGTGCATCGCTTTTTCATCACAGTTGCAGAATACGTGAGATGTCGTTCTGTCACTCTTCTTACCGGAGTATCTCTTTTATGTCATTCAGGTCACATACCGCGAGCTTGCCGCCCTGGACCGGCTCGAGCGTGGCAGCGCCCCGATGCGTGCCGTCAACGGCACCCCGGTACCCCGACTAGAACAACGGACCCTCCTAGAAATGGTCGGAAAGGCCGTGCAAGAGGGCAACCTCCGAGAAGCTCTAGTCGTCCTGCGGGCCGCTCTGAAGGACACCCGCGCCGAGTTCGAAGTGCAGGCGTTCAACGTCTTTTGCAGAGCGTGCGAGAGAAACAACGAGTGGGAACCCGTCGAGGAGCTGTGGAGGGAGATGCGGCAGCAGGGCAGGCAGCTGCCAGCGGTGAGTTCGCAAACAGTAGGGGGGCTTCGAAGTCTGAGGGTTTAGACTTTTGGATTTTGCGAAAGCGATCGGCCTCGATATACATTGCATCGTGTTGGGAGGTGCTCAAAAACTTTGGTCCGCTGTTTCTTCTCGGTCAGACCTAAAGAAGCATTCGTCATGACGAGAGCGCATCAAACACCGGCAATATGTCAACGCCTGGTTCAAGCAACTTCTTTTTCATGGTTCATACAGTTTTCGAAGGTTCAGTAGTTCTCATGAACCACTGAAAAGCTTTACTGTGGTGATGGTTGACCTCTGCGCCTTGGGTCAGAATAGACGTGGGCATCAAGTAGGAGGATTAAAGCCACCAGGACCCAATGGATCTCTGATTCCATCCTTTTGCATTGCTGTTTAATGCAATCTCTGCCTGTGATAATCACCAACGCCACGTTCTGGCTCTCGTCTTTACGTAAGCACGGGCTTCGCTGACGGGATGCCGCTGCTCCTCCCCTGCAGATGACGTACTACGCCGTCCTGCAAGTGTTTGCCAAGTCGAATCAGTTGCCGAGAGCCGAGGCGGTATTTTCGGAGATGCGGTCGAAGGGGATGGCGAAAGTGGCGAACGGATACAACATGCGGATGAACGGGTACGGGCGCGTGCGGGACTTCGAGGCGATGGAGGGCGTCTTTGGGGAGATGCAAGCGGCGGGCGTAACCCCGGATGAGGTGAGGGAATGGGATGTAATCGTTGTGGAGCACGGCCGTGGTTAAGGTCACGTGCGGCGGACAAGACCGAGCTTACCACGCTATGTGGTTGGCTTGAGGCTGTGCCATTGACGTCAAGTTCTTGAGCCTTGCAGACTGCGATGCACTGTTATGTGGATGGAGATTGAGCAAAGCAAGGCCGGTTCTCGCGGCGAGTGAAGTCTCCAGTTTCTTTTTTTGATATGATGGTCTGTGTATTGTTAGCCTTTAGCCTTCAAGCTCACTGCAGCTTGTCGCTCCACAAGTTGCCCAAAATATTATTAGGCTGGTATTATCTCTGGTCACAAGGACAAGGTGGCAGATAGAGTTCTCAACTGCACGTTCGAATAGAAGGATAGAAGTTTGAGATTGACTCTGCTTTCCGGGGATAGCTTGTTGTGAATCTTATCAAGAGTGGTTGCATTCTCCAGGTGACGTTCAACACGCTGATCAGCCACTACGCGCGCACCCAGCAATTCGAGGCGGCTCTCGACGCCCTCGAGCGCATGCGCGACGCGGGCCTGCGCCCGAATGACGTCACCCACGGGATCTTCCGGCGGGACTGCCACGTCAGCCCCGACCAGGTTCAGGAGGCCCTGCAGCGGGGCAGCTTCCAGGGGATCATCCCGGATGACGTGTATGTACGTCAGAAGAAGGGGCGGGGCCGGCCAAGGAGAGGGAGCCACGTGGCAGTGGATACGGAGGGTGGTGCGGGCATGGCGGGAGCTACACCTGCGAGTGGGGGTTTTGAAGAGAGCACGTCAAGAACGGGGGCTGAGTCGCTGGTAGAGGAGCAGCCGTCGTCTAGTTCTGCAACAGGTACGAAGCAAAATATGATTGGTTTCGGATTGCCGTGGGGATCCTGGTTTATCTTCCTTCGTTCCCAGTTCCGTTTCTTTCCGTTTCCTCTCAGGGCCGTTCCTTTCCAGGTAATGCGCGCGACAGCAGGCTTGCGAGCAGCTTTTCCAGTTCTCCGTCTATCTTTTGTATGCAGCGGATTGGGCGCTTTGCTCTGATAGAAGGTCCGGTACGAATCCAGTATCCAGGCTCAGTCCGCAGAAACGCCCGCAAATCGAACCAGGTTGCATCCGGTTTGGTTTGCGAGGGTCACTCAACACGTGAGCTCTTGCGTACGTAGCTGGTCCCGAGCGCCTCAAACCGTTTCTTAGTTGAAAACCGAGTTTGCCTGTTGCCAATTCTGGCTGCTTCACGTACTCTTCTTTTTTCCCCAATCCGGACGACTTTCGCACGTATCCAGTTCCGAACGTCTCAAGTATTCCTCTTGCTTCAGGTGAGGACGAGTGGCTGCGGACGCTCCTGCGCAGCCAGGAGGGGCCGTCCGTGGTGTACGACACCGTCCGGTGGACAGGACCGGACCCCCCGCTCGACGCATCTAGTTTGACGGAGAGGGTACGGCAACTGGTAGAGAAGGAGGGGCCGGAGCGGAAATGGGTGAGCGTCCGTAGCAGGCTACCGGAATGAATCTCGAAGCCCTTGGCTTCCTATGGTGATAGCTGGGGTTGTTGATTTTGGGTTTGCATGCTTTTTGTCGTTTAAGTTCAAAAGCAGCACCATAAAAGCCCACAAGATGACGTTTTAAGCCTCGATTTTGGGGACTGGTCACGGCTTGCTTAGGCAAACGAGCTGGATGCTTGGCTCGATCAGAAATGGGCACTTGAGTCCAGCGGAGTGCTGTCCAGTTGATTCTTCAAGCTTCGTCGCGCGCAGGACATGTATGGGTCGTACGGCTTGAGAAATCCTTTAGCGAGTCGTAGGCGAGCTTGCGGTATTTCCGCATATGTATAGCATCTCGCTGAACACCGGACTGTTTATGTTCTGCAGAAAGTGGCAAGCTTCAACAACCTTTTGTATGCATATGCCGACAACCTGCACATGAAGGGCGCCCTTCACATCTTCGACAAGATGCTAGAACGAAACGTGCTTTTGAAGAAGAGGAGTGCGATGAAGCTGTTAGAAAACCTGGCCCGGACCCAGCACACAGACGATACAATCCGCGTCAGGGACGTGTGCGATAAGGCGGGCATTGCCAGCTTTATCTACGTTAGTGAAGCAGTTGAGCGTGAGATGAACCGGGCTGGGCGCCTGTCTGTTCAGCCGCGTTGAGAACACGGTTGAAGTCGGAAGTACTGAGGGGGAGTCGAAACGGAGGGGGATACTGTTATTTGTGTTAATTTGACGCTTGAACCCTGTGAATTATGAAGCATGTCTAAAGACTTTGATTCGATCATGCATAAAGTTGTTACTGAAGTGTTTTTTTCATTGCATTAAGCAAGTGAGCATCAGGCGAGGACTCTCGCTGCTCTCCCACATACACGGGTTGCCGATCGAAAAGCTGGCAGGGTCCAACAAAGTGCGCGAGCCAGGCGCCCGTCAATTCGACCAACCAGAATGCAGTCTGTGACTATATCGCCGTCGGCCTATACGTGCTCTTGAAAATTGGAGACATCCGGCAATCATCCGCGCGCGGCCCAGCGACAAGAGCTCGGTAGAGTACTACGCCCTTACTTCAAAGACTTCAATTGGCAACCTCGTTACAGAAATTCTAATTAAGTTGTAGAAAAAAATGTATCATTGAGTGCCAGTGTCGAAATCTGGTGCACACAAAACATCAGCCTTTCATGTTCTTATTGAAGTTTCGCGATGAAATTCATGACAAGCGCGCGCGGCACACACTGATGCAGCTCTTACGTCAGTGCATGGTCGACTCGTGTATCTTACGTGCACAAACAGGGCGATCTCTGATATATGATATGTGATTAGTTGCCGGGTGCATGCACAGAATAGCTGAGTGTGTCAAGGATTGAGGACTTCCACGGCACTTAAGTTGCCAGTCGGTTACTCGCCGTGTATGATACGAGTCACTCGTGTAACATATTAGATACGCAAGCTGCGGCTTGATTGTCCTATGTGCGTGAACTTGACTCGTTGCATGAGGTGCCACGTACTTACTGGCTAACATGCTGCAAGCAGAAGTTACTGTCAGACTGGACCAGCATGCTAAGGCTTGCATGAAACAAGATTTTTCCAATCAAACCGGCCTTAAAATGCATACTCAGCTCGAAACCTGAACGCGGGTTTTGAGACATCTTACATCTCACTTCGCATGAAGCGTTATACAGACAACACCTCAGATCCTAGCTAGCGGGACTCATAAGCTCTCTAGCAAACACTCGCAACATATCTCACACTTTGACAAACTTCGTTTTCAATCCAGCATTCTTCAGCTGCTGTGTTCTCAACTTGTTTCTGTCCTAGCTGTGCCTAACCTACGTTTCGCTACAGTGGACAACCATTACTTGATAAGATGATCTCTTGGTTCAACATACGCTTACTAAACGTAACATCCATGGTTGCTGTTGAACTTCTCTGCCCCAATTTCGTTAAGCAAACTCACTCCACACTGATCTTTGTCCCAAGCGCTTTGACAATGTGGGAGATGAATTCCGGGTGTCCTGCAGGCAGATGCTCGTTGTCAGTAAAAAAACCTCCGCACTTATCAGTAGCACGTCAACAACCTTGAGACAACCGGGAAATACGTACGGCAACGTACAACAATCAAATAGCATGAAATTGGACGAAGGCAGAGTAAGGATATTCAGCACGTACGCCCCTAGAAAATTTCACGATGCTCGTCTCAGTGACGTAGGACCAAACGTCGGTGACGTACTGCAATATATATGCAGATTATCAGCTAAGGATATCTTGAAATTACAGCTCATTGCTATCCGTGACAGACACAGCCCCATCCAGGGAACGCCAGATCCCCAACCGGGCAACTGCGTCCTCTTCTCAATCACTCCGCCTCTTGTAAAACATGTGAAGAACCGACCATTGATGACCAAAGCACAAAGGAGCACAAACAACTCTCACCCGGCCAAGCCGCCCCGGTGATCAGGTTGCCATCCGTGAAGCACTTGGAAATGGGGTCCGGCTCCAGCCACTCCGCCCCGGCCAGCAGGATCGTCGGCTTCACTGCGGGGTAGGCCGTGCACCTGCCAGGAACATTCCTCGAATCAGTAATCATCAAGACCTCAGCTTAACCTAAGCTGAGACCGAAACATTACGTGCTCCGCACCACGACCACCCTGACCCCGTTGATGACTTTACCCTCTCAGACAATTTGTAAATTCTGTCCGGGCACGAAGGCACATGTGATCAGTCGGTATAAGAGCCAAGATCCACAATTCCACTTTTGCAGTGCGAAGGATTGTTGATGCTGGAGAGATTGCAACCGGGTCCGGAATAAGCTCTGCATTGCCAATTTTGAAACTTGTTGCAGTCTTTGCGGTGTTGCCCGTTCCGCCCCACTAAGCTTCTGACAGAAGTTGACGAAATAACGACACTCGACTTCTCCGTCGAAGTAAGACCCAATTCCGCGAACCTGACACGAATCCAGAGGCGCTGACAAGTGAACATTCAGCTTCCTAATGCAAGATGTAAACGTCCTGCCACTTGACGATTTTGTGCCTCTACGTTGAGTCGGACAGCCGCCATTTGTTGCAACCATTTCCTTTGCTACTTGCTGCCGCTGCGATGTTTGAACAGGGCCATTTGTCGGCATCCGGACTATCAACCCCGGGACACGAAGCACACTTTTAGTGTAAACGCAGACCCCGGCGAATGACGCCACCAGTCCTGAAACCGAAAGCACTCCGGCTCCTCGATCTCACAAGGGATACTCTGAAAGGCCAGTAAAGCAACGAAGCAAAGCGAAAAGTCCGTCGCAGTACGTCCGACTCCCTCACTTTTTGCCCTTGAGCACGCCGGCGGCTGCCAGGATCTGCTGCCCGTGGCAAATTGATGCGACCACTTTCTCCGCCCGGGTGAAGTCTCTGACCAACTCCAGCACCTGTTCGTCCAGGCTGAGGTACTCGGGGGCTCGTCCCCCGGGCACCACCAGGGCGTCGTAGCCGTCAGCGGAAACGGAGGCGAAGTCGGCGGTGAGGCTGAAATTGTGGCCGGGCTTCTCGCTGTACGTCTGGTCGCCCTGCGGGACGAGACGAGAGGAGGGTAGTGTCAATTTCCAGTTGACGTGCAGCCAGGGAGAAATAAATCAGCGCCCGGAGGATGATTAAGGTTAACTTGGGGTATGGGTGCGGAGCGCGTCCTTCCAACTGTGTCTAAGCTGGTTCAACGTACAACTCTGATACAGGAAAAAGGGACTCAGATTTCGACTTGCAATGTGGAAGTCTTCTGATGTCGTCTTGACTTTTGAATCAGGGCTGTCTCCAAGTTGACACTCGAGGCTGGCTCAGCAAAGTGACTTTGGTCCGATCTGCAGCTAAGGGCAGGCGGGGGGCAAGAAGGGGTTGCTGTAGCTGTGCGGCTGAGTGGAACGCGTGTTGATCTGCCAGGAGAGCCGGAAGGACGCCCATTGGCAGTGGCCTGTCCAATTCCGCTTGCTTATCGTCCGTGAAATAACGATCTAGTGTGGATACAATCCACATCCAAAGACTAACGACGAAGGCTCGAGACTTGAGGTTTTGCAGCGTCAGAGTTCTTCGTTGCGATTTCTTCCAACGCTGACAACGGATGAATCTTCGTGAACCTGCTTCATCGATATCTTAAAGCAGAGACCGAAGAACAAATAGAGCCTACCTGAACCAGATTACTATGCAGCATAACAAAAACAACGCAGACATCAATCACGGATCTGCTTCCAGATTACATGTTCCGCTCATCTAGTATCGGGTCTTTACGAAACGCCCACAGAGGATGGAAGAAGCAAGGCTGCGTAGGGCGGTACCCAGGCACGTCCCCTTATACGGCATCATGAGAACGCAACCTCTGAGCAGATTTTGAACGCCCAGGTGTTATCCTTGCCGGAAGAGGGGACAGTTTTAAGAACACGGCTGCTCCCATGACAGATGAGCGACTACAGCTTCTTTCTGGCCGCGTCTTGTTCTAAGACATAAGGGTTCCAAGAATCATAAGCGAACACTTGAGCGCTGCCACGTTCTGATCTTCACGAGCCAACAGCGTCACGAATGGATCGGGGAAATAACTGAACTCCAAATTTTCAGCCCCAAGGCGATTTGTGCTCGGCGTCAACCAGCGAAGCACGGACGAAACGAGGCGAAGCTTGGAAACTGTTGCCAAGGGTGGAAGACGTAGCATTCGCTCATAAAGACGACCCGCGTGCAACTTCAAGCGGGCAAAAGTCTTTGTCCAACCAACAGTAGCGCCTCAAAGACACCGGAAAGGTCACCTCTGCAGAGGTAGAGTGCCCTAGGCTCGACGTGCTGTCCAACGGCTGCCAAAGCAAATACTAACAAATAATCTAGAAAGACAAAAAGGAAAGAAGTTGAGCTTTACTCCGATCCGGAGTGCTTGTCTCTGGTTGCCGCTAGGCATGCTTATAATCTGAGTTGTTCCGCTATGAAGAGGCGCATAATGTACGAATTTTCGGGACGAGGTGCCTCAAAAAGAAAACTGACATGGATTCTCGGTCAGTGGATTCTGAAGCACAGGGCCCGCAACCTTTACGGCCACCCTAAAAACAGGGCACCTCGGCACAGATTGTCAAGAGCAGTAGGGCTACCAGCCCTTGTGGAGTCAAATGACGCATTAGCAGAGGAAGACCCCATTTACGGTTCCGAAGTCTGTCGAACTTGCAGTTGAAAATTGAACGGTGTTGACGCGAAAAGTTTCGTCGGAGGCATTGTTGCACGGTTTTGCGGAATGTTTCCGCGGCAAGGAATCTTCATTTGCGACGTTCATTTACGGGTGTATCTCAACGACACACACAAAATACCACTCTTACTTTGGCAACCACAAATCTGGTTGAGAGAGATTCGTACCTTGGAGGTTTGCAAGATCAACAAGTGAAAATTGTTTATCAGTTGGCTAAAGCTAACCTGCCGTCTCGACAAACGCACGTACTCTTTGTTCCATGTGCCCTATTCAGAATGACGGGTCCCGATAACCAGACCGCGGGCTGCAGAGCCAGAGCCGAAGGAAGGTAGCGCTTGACACGAGCCAAGAAAACAAGAAATAAAAGGACAATGACGACTTTGCCTGGCAGCGTCAGTGGCCGACAAGTTCTGTTTACGCCTCTGCAGGTTTTACGAAGCTCTTCATAGCCGCTCAGAAGCATAAAACCAAAAGTGCAACAACTGTTGTTTGAACGACCTTTGTGTGAGAGACTCCCTTATACTCTCGTAGAGCAGCAGAAAAACGTGAAGATGAATCCAGTTCTCAAACCCTTCTTGGCATGAGCTCAATCCGAACAAGCGTTCCTTGCCATAGAACAGGGTGTATCCAAGAAGGCTCAGGATGCCGAGAAAATCGAAATCAAACTTCGGATCCCAGCATTTCAATAGACTTGGAGAAAATTTGTAGACCTTAAGGAGGGTTATAGTAAATCTCGCAATGACAAGTTGAGCATACCGGACTTGTAATACCATGGATGTTCCGAAAGCCGGTCAATGGAGTCAGACACGGTCCCAGATCATTTAAAAAGCTCGTTCGAGTCTTCTCATGGCAGAAACGGACCAGGTATTCGCCTTGCTTGTTTCGACTTCAAAGGAAACTTTTTCAGGGGGAAAGAGGGAGAATCTGCCTTCAGCAACGAGTGCTGCTTTGCTGAGAAAGATCTGAACCAACAATAGCTCCCGAGCGGATCACACATCCGACGTCACAAGGGCCAGTCGCAAGCCATCAGTTGAGTTTTATTACAGGCCCTGAAGATTTGAGTTACCGCGCCAAACCTCAATCGCGGGACACAGCAAAGTGGCGTGAAGCTGCGGACTCCTGCCACTGGTTTTGCCACACTTGTTTTGCCACTCTGGTTGAGGACCCTCGTCCCATGGCATCAGACAGGCCGTGAATCTTGTGACACTCTCTGGTGCCTAGGCGTCTGCTATCCTTGCCGGGGAGAAGCAGAGTCCAGGCCAGGCGGGCAAAGTTGTAAACGTACAAGGGGATCGAACATCAATACCCAATTTCATGACGAGAACGGTTCAACTTTGCGTCATAAGCACCCGCCATCTGCTGCGAAAAGGGCTGCAATACTGCAAGCTCTGGAGGAACCAAAGAGCGAACAACAAAGGGGCACTCTTTTGGGCCTCAACAGCGGCAATGACTGGACTTTGTTTAGAGCCCAGGGCCTTTTAACCATCACGGACCAGCCTAAAAATCGATATTTGCAACCCTTTCGGATGGCGTGAAAAAATCAAAGAAAGGTACCGAAGGTGTGTGCCGATTTGAAAACAATTTGTAATGTCGTTAAACCCGGTTTGTTGAGCTTTCAACGATCAAGTACTGGCGCTGCTTTAGGCTGGAGGAGTCTTTCCTGGGTGAGCGCCCAGTGACAGTCAGGAAGAGACACAACACGGATTACATATGCGCCAGTTTGCGAAGCTCCAATAGCAACCTTTCCTGAAGGATTGGAAATGGACCGCCAGCACCAAGCAATCGAATTGCCACAAGCACTCAGTCTACTCACGTTGCCGGCTTGGGACGATCCCCAGAAATCAGCACGAAGCGGTTGGTTTCCGGCCTGTGACTTCTTTAACACCGCCTCACTTCGACACAGAGGTCTTGGGAGGAAATTCGTACTTTTAGAAAGGCTCAGGTTGGTACAAGGTGGACTTGGAGTGGCGTTGACGACGAGGAAAAGTCGTGACTCGCATTGATGGCAGACTTGAGGACTGGTTTAGACTAGACTTCGAGTGCAAGGGAGTCGAATCCAAGCACCTTGCTCTCAGAGAAACATCGCTCATAAAGACACCCTAGCTGGCAATCACAACAATCACAGACTGTGCAGGACGGATTTCCATCAGACGCAACCACACTAATTCGTCTGAGGACTGGTCCAAGCAGCCTCATAACAGATCGAAATGAAGACCAGCTGCCAAGCTGCTCACAAGCTTCGTCGCAAGCATGCAAGAAGCCTTGAAACTCGATGGCCGGCATCAGAGAACGCAAGGGCGAATGAGCTGACAGCTCACCCCCACCAAAACTATCCTTGCCGGGAAGGGTCCCGGCACAACAGCTGCCCCAACATAGGATTTGCCGCTACTGCTCTTTCGTAGCAGCCCGCGGACATCGATGGACTTCAAACCAAGCTCTGACCAATCTCCGGACACTGCACGCGAAAGGGTTTGAGAGGGACATAAAAGGGCAGGCCGCAGACAAAGAGCTGCGTAAATCTCACACCAGCCCTGAACAGACTGAACAGGAACTTCATCTTGGGCTATACTTAGACTTGCAAAACCATAATTGCGTCCTGGACATTCCGGAAAACGTATGCTCGACAGACGGCCAGAATCACAATCAGAAGAATAGCACTCAGAGAACAAAGGCTGAACCTGTCAGGACGAGAGTTCTTGAATGCGGGGTGCCACATTCTTGTCGATTTACTTGTGTAAAGCACTTAGGATGGTGAAGCTGCGGTGAGTAGAGTGGGAGCCTCGTGTTCGATTTAAAAGCTTTGGCTAGACTCTGGGCCGCACCAAATCCTTACTGCAAATCCTGATCTAGACAGGGTTAGAGGATCAAAAGACGCAACATGCGGAGAAAAGGGGGCAAAGAGAACGTGAAGTGGCCTCAGTGAGCTCGTCGAACGAGCTCACTTTCGGGCCCATGCCTTGAGATCGTCACGGATGTCAACAAAGACCAGGAAGTGCGAGCGATAGTGGGCAGAAGTTCTTTTTTGTCCTACTCAAACTCACGCTATCAAAAGACGCTGAAGAATTCGGTGACTCAGAGCTTCTTAAGATCAATCCGAAGCAGGAATCAGAGAGCTCCAAGACGCTTCCAGGCAACAACGCACGAGCGAACCGTCAGCATCCTTCAAGTCTGGTCGCGATTCGCATGCCCCCTGTTGGGCCGCCACAAGAAACTAAGTGTATAGCAGAGGAGAGAAAAGCTGGAAGAAGGCGACAGGAGGAGGACCTGTTCTTGTGAGGGCATCGGAGGAATTCTTGTTACAGAACTGGCCACACGAGGCGCCCAGGCAGATATCTTCCTTGCCGTGAGTACTGAGACTCAGATCGGAAACTTCAGTGCCGAGTACATCACTGGACTCGAAAACCTTTGAAAATCGTTGTACGTTACTAGTTGGGCATACATCAGCAAGCAACACTTCATTTTCCTTGCTGCATCGGAGAAGAAGAAGAAAGCAACCTGTGGAAGATATATAGGACTTTCTAAGTAGCAAACACCTCCAAAAGCACAGTACTGTTCAAGCATAACGACAAGCGGGTGGTGGACTCGGTAAATCCAAAGTGCGAACCACTTACTCATGAAATCTACAGGGCTAGGACAGCACTGCTTTTAAGAACAAACTCTCAACAAATTGAAACGATGATTCAATTTGATCGATCACAACTTACGGGGCTGACTTACGAAGCACAGCTTGAAAAGCAAGGATGGCGAAGCGACATCTCTGCACTTGACCGCTTGAAATGGCCTCAGAATATTAGAAAGCCTTTGGACGCATCCATGCGCCCAGACGTCAATCATCCTCGCCACAGACCAGCACTCTGCGACTCGGCCACTCCTGAGAGGAGACCGGAACGGAAACGGAAAGGTGGCGAGTGTACCTCAAAATCGTGGACCGCTGTTCGGATGGTGTCTCCAGCCTTCTTGTTTGGGCACACAACATCCACCTTGTAGCCCAGCCCCTGAAGCGCCTGGACCGGAACCATCACCTCGTAATCTGCGACATCCAAAAGAGCTCGTGTTCACTCTCGCACAATCAGCGGAAGTGGCTCGGAATTTCTCGCTTTCGTACGAGGCGCTCCTCGGGAGCGAGATAGTACGTCGTTTTCGTACGGGACATAGGTTGAAAAGACGTTGCGAGGGTACTCAAGGGGGTGAGCTGATGCCGTTGGCCCTCTCAACAGCTTCAGTGTCAGAACATCCGACGTACACAACGCTCGAACCTCAAAACAGTCCCACTTGCAATCGCTTTCGACAATGACAAGCAGGCATGCCCCCTGAGTATAGGTGTTGGCCATTGTCTACTTGGACTGCGGTTCTTTGTTACTTGATCGGTTACCCAACTTTCCCGTCCCTAATGTGAAAGCCAGCTGCTATTGTTGTGTCTGAAAACCGTGCTTTCAATATGTGGAAAGGAAAAGTTCGTGAAAGAAGCTATTTCACTCAGAGGCAATAAACTGTGAGAGGCATCTTTCAAAAGCTGACCGTTCAAGCACTCAAAAGCTTGGTTAACAGCATGTCGGACGTCTCCTGAACACGTCCCCGCATCTTCGAGGAGGCTACAAGTCGGCCGTTCCTAACCAACACTTTAACAACCTCAACTAAACCTGAACCCTCAAACTCTTTGAGCCCCAGGATCCCTTTCTCCCTTTCTCCACCTCGAATCCCTAGCGAGTATCACCTGCTCTGCCACCTCGACTCCGGGTTCCTCTAATCATTCGACGGCTTGAACTTCGAGAACCTCACAAAAACACCCGTCATCCGGACAAAAGCCGCAGCTCACCTTCCACAAAGTCGCCCGCTAGCACCAGCACCTTCTTCTCGGTGTTGCTCACGTTGGCCCCCATGGCCAGCAAAAACAGCCCCAGAAACTCGGGGTGCGCCGGCCATGCTGCGCCCGTCACCAGATTCTCATCAATAAAGCACGACGTGATGGGCTCGGGAGCCTGCCACGTGGCACCCGCAGCTTGGATCACGGGGCGGCAGGCGGGGTACGCCGTCACCTTGCGGCCCTTGATGACGTCAGCGGCGGCGAGGATGAGCTGGCCGTGGCAGATGGAGGCGACGGGCTTCTTCTTGGAGAAGAAGTGGCGGACGAGCGAGAGGACCGAGTCGTCGGTGCTGAGGTACTCGGGGGCGCGGCCGCCTGGAAAGAGAGCGGAAATAAATCGTTTCTGGTTGCGTTTCTCGAAATCTTGATTTTTAGTGGTACAAGGAGGAGACTACAAATCTGGAAAAGATTCCAGTGATGATTCCGACGGCCGTGGAGGGATGTTCACCACGCACTGAAGTCATGCATGGGAATGCTTGAGCGAGTTTGAACTCTGGCGTTCTGTCCTGCCGTACCCCTATTACTGTCGTTGGTGGCTGTTTGTGACTCCTTTGAACTGAAACTGAACCCATTCATAATCTCAAATACTAACGCATGAGGGTGGTCCCAGCATTTGAAAACGACCTCGAATCCCAATTTCGTGATCAACCAGTCCGCCAATCGGATGACGGTCGAAATCTGACAGGACACCCGTTTTGTCAGTGCTGCAAACCTGCCCATTGGGTCAGAATATGCAAGTCGAAGTTGGACTCGAGAGCCACCAGGACCACTCACGTTTGACGCTCGGCCAAGGCCGAACACAGTGTCAGAGGCTGGGGCAAACACAAGCAAAGATAGAAGGGGCGTATCGGGCTTGTTGGGTATCAAACAGCCTTCTTCGTTTCCGCTGCCGATTCATGGAATCTTTTTTTGGACACCTGTCACCTACCTGGAATTACCAACGCGTCATAATCATCAGCGTGCACCTCGGCGAACGTGGCAGTGAGGACAAAGTTGTGGCCACGCTTCTCAGAGTAGGTCTGGTCCCTGGACGGACAAAGAAAGAGGAGTCAAGCTTCCTGATTGGGACCCCCCCCGATGGAGCAGCGTAAGTGAACTCAACCAAGCGCCCCAGGTACAGATTGCAGACAGGTGACCCGATGCATTGCTTTATGAACGACCTAGAGGCACTGCACATCTCAGCTTCGCAGAGATGAGGGCACAATTGAAACTTGAGATACTCAGCAAAGGCTTGAGGTGAGCACACTGTCCAAAGGTGTCATTAGAATCTTTTCCAGAAAACTGACAAGATGCGGACTGGATTTGGCTGTATGGTTATCCCTCAAATTGACCAGATGCGCAAGTGATAGAACTTTGAGCATCGATGTTGAGATCCTAGTAATCCAAATTTCTTGAGGATTTCAGTGACTTAGGCTTAACCTTACCCCTCGAAATCGTGTATGGCGGTCCTGACTACGTCACCGGCTTTCTTGTTGGGGCAGACCGCATCCGCCTGTGATAAACCAAGAAAGAGATGCTGCCAATCTTTGTCAACTTCAACTTCATCGCATCAGCCAACTACCGAGCTTTGTCATGACTTCCCACTTTTCCTTGTCAGGCAGTTGGATAGGTCAAAAGACTACATACCGTATGCAGTGGGCATCAAATGCGGACTGAAAACAGAAAGGGATGCAGATGTCAATGTCAAGTTCAGAGCAGGAACAATTAGCTGGGAATGTACACCTGGTGGTGGCACTTGAATAATCAACCAACCACTTGGCCCAGTATGGCTAAGCCCCTAAGATGTACCAATCATGACAATTTCTTCACAAACATGTTTCTGCAACATTTGCATTGCTTGAATCAACGCCCTAGGAGATACGCAGTTCCAACAAACATGCCCCAATCGATCATTTGGAGGATTGTTTGATTGCCTACACCTGCAAACACGTACCTGAAAGCCGTAACCAAGAAGGCTCTGGAAAGGAACCATCACCTCTGCACGGAAAAGCAGTGTTAGCCCCGCATTGTCAGACCGGTTGGTTTCATGGTGAAAGCGTGGAATGGATGCAAGGAGAACACCGTAAGGGGCAAAACAACAAGGTGCCCTTCATACAATCAACTAAGGCACTCAACAGATGTAGAAGAATTGTAGAAGGATTGCATCAGTACGTGCACATGGTGATGAGCTTGTCAAGTAGGAAAACTTACCATAGTCCTCGCAGTAGTCCCCCACGATGAATAGAACCTTCCTCATGGTTGCGCTTTCTCAAATCCCGCTTAACCTATTGAAGAAAATGGAGGACAATGCGCGCAGCAGCTGATTGCAATGCAACCAATCCTAAATTTTTCAGCTGAGAGGTCGTTATGTTCGTTGGATTGCCCACAGCCGTTCCATTGCCTTCGAACAAAACTTGGAATGCATGGGCAATCTGGCGAACTTGGAAGCTTCTAGAAGAAAGTTGCTTTCAGAATACATGAACACATCAGGGTTTTACATTTGTGGGGTTTCACCAGGTTTCACTGAAATAGGGTTTTCAGCTCGGGTTCCTTCTTCTCGTCAAATGCAGAGCTCTGACCTGAGCTGCAGCAGCTCCTCTTTGTGTTGCACACACAAAAACCCAGGTGGTCAACATGCCGCAGCTGGTTCTGTCGAGCTCGCCAGCTACTCTGCTATTCCGCCCCCACGGCACGTTTCTCTTGAAAAGCCACATAGCGCATCCTGCTTGCCCTGCCAAGGCTTTCTTCAGATCACCTACGCACTCCCCCAGCATTGGAAGATCTGTGAAGTCCGCACCCGTTCCAGCTCTTCTGGGTGGCAGTAAGTTTTTGGCACGAATTGCACCACTGCGTGTATTACAAGGATCTTCGGCATCACCATTGCAGCCATTCACTGCTCGAAGCAGAGGAACGATCAGCATGGCCGCAGTTCCAGAAAAGATGAAAGCATGGCAGTACGTGCAATATGGTGGTGGGGCTGGTAGCTTGGAGCTAGTGGACAAGCCAGTGCCAAGGCCTGGGCCAGATGAGATTCTTCTGAAGGTGAGCGCTCTTAAAAGCTCAATTGCCCTGGAATGCATGCATGTTCACTGTCCAGCTTATGAGCCAATGCATGCACTTAAGGTGCTTTGGTCACAGCCTTCGTGACGGCAGGCTGGGGACTGCCTGCACGCCTTCACAAAAGTGGTCCATCACAAGTCATAACTACCTCCGTCGCGTGTGCTTTTATGGTTTGTTAACTGTTCCTATATGAGCAAGCTAGTCACGCATGAATCCTGGACCAGATGCCAGCATGATGCAAAGACAGAGGGTCTGCGACCATCAGAATGGCAGCTTGACTGCTAACAAGAAGTACTGCCTTTCTTGCAGATACACGCATCTTCCGTGAACCCCGTAGACTGGAAGATCCAGTCTGGCGCTTTGAAAGCAGTCATATGGATCAAGTTGCCTATGGTTCCAGGTAGGTTCCTTCCTATGCTCCTATTTGGGAAAAGTCAGGTAGTTAGTACTCAAGAGATGACGGCATAATCCAACTTAGGGGGCTTGAAACAAGCGGGGCTGCATCCCAAACCGACATCTAGCAATGCTAGAAACTTTGTCCCAGGTCACTACAGACTGACCTGCAAAGTAGAGCATTTTGTTTCGTAAGTCTGGCCACAGATTGCGAAAGTTACCAGAGTCTGAGCGTTCATAGAAGGGCCTTTTTAGGAGGGAGTTGCTGGCTGATTTTAATGATCAATAGCTTGACTATTTATTGTGCAGGCACCGACTTTGCTGGAACAGTCGCTGCTGTTGGCTCCAATATAGCTGGCTTTTCAGTTGGTGACAGGATCTTGGCCAAGGTCGACGTATATGTGAGTCACAGAAAAGTCTTCTCCATCTGGATGTTGTCTGCACTGTGTACCGGGACTTCAGTCTTGAATTTCTGCTGGTGGTTGTTTCAGGGTGGCCAGTGTGCAACAAATCAAGTTCTCTGTGGTTGTGTGACTCTGTGTGTGAAAGCCCATTGTTGAAGTAGCGTGGTCACCTCCTTACCAATTTGTGGCGCCTTGAACTTCGGAGTCAGCCACTGAGACGTTTCAAACAATGTCGTCCCGACCTTGAACATTTGCAGCTCGAGAGTTCATTTCTAAAGTCCAGCCGTTCTGAGCAGAGAGACCCAGCCTAAATAGTCGGTCGTTTCAACAATAATGTTTCCTGATCGTGCTCAACTTATTGTTTTCTCCCCCAACAGCATCAAGGCGCTTTCGCTGAGTACGGAGTCATTGACACCAAGACAATCGCCAGACTGCCACCAGGCGTCTCCTTTGAAGACGCGGCAGGCCTGCCGGTTGCGGCCATGACCGCACTCCAAGGCCTCATCAAGGGGGGCCTATCGTTCCCCAAGGGCACCGGGCGCGTACTGGTCCAAGCAGCGTCGGGAGGAGTGGGACACTATGCCGTGCAGGTGAGACAACGGGGACGATTCGGTGTTCATTTTAGCGAGCCCTTTTTCCAGGCCAGCAAACGAGTCGAAGGGCAAGGTGAAGCTCGTATGAAGAATTCCCGTTTAAGGGCCAATTCGAAGGGAACCGCTTCGAACGGCTCCGAAGGCTTGTTGAGGAACGGCCGGCCATTTTCAGGACAGTCATTGAACGGTGATCAAGAGTGCAATTATTTGAATGAGCTTCTAACAGACCCGAAAGCGTTCAGGGAAGCGGCTCTCTTGGGATGTCGAGTCGAGCGTGATCGAAGTAGCATTTTGAGTATTTCTATTACGATTAGGGAACCGTAGACAGGCTGCCTGCCGAACATATGGCTGCGATCAACCACTCAAGATGAAGATCAAATCTACGTCAGAGTTTATTGAACCAACGTCAAAAGGTCAGGACATCTTTGCCTTCGCATGGACCCAAACGGTTCCTTTCTAATCGCCCACGTCTTCAGTCGAGCATCGTGGAGATGCCACCACGATCTCGAACTATTACAGGAAGTTTCTCATGAGATTCGTATGTTGGTGGTTTCTTCACCTGTGCGTCCTGTGAAAGGTACGTTGGCCGTTCCTGATATCGAAGCTATCATGTGCGCTTGCTTCCCTTCATTGTTGACTGCAGGCGGTCTATGTCGACAAGGCGCATCCAAGTATCATCTCGATCGTTCGAAGGCGAAAGTTTTTTTCGACAAGATTGTTGTGAAGGCTGCAAGCACCTGAATCTCTTGTTGAAGTTGGGTTTGTTACTTGGCACGGACAACAAAAGCACTGTATTTATAAATAATTGTCAGGTTCTTAGCGTTTCATATGTAGTGCAAAAAGAGAGTCGTCGTTTTGAGATGGTCACCTGCAGACCCTTCTAACAACGACACGGAACCAGTTGACTGCGCTGACGTCGGCTTTCTTAGCTAGGCACTTCGTTCGTCACCTTGCGCGGACATATCGGAAGATGCACAAAAGCAGGACAATCTTTCAACCATGTAATCATTGACAAGGTAAAGTACTTTTAGGGCTTATTCACACTTGCGTTTTCTTTGCGTCAGCTTGCCAAGTACGCGGGCGCCCACGTCACCGCCACCGCCAGCACGGGCAACATCGACCTCGTCAAGAGCCTGGGCGCCGACGAGGTCCTCGACTACAAGAAGCTGGCCGACCCCGCCAACCCCTTCCAGAGCGCGTCTAAGCAGCCGTATGACGTCATCCTGCACTGCACGTCCAAGGAGGAGCCGTGGGATCACTGGCAGAAGGTGCTCGCCAAGCATGGGAAGGTGGTCAGCTTTACCCCCGGGGCTAGTTACATTGCGAGGTCCGCGCTGCAGGCGGCGACCTTCTCGAAGCAGAGGTTGATCCCCCTGATCCTGTCGGCGAACTCAAAGGATCTGCAAACGCTGGTGGATCTCGTGGGCGATAAGAAGTTGAAAACGGTGATCGATAGTAAGTATCCGCTGAGTGAGGCGAAGAAGGCCTGGGAGCGGAGCATCGACGGGCACTCGGTGGGGAAGGTTGTTGTCGTTGCTGAGTAGAGGAAATATGACTTCACCGCCCGTAAAGGGCGGTGACTGAAGCATTTTGCTAGACTAATAAACCTCCGGCGTTGAGAAATGCCTTCGAGATTGTACATTAGGAGAACTGAAATGTTGTACATAGAGCCTTCGCTTGCCGTCTAATTCAAGTGTCTGGCATCAAAAGTTTGAACAACTGAGACGTTGTGCTGTATGTCGATGACAATTATTCTGCCTTCAGTTCCAATGGAGGAGTATTTGGAACTGACGCACTCAAACATGGTCACTCGGAGGCTACGTGGTAGGCTGAAAAGGCGGCCAACTGCGTCTCTCAACGAATGCGAAAACTTTTGCAATCAGGGTCATCCAACCGTGCGCACTAACCAGGATCCAATTCGATGAAACTCTATGGACGTGCGTGATTACTCGTCGACGATCTATATTTTGCAAGCCTGCCCATGCACGTATTTTCCGACGCTTATGAGAAGATTGGACCGGCAACACATACAGGATCGAATGATATAAGACGAGAGGTTTCATGGTCAGCTGCGGCCGACTCTCGACATGGTGGCATAATGGTACGCTAGCTGCATTTGACGGTTTCGGCAGTTATGCAAATGGGACTCAATCAAACCTTCAAAGTGTGCACGTATACATGCTTAACAAAGTCGGCACGATTAAGCAGATAGGATAGCCGCGCCATCATACATGCACTGTCTTGGCTCGTCAGGATCGGATCAAGACAACTCAGGGGATTCAACAAGACCAGCCGTGGCGTCTTTGATGGCATGAACAAAAGCAGCTCAAAGGAGATTTCTGCCAGCATTGACTCCAGGCAGACGAGATCCGCAGGCCAGCTTGCCTCCGGCGGTTCAAGTTCTAATCAGGCCGTCAGCAATGAGCACCCTCTGTACAGAAATACGATGCGTCGATGAGGCCACAGCTACAGCCACCCTTCTTTATCAGTGTCATCTTCCTCTATGAGTTTTCTGCTGAGTGGTGTGGGCCGCAGCTGTCCTTCGCTTGGCAGCCCTATCGCTTCCTCTATACTTCTCAACCTTTCTCTCAAAGTTCCTTCGAAGCAAGCTCGTTCCTCTGCATTTCGTACCAGATTTCCAGTCCGAGCACGGCTCTTCTCCTCATCTTGACTCTCGGAGCCGGCCGTTTCACTGACTTGCGCTCTCTCGCTCGACGTTCCCTCGTGCAGCTGTCGAATTGCTTCCGTTCCTCCAGATTCATCTCCTGCTTTCGAACAGCCGTTACTCCTGCCCTTTTCTTCTGATGTCACAACTTCCGTCTTGCTCTCTGTCGTCCTGGTGAACCATCCCCCGCCGTCTGCCCCCTCCTCCAACTTCCACTTCTTCGCCAACCATTCTCCCCTCCCTTCATCCGTGTTTCCACAGCTGCCCCGCTCATCATGCCCTCTGCTGACGTCACCAAAGAACGCTTCCTCTGAGTCACGCTTTCTGTTACTTTTCGTAGCCTCGAACTTGACCCCGCTAGCCACCATCTTGCCAACGTTAACGACCGCATCTTGGCCCTCTAGAGTGGGAAGGAACCTTTGGATGTGGCGCCGTGCGTCTGCGTCCGCTTTCAGAGTCTCGCAGTCGAACGTGACGTTGGGCGGGGCTCCGGACCGTCCTTCTCTGGCTGCTTCGAGGACTTCTTCCTCCCACCTGCGAAAAGGTTCTCCAAAATTTCCTTGAACGTTTGTTCGTGTACTGGACAATCGGACCCGCCCTTGGAACCGGGAAAAGCATTCCTTAGCTTCCGCCATCTCCAGCGATGCAGAACACTTTCCCATTTGGCTCAGAGAAACAAGTTTGTGAAAAGTGTGAGAGGCTGCTTACGAGGATATTTCTATGGATCAGACTCCCCTAGTTGAACACTTTTCGAGAAAAAATCGATGTACAGTTGTCTTGATTGCATGATACTGGTTCCTTGAGTGGATGACTGTGACTGAAGGCCTTGACTGAGCAGCCACAACAAGCATTCAGTCTGCTCTTGAAAGTTTGTTGCGCAACGAAGGGCCTTGAAAGACTTTGATATTTTGAGTTCTGAGCGTCCGATAACCTCAGCAGTAGAGTTATCAAGCAGTAAATATGCGTCAGCCTGATCTGCAGTCCATACTTACCCATGGGCATCTTCCGCTGTTCTGATCCTGGCTGCATCTGCGCCTCTTTGCTCGACCACTAGTGTACATTCCTTCTGACTCTGTATGCACAAGGAAACCATTCAGTACACAAATCGGGTGCACTTGCGACACAGTGCCTAATAAAGAGTCCAGCTCTGATCTAGTGCACCTCAACCAAAAGTGGACAGAGAAAGTTAGATGTGGTCCGGAAGAAGGTAATGCTCACAGGATTGGCAGCCACACCAACCCAGCTGCCAAGCATAAAACAGCTGATTGCATTTCAATTTGTGTGCTTCAAAAGTACGGTGGCCAGCTCATGAGGACAGGAGTTTCACATAACGTGCAGATGGCAGTAAAAGATAAGGACAGGTTCTTATTGCCTTTCATAAGATTGGAAACTGACCTTGAACTCCAGGATCGTCAAGTCCACGAGCTTGTAGTCTTCCCCCCGGCTACACTCACGCTCACACTTAATCTCTGCAAAGCAGCAAGAGACCCCAATGTATGAGCAACATCATTCTAGATGGTGCTTGAGGACCAAACCTCTAGGCGGCCAATGCATACAGCTTCTCAGATGCAAGTGTCCCAACCTGAGGAAACTCTGGTCGGGACTGAGATGAGCTGCTGAAAAAGTAGGAGCTTCTGCGGTTGATTAACAAGACATGTCTCCAAAGAAAAAGTTTTTTCGTACCATCAATGCAATCTTGAAATTCTTAGCACCCAACAAACTACTGGCACTCTCAGAAATTGGCATGAGCTGTTCTCTCTCCGTGGAAGTCAAGCGCCGCCAGTCCACTCCAGCTTTATTCACCTTTTCCGAATATACCGTACGACATTTTGGTGACGGCGTCAATAAGGTGCCCTGAGATGCACCCATCTGGTAGCAGTGCCAGCGATGCGACACCTTCAATGTGAAGGACAGAGGCCATGGCAGCACTTCTCCAGCTCTTACATGCAATCGACAAAACAAGCTGTCATCGGTTCAAAATCTCAACCCCTGAAAGCTGGCCACCATATACCAGAAGTTGAACTTGTGGGCACGTCGAGCCAGCTCTCAGTGTCAAACCCAGCACGGCAGAAACCCGGGGTTTGTACTCTTCGAACCCGGGTTTACAAGTTTGGATTCGCAACCTTTGACTAACTTTCCCGTTTTCCTGGTGTGCAGCAAGCCGTTTGTTTGTGGCATCCTTGCAGAGGGGAAATCCTGACTAAGTAGGTACCTTCTGGCACAGTTTTCAGAACCGGCTGCCATCTTTTGCTGATCCGAATTGGAGTTAAGCACCAGTTAGCCTGTGGGCCAAGGGCTCACCCATAGTACTAGTAGATCTGTGAACCTGCAACCAAGACGTCGAACATCAAACAAGGAGGACGTATTTTAAGGTTGGCGCAACATGACGCTCAATCAATGTCATGATGCTGACAACTTGGTGTAGGTGGGTGCCATTCAGCTGAATAGCAGGCCATTCGCTCGACTCTGCACAGAGCAGAGTGGTGCATACCTAACGTGAGCCCGAGTGAGCTGGATCGAGCTGAAGTCTGCAGCGGCAACTGGTGAATGACTGTTTAAACATAGGGAGAAGGGGTGGCGGGGTCTATGGGAAGGGCACGCAATGGCTGTCAGTCAGACAGCACAAGCTCGGACAACGTGTTGCTTTGGAAGCTGCAACTCACCTGCAACTACGAAGGGGCACTCATGCTCCAAAAGGGGCTCACGCCACATCAATGTGAAAGCGCATTGCAATGTGAGTTTTTCATGTGATTGCTACTGCGAAAAGTGATAGCAGAATGAAGTTTTTACTTTACAGAAAGAGGCCCAACACTTGTCAACTTCTTTTAGAAAAGGTGGTCTTCATGTGGACTTGAAGGATAGGATCATGAGGTGTGATGACTACCCGCTCCCACTGTGGAGGGGAGTCTGGGGCTCCTCACAGGAAAGTCACATCTAAGCATAGGTCGATGCGCTGTTGACAGCATGGTTGGCTAGCCAACCTCAGTGGCAGATGATTCTCAGTGCCCCTCCCACATGTAGCTCTTGACATGACTATTTCGGACGCTCAACAAGAGCGCTTGTATTACACAGTACTTCCAGATCATGCAGATAAGATTTTTGTCTTGCAGGTCAACTTGCGTAGCCGTGCTCCGCCACGTACTCGTAGGGTGCTTCAATGGGAAGACGAAGGGACGCTGCTTGGAAAGTCCTCAAAGTGGAGCATTCAAACACCCAGTTTCAACAGACCCTGGGATTGGCCCGGGTCCGTCAGATCACGCCGTCACTCCAAAGCCTCTTTACCCTGTGCGTCGAGTTCTTTGCCCCATTCAAGCCAGAGCGAGTCTTCCCTACTAAAGACAGAGTCTCAAAGAGCGAGTTGTTGGTCAATCTATACAGACTTGCAGTCTGAAAGTGGTAGTAATTCCTCAGAGAGGGAGGGCTCAATTCGATGGGCAAGCTTCATGTTGGAGTTTGCGGTTGGCTTTCTTGTTGCGGCGCTCCTTCCAGCCACATCGTATTGGCTCTTTTTATCCAGTCAGAAGACCAGGCCCAAAAGTCAGCCTCCAGTAAGTACTATTTCAACAGTCCACCGCTCAAGCTCTGGAGAACCAAAGGACGTCACTGCGTTTCAGCATTCAAGTGAAGTTGCTGTACAGCAGCCTTCCGAACAGTGCAAAGGTTCTCGTTCAAGTTTCGAATCAGCAGATCATGACCAGAAACCAGTGTTGTTCCCGAGAGCCAAAGCTCTTCATCGTAGGTTAGAAGGGGAGTCTACTCAGCATCATGCATCGGGCCTTGTTTCAGCCGAGCAGGAAGGTTGGCAGCTGGAAAGATCTGCATCTAGTTCGCAAGCAGGGCCTTCCGCTTCCGAAGCTTTCCCCACCAAGCCATCAGCATCCCAACATAAAAGTTGGAGTATCAGAAGATCACAACAAAGTGCAAGCGGACCATCCGCTCCAGACACAGCTGCAGGCATCTCAATAGCCAGCTCGCAGACTCTTTCCGACGTCTTCAGAACGCGGCCCGTGACGTGGGACTCCGGCGCCGTCGTCGAGCCAGGCGGATCAGTCATGACGTCAGCCAGCTACCAGCTTCCGTTCGTAAACCCGCCCGCTGGCGCCGACCCCTTCGCGAGCCGCGCGGTATGGGACACGGGCAGTGAGCCCGCACGAGCCACCGCTTTCTCCATAAGCCCACCCGAAACTCCGCCCCCCACAGACTCGCCCGTCAAGTTATGCGGCGATTCGCGGAGGGGATCCGGGCTGCCGTTCAAACTCATCTTGCGGTTCCCGACGAAGGGAAACTCGTTCGTGCGGGCTGCGGCCGAGCGGGTGGGGCCGTCGGTTGTGCGGATAAACACGGAGAGGAATCAGCCGAGCGAAGCGGGGGGTAAGGACTTGTTCAGCAAGTTTTTCGGGGGGGACGATTTGGCGCTGGAGGACCGGGCAAAGGACCGGGAACAAGGGCAGGGGAGCGGGTTCGTGGTCGACGGGCGGCAGGGGATCATCGTGACGAACGCCCACGTCATCAATCGAGCGGACACCGTTCTGGTGAGTCCCCTTCCTTGTCAAGAAATGGGCATCTGGAGATCCGGGAACAATATTGACACTGTCACCGCTCTTCTTACTGAGACCAACTTTTAATTGAACCGGACTGTGCCAGTCAAAATCGCCTGATTGGATATACACCGCCCACACAGAAGATGCATCAACATCCGCTCCAATGTTTCCTAAGACTTACAACTGAACAAACTGCTCTTCGGCTTTTCACGAATCTGCTTTTGCGCTCTTGCGCTCTCTCGTGTTGGCACCCTTCCGTACAATCAAACTCTAACGCTGACTCAAACCTCTGAAGAGCGTTGAACCTTCTGAATCAAAGTAGTCTCCTTGTTCCTCCTAGGTGACGATCCAATAGTTGTTTGTTTCTCTGCCAACATCTCTACTTGAGATTTAGTCGGCCCCCTCTTCTTTGTCTGTTGCATAACGCCCTTCAGAAGGTAAACGAGCCCAATGTAGGTCGCAGCTCGGTATTGGACCCGCTCCTCCACGTGCTGACAGATCTCCCGGTTCCGGCTTACGCCAGGGCGCTGAATGTTGCACAGATTTTATGCCAGACTATAATCCTCAACCACGGAAGTGTATCACCTCATTGCGCTAACCAACAGAATTCGGGTTTACTGTGATTGCAGGTCACTTTCACTGATGGGCGCACGTTTCGGGGCGTGGTCGTGGGCACGGACGAGCTGACTGATTTGGCGGTGATCAAAGTGGAGCTGCCCCAATGGGAGAGCCTGCCGAATGCGCCACTCGGGGACAGCAACAGCCTAGAGGTCGGGGATTGGGTCATAGCGGTGAGCGCCGCGACCGAGACTTCAGCTTTTCTTCGTCGATACTTTAACAGGTGTCGAGGACTGGTCCCCACCCAGGCGACCAGAAGACTTCTCACAGGCCTTGCTGGGTCGCCGAAGGCCCTGCCACATATTGTGGTGATCGTACCACGGATTGTAGGCCGTCGGATAATACTTTTCCTATGAACTCAGGTTCACGACTGTAGTATGAAATCTGACGCCTTTTGAAGATGGAACTGCCGTCAGGATGCAACAATCCTTATCCCCTCCGATGCGAGTAAGTCTTGCATGAAATCCTTGTGGGATAGTGTCGTTTGTCCCTGCCCTTATGCCGTCCTTCTCTTCCCAGCCTGACGTCAACTGGCGTCTCTGACGTCATACCCACCTCTTTCCTCAGGTGGGCAATCCTTTCGGCCTGGACAACACCGTGACTCTAGGTATCGTGAGCTGTCTGCACCGACAGGCCGCCGAGATCGGCATCCCGGAGAAACGGGTAGACTTCCTCCAGACGGACTGCGCCATCAACCCGGGCAACTCGGGGGGACCCCTCCTAAACGAATTCGGCAAGGTGGTCGGGATCAACACGGCGATCCGAGCGGACGCGGAGGGCATTAGCTTCGCGATCCCCATCAACTACGTGAGGCTCCAACGGATCAAATTTTATTTGTGCTTGGATACTTCGAGGCATTCTCCAAGCCCTTTTGCGTAAGATGTAAGTAGTTGGATAGCGCCCGATTCAAGCTGGTATGGTTCGTAGCGCTCTTCTCGACACATCAGGAAAGGTAACGCCGGCAAACGATTGAGCCCGGTAGGAGTAGTCTGCGGACGGCGCTTGGCAAACGTTTGCATCGCGGATGCTATAAATGAGAACGCGGACTCTTGACAAACCCCGGAAACTTTGATAACTTTACTCTTCTGGAATTGCGAGCTCAATCTGCAAGCAAGAACCTAACAGTAAGAATCTCGAGTTGCACTGTTCATCGGACGTTCTCCGCTGCAGGCCCGCAAGATCGTCGACGTCCTTAGCCAGGGCCTGCCCATGCGTCACGCTTACATCGGCGTGCAAGTGGTGACGATCACACCCGGGCTGGCACGTCAGCACAACACCGAGCCCGGCTCCCGGGGGGTCTTGCCGGAGGTCGGGGGCCTCTTGGTTGCGAACGTGAGCCGTGTGCCTCTCGCCCTTTTCTGCATATTTTCTGCGCATTGTGAGTTAACAATTGTGTTTCGATATCGAATGCTGCACAGTCCGGCTGCGCGTACCGTTGCCGTTTTTCTTAAGTCCTATGTTACGAAATTTGGGGTGTTGACAACTGGAGGCGAAAGGGCACTGCTGCGAAAGATGAGACAAGGCGCCCTTTGTCTGGGCTTCAGTGCAAGTGTCTCTTCTCAACGCCCTGGATATGTGACGGCACTTTGTCGCAACTGGTCGGAACAATAAATTCGAGAGCGCTGCTGAAATGGTAGTTCAAAGCGGCTAAAAGGGCTCCACTCAAGAAGGGCGCTCATACGTCATCTCCTTGGAGCCAGCGACCGGCACCTTCCGCGCCTACAATGTGCGCGCGCGTCGTACCTCTTCCATCTATCAGCGTCTAACTCGTACTCGTCGCCAGGCACCGCTACAGACCCATAGCGCAGCAAGTGGGCACCGAACCTTTGGGGATCACCCTGCTTCGCAGTCTAAAACGAGAACATGCTATCAGCGATTGGAGTAGTGCTGTTTCATTCTCCTTATTTTGATGTACCTGTGTGAAATTCTGGATTTGGTATTTCAGATCACGTACTCTGCCCAAGCTACACCCCGCACCGTCCGAATCTCGACTTCCGTACATCCAAATTCTCTACGACCGTCCATAAAACGTAAAGGCCAGTTTAGGCCATCCTATGCGGTACTTCGTCGGTCGAAGTAGATGCGAATTGGCTTATTCAGAAGCCAAAATCACCCAACTGTCTCACACTAGTGGAGGCATACACACCCACACGCACTTCTGCTGTGGCCCCAGATCGCCGACGGCTCCCCGGCCGAGGCCGCCGGCCTGCGCTCGGGTGACGTCATCTTGGAGATGGACGGCCGGCGGCTGCGCTCCGCGGGCGAGCTGCAGTGCGTCATCGCATACAGTGACGTCGGCCAGGTGGGCTCTTTGAAGATTCAAAGCTCTGCTTTGCATGCCACTGTCCTCCAAAAGCCAGGAGTCTGGACTGCTTTTTAATCGGTTTCAGTCTGAGTGGTCTGTTTGTTTGTGTTGGCCGGGGCCGAACCCTGTTGATAAGCTCTCCCCTTAATGTCTCTCTTCCTTGGAACCCTGGTGGCTTCAAAGGCTTGTTTTATAAGCCCCTCTGGCTTGAGGGGATTCGGCATTCTAGTCAAGATCCATGACGGGTAAGTAGGCAAGAGTCCGTGCGAGACTGAGTTTCTGCTTCTCCCCGCGGCGCCTGAATATTGCTAAGGGGCAGAATGACAGTGTCTGACGAACTGACGTCAGCAGATCTTGCCTGAGATTGACTTGTCTGGCCGCAGCTTATCAAAGTGAAGACCCGACGGGGCCAAGAGACCATCGTTCTAAACATTGTGGCTGGAGACTTGACTCCACTGCTGTCGGCAAAGAGTGGTGGGTCGCCCCGGCCAAAGTGAACCCAATCGAGTTACACTCGAGACGTCTCTGTGATCAGATTTCTGAACTTGGACATGTCCACAAACACTAGCCAGCATTTGTTGTATCGAACGCTTCTGTCAAATAGATACGGCAGGGAATGACGCAGGGGCGCAGGGGCAACGTCAACATCAAACTAGGACGGGTTTACAGCAGGTTACAGAGCCGCACAGGTGTTCGAGGTTTTAATACAGATGGCAATCACGCATGTGAGGCCTCTCAGTCCGCGGCTGCAATGGGGGAGGACAAGTATTCATGAGACGAACAAGCGCCGCTCAAAGCTTTTGGGCGGCTTTCGTGTATGTGTTGAGGCGCTCGGCCATTGCTGGGACGCTCAAGGCGTCATGACGCAAATCAGTTATTTGCCAGAAATCTAGGTTCTAAGTAGCTGGTCTCAGTGCGCTTGAAGCTACTTCTGTGTTGAGAACATGTGACACGATGCGCGGTTGGATGCAGTGTGGGACAACCTACATGTATTACCCCGCCAAACAATGGACCTTCTCTTCTATGCCAATGTATAGGCGCAAGAGACTCACATGTAGAGCGCCGTCCATGGATGGAATTCGTGCGTTACATTGCAGCATGCACGGGCGAGTGTGCACAATCGTCCGCATGTAAGGACCACATCATGTGTGTACCCTACATATCGAGCCCGATACATACCTGGTACCATCAAGAGGAGCGATAGGCCCTTTGTAACGGGGGCAACGTGGAAGCCCAAGCATCAAGATGACGCACCTTGAGTACTCAACTAGTTGGGATGAAGGTATCAAATTCGAGCGTGTAACATGTCAAAGCAAGAACCATGAACACGCAGGGACCGCACATCAGTGATTCAATGAAAGGGTACGATCCTATGAATGCTGTCCGACTCAAGAGGCGAAGATGGGAGGCCAGGACACGTGCTTAGAACTTCCATTATTGTCGCTGGGAGTGTTTCAATGCCTCGGAAAATCGACTGTACAGACAGGCCCTAACGCGGGGGACGGACTGGGTCACCCTTCTCTCAACGTAGGTGCACTTTTCGACACGAAACTGTGAACAACTCGTGGTCCGGACCTGTATCGGATCTGATCGACTGCCTGCCTGAAACGGGGGGCTTCGTCAATTCTTGGGCCCGCTTGAGAACGAGCCTTCCCGTCCTGGGCAGTTCCTCACGACAAACACCAGTAAGGAGGACTGCTTTCTAAATACAGAATGTGGGCGACGCTTTAGAACCGGGGCCTACAACTGGGATTGGCTGAAGAACCAGTTGGCGTGGGGGTTGGCCAAATGTTGGCTCAGGTTGGTCAATGGGCCCTGTCCGGTCACGAGGTACTGCTGGAGGAACCCGATGAAGGCAATCATCGCCAACCGCCCGTTCTTAATCTCCTGCACGCATAGAGCACAAGTCCATTGAGCGCCCGCCTGAGACAGTAAAACGAAGGTGTTCTGCCAACTCTTTTTATTCTCGTTTGTACAACAGAGCTTCGTGTAAAGAGAGGGCCAGCCTTGTCAGAGTACAGCTTTGTAGGAGTGCAAGTGGTGTACAATGGCTTCCGCTCTCGTTGCAGCCTGGTGTTTCCAAAAAATAGTCCCAGACGATCAGATGCAATCAAGAAGTTAATTTCGAAACAGAAGAGTATTGCAGACGGGTATGCAAGTCAAAAGGAACAGAATCTGGACACATTCGAAAGTAAACAAGGGCAGGTGTGAAGTGTCTACTGACCCTGGTCCTCATGTCCTTGACCTTTGCGTCGTCACCCTTGGCGAAGCCGAGGGGGTCGAACCCGGGGTACAAGAAGCTGCTGACATCATCGTAGCTGCCGTAGCCCTTGGTGATCTCAGCGCGCAGCCGGAGGCTCTCGGCGGCACCCGCAACGAACAGAGCAGCGATGCCGGGCCACTCAGCAGGGACCTGAAGTAGAGAGACGCAGACGTGTCAAGAGTTCTGATTCTTCTTGATCTGGGACATGGAACAGGTGTAATCTGCCAAAGTATAATCTGCCGAGAGACTTGCACTAGGAAAGCTAGTAAAGCAAGTCTTCACCCTGTCTGTTGATCAATCGAGTGGACAAGAGGCAGGTGCTACTGACGGGGCACAAAATGCTTGCAACTTTACTGAAGGCTAGGAGTCAGAAAATATCGGAATCTCGAGAAACCTCATTGCTTCATCTGCAGTGCGACTGAACCCTGAAAAGAACACAGAAGTCCTTGGCTTCAGGACGCTGCAGGGCAATGCAGCAGACTATTCAAGAGAAAGAGAGCGAGAATATACTCACACCAACAGGCTCCAAACCCAGGATGGTGCTTCCGAAGGGAGCGGACGCGGCAATGTCTCCGAAGTTGCCCTTGCCCAGCAGCTCAGGCACAATGGCGCCCACAACCGCGAGCATGGCAAACCGTCCGTTCATCACCTCACCCTCAACCAGACGGTTCCGAACGGTCTCAGTGACAGAGAGGCCGAGGGGGTCGAAGCCAAAGTCACTGCAGAGGTAAAAGGACACTTTTGAGGGGTTGATCAGGGAAATAACAACCAAGTAAGTGGAATTTGTTCTTGTGGGTTTGAGCATTGTTGCCTTAAAGAGTCACTCAAGCCATTGATTCCAGTAGCTGCTATCACTCTGTGTGCAACTTGACCAGGATTGTAACGCGGGTGAGAGACCTGTCCAGATGCCTGGTTGGCGGCTTAGCAACGCCCTAAAAAAGTACAAGGCCAGAAGGGAGGGCTGGAGATGAGTGCCTCAGTAAGCACTGGCTAGTTGGAAGTGGCAGTAAATGACCAGCAGCGTGTATCGCAACCGCAAAACAACATCAATGAGGGGCAAAGCAGTCAACCAGCTCGAAGTACTCAGTCTGCATTTCTTCGCTCCTATGGCACGACCATTATGCGAAGCTCCAACAATTCAAAAAACTAGTACGGCCTCAAGATCAGCAGACAAGGGCCAAATTGTGGCCCAAACCCAAGGCAATATACATATAAGAGGAGTGTTTAACTTCGACCCCCTTGAAGACTATACTTTTGGAGAGAGGGAACAAGATGCTCAATAACTTACGCAGGGAGGGAGCCGTCGAGGTGGTCGGGGCGGACGAGGCCAGGGATCCAGACACCCACTCCGAAGTAGGGGTCAACCTTCTGGTCTGAGGACATAGAAACGCGGGCATTGCACTGGACTGCGGGGCGGCTCACCAGAGCGCGGCCAGCGAAGAAGCTGGACCTGCAGAGGAAGAATGGGGAGTACACGTCTTTCAGGGAGATGTCTGTGAGGATGAGCCTGTATGGGCCCTTATTCTGAAGCAATTGTGGGTGCAATTGTGGGTTTAGGTGGCTGTTTGTGCGAGTACTTTCAGACACTTGACAGTGCCAGCCTGAGATTGGTCGCATTCTCCGCAGGCAGAACAGGAAAAAGAAAAGTTGCATAAACGTGTTTTCCTCCAATTGAGAAACTGCATTCTACTGCTACAGGTTGCTGCTCCAGTGTATTTACTTTGGAAATGCCTGTTGCAATGCTGCTCTTCTAACTCAGTTTCGAGCATGACTGAGGATCTATTGTGCGGCGGAAGGGGCAATGCCGCAAGACTGCCCATATGTGAACCCGCTTGATTGACAAACAAACTCGCGCAACCATCAATCCTATCCACAGCGCACGCACTAGGTTCCTCAACGCCTCAAAATTTTCTTAGCTGCAGTGCCGTAAGAAACAGTACTTTCCCTCGTAATTGCACTGCCGACCGTTTGAGTTTCGGCGCCACCCCGTTGCAATGCTTACCTCTGGCCGACAGCAGCGGAGGTGCTCGCTGTGGTCGCGGCGAAACCCGCGAGCTTGGACAGGCTGCTGGCAGCAATCGTGGAGCTCGCCATTGCGTCTTTCTGTTACGTCCCTCTGTTAGCTTCTTTAGCTTCGTTGTTAGCTGACTGAGCTTTAGCTGCAGCTGAACTACAAACAGCAGATGAAGTTGGCGAATTTGACAAAGGGAGCAGCTAAAACTGAAGTGAGACGAGGGGAACAGCAAGAATGTGGATGAGACACTGTACAATTCTTCTCCAGAATTTGGAAGTGAAGGGGAGAGAGAACGTGAGCCAGACACTCGTCTGTGTGCGCCGGGCACGGATTGGCTTGGGCGGCAGGGCGTCACAATTCCGCTGTACTGCGCGGCTCTCTGTGGCTCGCAGCCATTCCGGACGATCAGCGCTTCCAATTGGCCACATGGTCCCACGTGTAGATGTATCTCGATCTCCGGCCAATCAGGAGCTTGCCGCCAGATCCACATTCAAATTATTACAGCCAAAGACTCGAGAAACCCCGCTCGCAGCCACAGACATCTCCCAAGTGAATCTTTGATTTCACCAATCGCAGACTAGCAAAAGATCCAGCATGACGTCACATGGATAGACGTGGTGCTATGGGCGCTTCTGATTGGTTTCTGCGGATTCCGAAGCTTCCAACGCACAGCGGAGTTGCTGCCAGGGCTTCGGAAGGGAGTGCAATGCGTCGCGCTCCCCCTCCTCGCCACGGCCAACGTGAGCCTCTCTTCAAGTACAAGCTCTTAATTCGTAAGCTAGAATTGCGTTTCTGCTCAGAGTCGGATCGTAAGCAAGTTGCCCACTCAACACAGCTGACAGAGCTATCAAAGTTCGCCCACATTTTGCTAGCACCTGTCAACTCTAAGCAGCCTCCCTTCCTGTTCAACCTACCACTAAAGAGCAGACATGGCCATGACCGCGTGCGCCGTTAAGGCCTCGGCCCTGGCCGGGAGCCTCGCCTCCGTCTCCAGCTCCACCCAGAGCTCCTTCTGCCGCAGCTTCAATGTTGTCCCGAAGGGCAATGCACGTGTCACAATGGCGGCCGCCAACCGGCCCGTTTGGCTGCCCGGCGCAAAGCCCCCGGCGCACCTTGACGGTAGCCTCCCTGCGTAAGTGGCGCCAGCCCTGGTCTCAACTACAGAGTGCTCCTCATTTGCATGGCGCTGTGACTTGCAATGCTGTGCCAATATTTGCAAAAAGGGCAGCAGGAGCTGCAATGAGCTGGCAGGTTTCTTCTGGCAATGGGCAACATTTATCTGGTAGTTATTGTGGCCGATGAGTTTGCTCTCTGAGCAGTGACGTTGTGAGCAATGGGAGGCGTTTGGTGAAGCTGCACCTTCTCAACAACTTGTGGGCATATTGGGACGGCTTGAATCCAGAGGGTCTAAAATTAGACAGCTGGCTAACACAGTGCAGCAAACTCCCAGGCTCCTTGGCCTTCTTGGTTGCCTTGATAGCTCACACTTAGACCCCACAGCTGCTCAAATGATGCACACACCGTTTGTAGAGATTCAATTTGTCGTGATGGCCAAGTCCCTAATGAGATACTAAGCAAGGTCCAGCACAATACCAGGAGATTAGCATGTTGGACTAAATATCCTGAGCTTACTTGCTGCAGAGACCGCGGTTTCGACCCCTTGAAGCTAGCGGAGGACCCGAAGCTGAAGACCCGTATGGCGGAGGCTGAGGTCTTCCACGGCCGCACGGCCATGCTCGCTGTTGTCGGTGCTTGCGTCCCAGAGCTCCTGGTAAGGGGACAGCTGTCATCATAAAAACACTCCAGATATAGTACATGAGTCTTCTTAATCCACCAATTTTGCCCCTGATAATGATAGCATTGGGCTTAAGGGTAGTAGTTTGTCTCTGTAGGGAATCGTCTGTTTGTGCCCCACATGTGATCGTTGAAGGACTGGAACCAGTCATGGCAATGTCAGAGGCCAAGGTTTGAAACTGCCTTCTGTCCCTGATGCCATTCTGCTGGACTGTATCCTTCTCTTAGTGTCAAAAGAAGCTTGGTTGCAACTGGGTTCCGGACTGTATCCTCCTCTTAATGTCAAGAGAAGCTTAGTTGCAACTGAACCCAGCAAGTAAAGCAACTATCACACACTTGAGATGTGACCGTGTACAATTTGGCGCGCAGGGAAGAGGGGACTGGTACTCGGCTGCCCACACCATGGTTGACGGTGGAGGCAACAGCTTCATCCTCTCCCTCCCCCCCTTCGCAGTAAGTCTCGGAATGGGGAAGCCTACTCAAACAGGGCCCTTACACACCCTTCCATCAAAGAAGATTTGCTAGCTACCTTAGGGACTCCTGCTCATAAGAAGAATCAAGAAGGAAATGTACAGACAGTCTTTCCATTGTCATTTCATGAAAAGATCCAAGGGCACACCAAGATCCTTTCAGCATCTGCAAACAAAGTGCCCGAATGACGAACTAGAACCTATTGAGCTACGGTGATCGAGTTTCGGGGCCTGAATGTCAGGAAAGTAGCATGTAATTTCAATCGGTCTCGAATCTGCCTGAAATCCAGGAAGTGCTATGAAATCATTCGGTCCTACTTTTCTACATCTCAGTCTCTCTTTCTTTTCTGTTTACCAGATTCCCTTCTTCCACTTCACGTGTCGATGCCTCAACTCGTTCTCCACTAGTCTTCTTTCCTTGACCAGGTGTCTCTTCAAAACCTTCTCATTCTGCCGAGTTTTCCTGACCTGTCAGTTTTCATTTCCAGGTGCCCACCAGCCCTGTCGGCCTGGGTATCTTCCACATGGTCGCCATCGCTGAGGGTGCCCGCCTCTTCCGCGAGACCGAGGCCGGCTATGACAGCAGCATCGATGCCACCGGCATCTACCCCGGCTTCGACCCTCTGGGCCTTGCCACCGGAGACGATGCCCAGATCAAGGACATGAGGACAAGGGTAAGCGCCAATGCATTCTCCAAGTATTGTCTATTGACCTCCTGGCGGGACTGGACAAGTTATCTTTTACTCATGTCCGGTTGAACTTGTTAGTTCTTTGCCTGAGTGCTGCTTGAGAGGCTGCAGATTGTGAGCCAGCCAGCGTTCGCAGGACCGAAAGCAAGGTCACTCCTGGCGAGGGCCGCGCCCCACCTGCATACTGTGTTGGAGATAATTCCGGCCTTCTCTGGGCCACTTGGGCAGGTTGTTCTTGTGCACCTCTTTGAGCCCAAAAGGAAAAGAGCTGTGAATGTCCCCCTCTTCCATTCTGCCAACAAGACAAGTGCAAGCAACAGCGGGCATATGATCAAATCATTCTCTCTTGAAAGTTTGACGCAAGAAGCCATAGCCTGATGTCGATTCATTTGTCACGTGGCAGGAGATCAAGAACGGACGGCTAGCAATGATCGCCACCGGCGGTTTCCTGCACCAAGCACTGCACACCGGGAAGGGCCCCATCGCAAACCTGATGGACCACTTGGCCGACCCCTCTCACAACTGGTACTTCGGCAACTAGATACGGGACATTGCTTCTCCATCCAGGCTTCGCCAGAGCCGTCGATTCGCCCTGCTGCCGCCCTGACTAAATAAAGGAAAGCCAAGGGAGGGACGAAACACGATCATTTGCACCCTACTTGTCTTCAAAGTAGGAATGCAGCGAATAGGAGCGGTTGTAAAGTCTTGAGTCGTTCGAGTTGGTCACTGGGGCGGGTTCCGTGTTTGTGGGGGCCTGCCCGTCCCGCCAAAGGTCACCGTGATGCGCTTTGTACAGAAGACGATATTGGTCGCGAGCAGTTCATCAATGGACAGACGATTTGCGTAATGATGAGAGTAACCGTCGAATCCGCGGTCCACGAGTTAGATCCAAGCGACATTCAACACTTGAACAACTGTCGACCAACACATAGCGATGGCCTTCGCATCTGTATGTTGTGCCGTTCACACATCTGACAAAGGCCATCATACCGGACCAGGCCCATTGAGTGAACATCGACCCCCGGCAATCTCGTCCTAGCCCTAGCATATGCCTTTGCTCGGAGCGTGAAAGAGCGGCACTTTCACTCCGATTTAGATAGGACTTACGACTATTGCGACTCTCGCGTTTGACTCTGCTCGGAGCGTGAAACCCCTGCCAGTTTCACTCCGATTTCAAATTTTGCCTGCGCCCAAGCCTCTGCCATTCGTTACATGACGTGTGTATGTACATGTGTATCGTGTCGGTATCTTTTTCCCCTTCAGTGAAAAGATCCCCAAAGCTATGAAGTACGGGGCAGGGGTTTTTTAACGGTCGGCATGGTGCACAGTGTAACATGATACACTGCAATTGCTTCTGCGCCTCTCTGCGGTCTACATCCCTACCAAGATTGTTGCCCGCTAATTAGTGCGAATCCTAGTTCCAGCAGATTGCCTGGAGGCGACAAGTAGCTAGTTGAGTCACGGTTGCTTTTACTAGCACGTCACTGGCAAGTTTAGTTGTAATCCGGTGCGCTGTTGCTAGACTAGGTTTGGTGACTAATTCAATGTACGCACTTTGATTTGGTAAGGTAGCTAGACGTTCAAAACCCAAACAATTCCCATGTATGCCATCGAAGCCTATGGCCCATGTGGCTACGGCGTTTGAAAAGAGAACATCAATGCACACTGATGAGCAATTGTAGATGCCACTTATGATAGTTCTCAAGCTGTCTACGCCTTTAAGCAATTTAAGGTCGATCATGCCGTCAGTTCTAGGTACTCGCTTTCAGATCATACTAACCATGTCACCTATCGTGAATCACCCTTCTGATACTACACTCGGACTGGACAGTACGTAGAGATGTTTCTTTTTCGGTACAGATGTTTCTTCTTCGGTGCCCGTCAAAGCGATGCTCCACGGCCGCCCTTGTGATCCCTCGACCTTGCAACAGTGAATGCCCCACAAATTCCAGCTACTCAGCTACATACTTGAGGAATCCCACACTCGGTCAGCGACCCGTCCGCTAGAGCCGAATCTGCATGAATTGGTCTTTGCACAATCTGCTCTATGATGAAGCTGTTGAAAAGCTAGCGCCGCCTGCGTGGATTACATAACAGTTGGTGAGGCGTGGCTCTGACTGCTGCCGACCTTACGTTCGCTCTCTGATTGGGGCAGCTTGAGTGGTTGCGTTCCGCTCATAGGCATCGAACAGCTTATGTGCGCGAAGGCTTGAATGCTCAAGTTGGCAACACGGGGATATATATGTGTACGCAAGCAAGCCTCCGGCAGAGCTGTTTGGAAACGAACATGCATGATCGACAAGGGTCCGACTCTTCTCAGATCGTCCTGATGGGCTTGTGTAAACCTTCATTCTTCGGCCGAGCAAAACCGAAGGATAAGGGAACGACGAGACAAGAAGTGTGCAAGACTGAGACCCAAACGTACAATCCCACATCGCTCTAAACCCGATTCAGTTTACACGCCATCGAACGGATCTGACTCGTGGTGACGAAGCTGAAAGCTGATTGCTCGTTTCCTTATTCGATTGAAGGACAGTGACGCTTTTGGAATGCAGAGCCACGTGTTCGAACCTCTGGAAAGTGCGAAGATTCAGCCTGGCCCTGCAATGTCACCATATACAACAACACGAGGTACTCAAGCGTTGTCAACATCAAAGCTCCTGCCGAAGCTCCAGGAAAAAACCTCAAGCTGGGAGATTTCTCGGGTTCCACATATTTGTCTGGGGTTTGTGTCAATCTGCAAACGTCACACGGTCCTGTTGTGATGCAGGTGAGGCCCCAAGACCAAGAGAAATGTTTCTGCAGGGTTACCAGCTTCGAAGCACTTTCGACGCAGTGCAATCGCTCCTTCATCGACAATCAGTGAGCGTGTTCATCCTGAGCAGTGAGACTTTACGCGGAACGCGGAAGTACTACGCGGAACGCGCCCGAATCAAGTCTGCCGGACAAGAGGAGAGCGAGTCTCAAGCTTGAAAACAGTCTCGAAGCTCCCACTATCGTGAGCGTTGCTTCGAACTTTGACGCAAAACGTCTTTGAAGAATGAGAACACTTTCTTGTTGCACAAACAGACACAGCGCAGGGGTTCTTTAAGAGCTGACGAACTTAGTATTTTGGAAGCTGACTTTTTGTGTCGCCTCATGGCTACCGGCAGATGTTGTGGTTTTGAAAGCTGCGGCTTCTCGCGCGTGCTTCCAACCTGCCCATTCGATGTATAGCTCGTACAAGATGCAAGTTTTTAGCGAAGCCTGCATGCCTTCGCGGGAAGCCGTTTCCTACCTGATATGATGATGGGTCAAGTGTGTCAAATTTGTGTCTGGATCCAGCCAGTAACTTTTTTGCTCTCAAATTTTCATAGAAGCCACTTTAGGTTCACGGACGAGCAACGGCCCAACTCTTCGGTCTGAAAAGCCAGATCTACATCTGCTTTGGACCTTCGCCGCAGCCCAAATCTATGTCGAGAAGCTGAGAAAGGATGTTCAGGAATAGGGTGGATCAATGCCAATTGAAAGGCCTTGCCGCATCTGCATCCACTAATTCGACCGTTCTTTGACTTCTGGGAAGCGCCATGAGTAGATCAAGGCCCGACTACTGTGGATGCGGCGGACCGTCATTGGCAGTGCGGATTACACGAGGCTGCAGTCTGACTTGAAAGCGACCCATGAAGTCCTCGAACTATTGGAAAGAGGCGATGGATGATTTGCAGACGGACCTCTGAATGTGGATCGCTTAAAACGACCTCGTGCCTTGTCGAACGCTGTTCAAAGAGCAACGAACTCTGAGTTCAACAGTTTTGGTTCAAAGGGCTCATTGGAACGAGCGGGACCGATTGGTTCTCTGACGCATGCTTGTATATCAAACAGAAAATACGAATGATGAACAAGATGTACAATGTTCCCTTGGGCTGGGCTCGGCCAGTGATGCAAAGGCGTCACCATTCCGAGCTGGACGTCGCGTCGCACAGGACAGGTCCAAGAACACGAAACGGAAGAGGCACTGAATGTCGAAGATTTTCAGTTCGGGTGCCAGCCGGGTAGCATGGGCATCAATCTCAGTTCGGGCGGACGAAACGAGGACGATGCGCCCATGCTGACAAGAGCATGTGGTTGCTAGGTGCTCTTGAATCAAACCTTATCCTTGAAGGAAATGAACGGACGCGGGTCGCGCACGTTTCTCAAGCAATTAATGACGATCGGTGACATCCAGCTAGGCGCTAGCAACTTGCCAATATCCAGTTTTGCATGCACTCCTGATGAACACAGCACAGATTAAGAGTCTGGCGTCAACTTCGCAGTACATGCTGTAACAGTGTAAGATCATTAGGGCTGCATTTGCGCCATTTTACGCACCTGACATCAGATCTATGTACAAAACTCCTGACATCCAGTTCCAGTCGGATCACTTGCAAGGGCTCTGCGAGAAAAGAGGCTTCGTTTCTAGATCGAAGAGGAGCGGCGGAGAAGAGATATTGAAAGGGTGGTCGTCTTGGTTAAAGCTGGATCCAAAGCGACGCTATTTTGACAGCTGCTTGTCAAGTCAGAAAGAGGGTTTGATGTGACAACTTCGTAAGCATTTCGTTTGACTCTACTGCAGCTCCGTTGTTTTAGGAAACATTTCGGGTGTTACTGACAGAAAGGCACTTGTCACATCAAGCCTTCCTGGAGCGGCGCCTCATGAGCTCTCGTACCCACACCTTTTGTTGTGAAGACGGGAGATGCCTGCTGATGGAACGGGTCCTTGATGACATCAGTTCTAGAATGCAAACCAGTTTCAGTTCTCTAGCGTGATAGACTGTCGTTGTCTGGTGCACTGGCAAGGTTGAAGCGGCCCCCGAAGATTTAATGAGCATAAAGTATGCAGGGAAAGTGCTCTCTTTGAGAGAGACAGGCGAGGCATTTGACAAGGAAGCTTCCCCCAAAACCTGCCTGTTCCAGAAGATGAGGAAGCGGCGGGAAACGCAACCCGCTCAACATACATAACCAGGATGCCAAAAGCATTCTCAGGTCACTGTCTTCATTTTCTCCTGCTTGAAGAGAGGGGAAGGTTCAGCCATGCAGGCTCATGCAGTTTTGGTGCTCAACAGAAAGAGGCGTTTGGTCCGACAGGCCATTCCTTCTTGTGAACCCTTGACCTCTGCGAAGGCCTATCAACTGCTTGCTGTCATGGATGGAAGAAACTGATCGAGCCACAGAGAATACACGGGGATGCTAAGCCTCATGGGGGCCGCAGCAGGTCTTAAGCCTGATGAGCCTGACTCAGAACCAAGTTCTAGGGACAGATCTTTGGGAGATCCGACTGCAATATAAGGTGAGCGCACATTTGTTGCACCTTCACTATGCAATCCGTTATTGGCACCAGGAGAGGATGCTTGGTTTTGGTCATCCATGTACAAGGTGGTGAAAGGGGAACACCGTGAGAACGTGGCCCAAAGAATGTGTTCCCTTGAGGTTTTCTCTTTCTGTGTCGTCTTTCCAGATTATGCTGATAGTTTTTAATAGATTGCTTCAATTGGGGATACCTCAAGCAGAACATTGTTCTTCACAGCATTTTATATGTCCCCCTCTGAATCTGAAGGATGGATGCATGACTCGATAGAGATTCAACCGAGATCTTAAACGAAGCTATAAGTCCAGGAAAGGAAGCTTTAGATCCCGGTTGATTCCTTCAAACAGCCTCTTTGGACCTGACTTAAAGGACCCCGCAGGAAGGGGATTGACACAATGATTCTTATCAATCTGCCTCATCTACGGTGTGTCTCGTGCGGCTAACTTTTGAACATGAAGTTTTAGATGCTACATTTTCAAAAAATCTCTGACCAGATTTACTTTGACCATCAAAAATGCTCAGAAGTCGCAAAGAGGAGAAGGCACACCGCTCCAAATACAGGCTGCTCTCACTGCATAAATTGAAAGATGTCCAAGTTCAATGGGTTCCAATTCGAATACGTAAACCGTTTTGATGCCTGAGCGACGAGGCGACCATTGCAGCCCCTCTTGCCCGTCTTCTCTCTAAGACAACGCATTGCCATTCGAATCTGCAAATGTATTCTGTCTTCCTCTGCAGTATCAGCGCCGTGCATTGATGCAATGCTGCGCCTCTCGCAAGGGGGCTCAAACCTGGTCAGCATGACCCTGCTCCATCGTCCTGTAGCCCAACTTGGTTCTCCAGCGCACGTGGAATGCTGGAAGGGGGGCTGCAACTGCTTGGAAGGATCTGGCAGGACGCACCTGCTGAAGCAATCCAGCGATCTAGCGGGTGAGACTATCGAGAGTGGCGAGGTTGCATCAAGAAACCCGAGCAAACGAAGGAAGAGTTTCTTCGAAGCAGAAACTTATACGCATCTTTTTTGTGGATGCTTTGACTGGCATTGTGGACAATCCTTTTTCCTTCTGTTGAAGACCATTATTTTCCAGATTGGAAGGGTTTCCATCGCATCTCCAGATCATTCGGACGGCAGTCAGACAGCGCTTCAGATTGTTGTTCAAGGACTTCAAAGGGATCTCTCTCTTTCTAAAGCAGATTACAACCCTTCCAAATTAAGTTAGGCCCAGCCCTTTCCGTGGCGGTTCGTGGTGCAGACATTCGTGCAACCCGTTCAGCAGTCACCAAGCAATCTGCATCCTGGCAAGAGCTTCGCAGTTTATGCAACTCAAATGTTGCCTTACAGGAAAGTAGGTGAGAATCGAAGAAGTACGAAAATGAATCTGATTTGGCTCCTGATTGTCTTCTTCTCTTCAAACAGGAACCAGCAAAGTGCGAACCCCGCCCCAGACTCCTCCAGGCTCGCCGTTCCAGATCCGGGGCGCTTCAGTCCTCACCAACCTGCCATCGCCGCAGCAGAACGACCTGAACGCCATTGACTGCGACTTCCTGGATGACGATCCGTGGCCGGGCATCTCGGAGAACTCGGAAGGGAGATATGTCCTGAACAACGAGGTACGAATTCCGGTCAATAATTCCTGTTGGAAGCATCATTGTGCCAAGTGATATTTTCACAAACGACTTGTAGGTGCCGTTGGCTGCTGAAGTCGAGCTTCCGTACATGTTAACGGTTTTCAGCAAAGTCCCTTTGTGTGTTAAAATCTGATGATTCTCAAAGCGTTGAACAACAAGGAGCAAGGCCTAAAAAGGGATTTCAACGAGCTACACTCGTCGTATAGCGACGCTAGACTTTGGCAGCTGATGGTTTCGTATTGAAGATGCACTTCCAGAAAGCTACATTCAGCAGATTTGCCGAACTTCGTTGATTAATTATGCCCCGTTTGGATGCAGTCGCCTTCTGGTGGTCTGGAGGACATGTTTCGTCACCCTGTCCTGCCAGTGAGGCAGATGGAGGCGACCGCAGAAGTGCAGACCCACAGGAGCAACGGTTTCTACGAGCGAGCGCTCATCCCTCTCATGCGACGGTCTCACTCGCCGACGCTCGGTCTGCTTACGCCTCAGCCACAAAATGGTGAGACCTGCAATCCAAAGCGACCTCAAAGCATGATTTGTACACGGATATTTGGGATCTTCTTGCGTGTGAGCAAGAACTCAAGGTCTTGTGGTGAAGGACATAGAGCCACAATGAGCACGTAAGAATTAAACGGGGGCACACCTGAATAGGTTATCCCTCTCAGGTTGCGGTGAAATTTGAGGGAGAAACGAGTGTCGCAGAGAAGGAAAACAAGGGGCCCAATATGATTAGTTACTGTAAACAATATTCCTTAATAATAGGAGGAGTTTGCCATCAAATTCTGCCCATTGCTTCTCCTATCTTAACAGCAACTGCAGGCGTATGTCAGCCAGGAAAACTGGAAAGTTGTACACAAACGTCAATCGCACCGTTTGGCTCAAAATTGTCCACCTCTTCTAGACTCCGACAGCCCAACTTGAACCGTTGCACCGAGGGCGCCGTTCATCCTACTTCTCTGCAAAATAAAAAAACTCGATTTGAATAAGTCTTAGAGAGGGACTAGTCTCGCAGCTTCGTCGCTCACGGTTGCTCCTTTTTGCGGCATGCTTACAGGCGCCTCCATAATCTCAACGTCAAGTTCAATCGGTTTTAAGCCCTGGTATATCTCGTCTCTTTCCACTTGCAGGAACCACGGACAATGGACCTGACCTTCAGTCGTGCTTCTCTGCCTGGAACACTCGGCCTGGTTTCCACCTCAGCAGCGCGCGGCCCTCTGTGGTCCCGTCCAACGGAGACGCGCGCGCCTCGAGCAATCCCTCCAACATAACACTCTCGCTGTCTCGCCGCTCCCCAGACCCGATCAGACAAGCGCAGTTTGAGGCAGAGTCTTCCGACCCTTCTGCGTCGGAGTCAGACACGCCAAGGATTGGGGCACGCTTCAAGGCCCCCTCCGAGACTGGCGGCTCAAACCCCGGCCTAAACCTCGTGGGCCGCCTGCGCCCCGGCTTCGACGGCCTCCCGGCGCGCCCCAGGAAGCTGCGAATGATGCGCTCGGCGCTCGGCGCGCATTCGCCCCCGCGGCCGCGCGCGCGCGAGGAAGGAGAAGACGACGGCGACCGCGGCCTCGACAACTCCAGCGGAGGCGAAGACGGCTCGGATCCGGAGGGAGACGCGAGCGGCGAGGAGAGGGGCGGGGATGCTGACGTCAGCGACGGCGTCGATGACATGGCTGCTGACGTGGACGAAGAGGACTCGGAGTACGACCCGGAGGAAGGGAGCGAGTCGGAGTCGGAGTACGATCCCGACGAGGACGAAGAGGAGCGGCCGACCAAGAAGCCGCGCAGCGCGCGTGGGCCCTCGCTCGCGCGCAGTAGCAGCTCGCAGTCGCTGGCGGGAAGCGAGGGGAGCGGGGGCGTGTTTCCTCCGAGGAAGAAGGGCCGCTTCACCGAGGAGATGGACCGGGTGTTCCTGCAGCGCCTGGGGGAGCTGTTCCGCCAGAAGGTCATGCTCAAGGACTCGTTCCGGTACTTTCCGGGCAGGTGAGGCGGGAGCGGCGCAAGGAAAGAACCTGGTCACCGTGAACTTGTCATGAAGCGCGCGTAGATAAACGCCGGAAGCTGTTTTAGAAGGGTTCTGCGGTGGTTCATCGTAATCCAAAAACAGCGCTTGTATTCAAGGTTGGTATCAATCTGGACAATTGTTGGCTGAGATAGTCGAAACCCTCAAGCACAATGTGGATTGATTATTGAGAATGCCTTCGGGTCCTTTCCGTGTTTGGTCTTTCGCATTTGCTTTTAGAACCAGGTTCTATCATGTGAAAGCTGACGTCTGTCTTTCGTGCTTCTTTCCCTTAGGACCCCGCGCCAGTTAAGACGCCATTGGATGCGGGTGAAGCACAAGTACGGAATTGGCAGCATCAAGAACGTCGAGAACGTTCTGGCGAGGCTGGGTCCCCTGAAAAAAGGTGCAAATACTACCGCATGAGTAGGAATCAGATCCAACTGCTACGTTTGGACAGTTTTTTGTCAATCTTCTCAAATTTTGTTGCATTGTCCTTCTCTTCCTCATCAGAAATCTGTAGGACACGTCCTCTGTCTTTGAAGTTATCATACACGGGCCCCTCGATCTTGCACCAGGATCTGTTTTTGACGGGGATTCGATAGTCTGACAAAGGCGGGACTACTGTGTATCGTCGAAGTCGCAAAGATCGCACCTGATGAGTGGCAGACTAGCCGTACAACATCTTGGGTGCGAAGTTACGGGGCCCAAGATAGCCCGTCTCTCTTTTTGAATACTTTGATTTCCCTCGGTTTCCAAAGAAATACAATGACATCGTTTTTATAAATCCACGTGCGGGCCGTGTTGTGCAGAAAAGGACCCCCTCTCGTTGAGGCAGCTGTCGAGCTACTTCAAGCTGCCAATGGAGGAAGCCTGCGCCAGGTTCAACGAAAGTGAGAATTGCACTCAGTTGTTTCTCTTCACACGTACCAGAGAACCTTTGCAGCACTGAGGTCAGTTCGACTGAAATTTGAGTGGTTCCAATGTATCAGACTGTCGGACGATCTCATCAGGCCGCTCTTCGTGTCTAGATTCCTCCCGATAGAGGCGAAATGTTACTGGCTGGTGATTCTTTGAAAGAGTTCCCGGAGTGCATTGACAGACTGAAAAAACTCAAGTCAAGAGGGCCGGTGAGAAGTCCACGGCAAGAGTGCGTATGCTTGGATACTACAAAGTAATGGAGATCAGTCCAGACATTACAACAAAATTCCAAGCAGAAGTCGTAGCAGAATCTGCGAACAGACCCTGAGCTCACCGAAGGGGGCCGCGCGATGCTGAAATTGTGTTTCCATGTTCTAGGGCGCGGTCAGCAGCTGACGTTCCAGAAGTTCCGCCAGCTGTTCCAGAAGCATGGCATCAGCAGGTGGCCGTATCGCCAGGTAGGCAGCACGCCTCTGCTTGTGCGCTGCGAAGCTCATTTGAAGATATCATGCGTCTATTCTGTAGCTGTTTGTCAAGTGTTTGCGCATCTCATTCTGCAGAGTTCCATAGAAACGTGTTCTAAATTGCGAGAAATTTGCGGTTATTCCAGTTTGACCGAGTCACCCTCTTAAGGATCCACATCGAGGCCTTTGAAATACGGAAGCGGTAGGAGGCATTTTATCTTTACGTGCCTTTTCTGGTCCCCCAACGCCCCTGGGATGACATTGATAAATTGGCAGGTTGAAAAGTGAGAGATGTACATGGTTCAGCACTGAGCTGTTCCTCCCCCGAACTCTTTCTACGAACCTACTCTACGAGCCTCGAATTTTGTCCCATACTTACTTCCAAACCATGAAGCTCCTCGTACCAAGCTTCGTGGGGTCCCTGCGGAGACCCCATAAACCAAACTTCGTCGCCTTGATTCTCCGTTCTTTGGAGACGAAAAGTCATCGCTTGCTCATCGCCCCCCATTGTTCCAGGTGATGGCCGGCAAGCCCATCTCCGAGGTCATCACCGAGGCGAAAGCCGCGGTCCAGGAGACACAGGCGCGCCACGCGGCCGCGGAACAGGTCCCGGAGTTTCTCCCCGAGGGGGGTGCGGAGCTGGCACTTCCGGGCCCCCCCGCCAACCGCGCAGCGACTTCCGCTCGGCAGAAGGCCCCCCTTCCCGGCGTCACCGGGCACGCGAAACCCGGGGGAAGGCCCCGGTTGGTTGGCCCGCCCAGTAAGGGCGCCGCGATTGGCGGGAATGGCCATGCTAAGGTGAAGAGCGGCAAGCACGCGGCCGGCAGGCGGTTCCCTTTGGCGCACAAGCCGGCCGCGGCAGAGATGCCAGCCTTGGAGGAGCAGCCGCCTAAGAACGGTGGGTGCCAGCGCTTCAACCTGATTCCTGTTCCAACTTGTGTTTCTATGTTAGGAGGTGATTTTGAGGAAGATTGTGTGTTGTCTCCCAGGTTCCGCTATCCATGCTGCCTTTCGGCTCTTGTCCTGCAACTCGACGCAACGGACAGATTCCGCTTTGCGCATCCAGAACGAGACGCGCCTCAGTTGCTCACCTTGCCTCGAACAGCCTTACAAAACCGTGAAGTGTCTGATCTGTTGCAAACACCAACGGCACTTTTTTTTGTGCTTATATTGCAGCGCCCGCTGGCCGCGGTCGCACCCATAAGGGTCTGATGGAGGGCTCCGTTTTTGATCCAAAGAAGCGCAGCCGGTCTCGGAAATGAGGAGCGGAAGGGGTCATTGGTGGTTCAATTGAGCGTTGTCGCCGTTCAAGCCAAAATTGAATTGAAGTCATCGCGCGCATTACCTTGATTTGACGGACCTTGAAAACAATCCTGAGGGAAGCGGCGGTCAAAATTGTAGAGGCCGGTGGACCAGCTTGCGGGTTGCGTCGCCTATTTCTTGTGGGGTGTGCAAAGCGAGGCTGGGCCAGCTCTTACGGCTCAGAATGATCGCGTGGAGTTTGTATTGTTATTTGACATTCGCATTGAGAAATTTTGGTGAAAATAGTTGTTGAAATAGACCTTGTGAAATTGCATTACCCTCTGGATTGTACCGCTGATTTTGAGGTGGATTTGTAAGCATACTGAAATTGATAGGATGATAGGTTGAAGGAAGAAGTCACGTGAAGCCCAAACGGCTGGCGTTAGTACTAACACATTAAATACGCTCCCTAAGCATTGCTCGATCATGTACGTAGTGAGTCTGCTGCTTGAACTTGTTTGAACTTGTTCAAAACAAGATTTCAGTGGCACAAGAGTCAGAAAAGCCGCCCTGCAGCACATAGTATGGAGCGGTCCTTAACCACCAAAGTAAGCTTTGTAAGAACAGCCTTGCTCATGGCCTGTGTATTCTGTAACCGCAGAAGATACTATAAGAAGAAGGTTGATTTTGACTTAGGGCGATCTTGTTCACAGAAAATCAATCATGCTGTTAGCTCATACCAGGCCAACGACTTCATCCAACAACCTAATCATGCTATGGAATGTGTTCCGTCTTATCAGTCCGATCGTGCGGCCCTTCGCAGGCCAGGCCGTATATCTGGATCATCAGGTTAATACTCAGTGTATCCAGGAAAGCTTAAGCACCGCTTTTTGAGGATCGTACCATACATAGCAGAAGGCCAGCACGTATCAATGTTGGAATCTGAGTGTCAACTACATGGAACGCCGAAACAATCTGCCTCAAGTGCATGTATGCTTCATCCTCACCGCATCCATCTGCAAGGATCGACACGGGTGTGCTCATCGAATCCGCTTTACGAGCGAGCATAATGACGTCGAGTGAAGTTAAGATGCGCACTGACCTTCATAAATAATGGATTGACCTGGCGATAGTATTTACTGAAATCCTTTAACGACCGGTTCATTGGCTAGGTCATTCATTTCGACTCATCAGCAAAACTTGAAACCGGGATGCGCGTGGATCAAGCTAGAGGGTTGACTGCCTGCCAGTTGATGCATGGTCGATCGGAGGCTGCAAGCACATAGCTTGTGTAAGCTCGCGCAGGCTGGGCTATAGGCTGTAGGACATGTTCAGGCGAGATATGACAAGTGCACTATAACATTGTGATTTCTGTCGATCCCACAAAAGTCGTCACTGGACGGTGTCGATATACAACCATGATGACTCCTTTTGTGAATTTGGAGAAATATTGATCCTCATACAACGGCATGAATGAATTGAGCGCACTAGATGCGCCAACAGCTTTGGTCCGGCTATATAGTACACACTGACATTCGATCCTCGGTCTTCATCTCCAAACCCATCGCCGCAAAGTATTTGATATCTCACGCCAGCAGGATATCGCAAAAAACTTGCCAAGTTGAAGGCTTCGGGTTTACATAAGGACAAGGATGATCGGCCGGACCCGAGCGCTGATCTGGTACGTTCCCTACTTGCGATTTTTGATGCTAAACACTCAAGGGTACAAACTTACGGCCCATGTATGCGGAACTGCATGATTGGGCGGCCCAACTCGTCACTGACTACAAATTGCAAGATGCCATGCCAACATGCAAAATATGATCCGTCTGTCCACGTTCTGGAGCATGTTGTTCAAGGTGTACGATCTTAACTTTTGCGGTACCTGATTAAACAAACAGAGGCCTTATGCGGTCCCCAAACTCAAGATAAAAAAGTAAAGCGGAAATTCTATTACAACGGCTTTGTGTCATACGGTCAGGTATTTGAGAACAGCCATCCGCACTTTCTCCATGAATTCTGCCGCTTGCTCCTGCATATATCGAAATTATGAGTTGAAAAACGTTCCAGGTCGTCAAGATACAGGTTGAAACGACCGCAAACAGCTGAAGCAAATAGGACCACTCTAGAAATCAATGACCAGCGCAACAAAGAAACTGGGGCAGGCGGCAGTCAGCCGACGTGAAAGGCCGTTCGCTTCCCGTTCAAAGCGGACATTATTTCGGCTTCCGAGTGGCCTCTACGCTCCCGACGACAGGAACTGCAAGCTTCACTAACGAACCTCACGCTTCTTCGTGGCACATCATTCTGCGGGGGGCAACCCTTATAAACTGCAACTCTAGCGCCTTTGGGATACCATTCTGGAAAACTTAAAGTCGGAAGTGAAATGCCCAAGTACGACGGTCCCAAAGCGAAGAATTCGCAGCCTCTAACAAGGTCCCATTGCTAATCTCCAGACACGCTCAGTTTACCCGATCATTCTAATAGAACGGCACTCCCCTCCGATTTCCATCTCGGACATCCTCCAGCTTCGAAGTGCCGAAGTCGTTCAGAGCACTAGCTAAGGGCACTGACACGATCAAACCAACGAGTTTCACAGCCATGGAAGCTATACCGCGATCGGACTATCAACAACGCATCAGCAAAAGAAAAAGAGACAAGCAAAGCGCCAGAACAAAGGGTGGCGGGCCGCTTACCTGGCCTGCCTCCCGTGCTCGCGCCGTGTTCTCGTCCAGGAGCGCGAGCAACGGCCGGTCCAACTCGTTCTCCCCAGCCATCTCGAGCAGCTGGGCGAAGCAGAAAGAGAGAGCGAGCATAAGCTATGGCAAGATGTGAAGAAGCACACGCGAGCTCCGCTTTATGAAAGCCGCCTGTGAGGCCGCAAACATATTCGTGCTGACGGATAGGAGGAAGATCGGGAAATGGAGGATGCTACTTTGGGGAGTATTTGCTTACAAAGGCAGAAGGCTGGTGGTATCGTTAACCATCCATCCGAAATGCATTTAGGTTCATCTAAAGAGGGCGTGTCACAGAAGAGGTCAAGATTGTCGGCACCGGTCACCCCGCGGGAGCGACTCATACTCAGGGACAGAATTGAGAGATAGCGGTCTTTTACGCAGTGCAAAATGCAGGGGCCGGGCTTTCAGCCCCGCCAGTGACGTTATGCAGATGATAATCTGCATCCCCTTCCTAACATGTCCGAACCCGCTGAGATTCCAAACACTCGGTGGTAATTTACAACAATCCTACTGTTTTTCACCGACTGAAGATTAACATACGCAGTTACGACAACTTGTCAACATGATGAAACCAGTCAATATCCCCTGCTGTTCCACGCGAGTGAAAAAGCGCAAACGTATTCAAAGACGTCGAGCGAAGGCTTTGCTGACATCGGCTGCATCTCATGAAATCCGTTACACGCAGATGACAGGGTTTTATGTTTTACCCACCGTTGCCTTCTTATCTTTCGAAGTTAGTAGCCGCGTCAACCGGTCCTTGGCGCTGATCATGTCTGACGTCAGCTTGTCATAGGCCTCTGCAAGAGCAGCGCAGAGAGTCGTTACCGACAAGCCCAAAGCTCCGTCGCTCTATGGTGTTTTTAGAGCGCTGACCACCGTCATCATAACTGCTGAGAAGAATATTCTTAGTAACTGCCGCCTAGTAACGAGAGAACAGCTCTGCAACTCTCTGCATAGATCTTGCCTGAGATTGTGCAAACATCTTTTTGACCTCTTTGCAGATCCAAGGAAGCGATAATTACGCTCCAAATACCACCACCAAAAAGAAGCTTTCGAAAATCCAATTTGAAATGCAAATCAGGATGTGTGTTGCACGTCTGAGCACGTAACCAGTGGTCAGGCCACGATGAAGAAGAAACCAGCAACATGTTCCTATCAGCAAGGCAGGTCTCTCTTCAGGAAGATCACCGTCTCTTGCCAGACGTCATCGTCCAACGTATGCAAGCCCTAGCTGTCAACGGAGGCCCCTGATACGCGCTTGCTGAGTCATTGGCGATGACTTCTCATGGGCTCGGTCAGTCAGATGTTTGCTCTGCTTCTCAGCGCTATCTCGAAAAGCAACGAACCTGACCGCTGGATGGTCACCGACGCCTTCGTTTTGGGTCAAGTGATGTCAGCAAAGATGCATAAAAGAGAGAGACTAGCGCCGCCAGCGACTCACCAATCCCCTCTTTTAACACCTTTTCGAGCGCCTCCAATTCCACAACCCGGTCCTTTATATCTTCCGACTGGTTGACCCCGAACTTGAGCGACCCGACCTCCGTCCGAAGCTCTTGGAAGAATGCATCGGTTAGCTTTTGCCGGCACTTTGCGATCTCGAACTCCATCTCCTGAGCTTCCGTGTCTAGCAGGTACTCTATGAGGGCGAAGCTAGACTCGGGCACCTTGCGCGCCTGTGGAGGGGTAAATCGTTTCGAGATTAGCTTTCAGTAACGAAAATCGATTGAGATTCTGTGAGGGCTGCGATGCAGATTGATTGTCCGAGGTCATGTAATGGTACATAAAGTCTGAGGCCACAAAGTGAAATTAAGGCGTTCTAAAAGGGAATGAAATCCAGTTGGTGTTGGTTCCAAAGACGCGTATACGCTGAGCAAATGTCAGAGTTGACGACTTGACCGGCATCTCAAGGAAAGGGGCCCTCCCCAGATGAAAGAACCTCTGGTTGCGTCAATGAGGTTAAACTACCACCACAATGTTCCTGACATGGCTGATATGAGAATGTCAAGGACACCACTGATGGATTGGAACGTAAAGAGGAAGGAAAGAACATTCAAAGGTCCACGCATCGTCTGCAGCAAAGGTAGTATGAAGGGGGACATGACAGACAGCTCCGATGGAACCAAAGGAGCAGCTAGATTTCAACAAGCTCACACCACCAGAGAGATAGTATCAACTGTGATGTGCACCTCAAAAGTTCACGAGCTTGGAAACTTTTTCCTATGTTACTTGTTGTATCACCTTTGTGGGGTGCGCTGACGGAAGGATGACCTCGTCGATGTTATACTACATTAAGAATCAATGGCACTTGGAGAGTCTAGATACTGGCCAGAGAAAATCTACGACTACTATTCAAAAGTCCAAGATCTCTAGCTTGATGTAATCGCAGCTTTAAAACCTGCTTAGTGTGCTGTCCAAGCGTTGAGACAAACAAGGACAACGACGTTGGCCATCAGAAGCAGCGTCAAAAGGTCCCACAACGTCTCCTTAAAAGGGATAACGTACTAAAGCTAGGCCTGAACGGGAAGGAGATGCAGCTGCTCACATTCCGAGCCTCTGCCCTTCGCTCCAGTTCCTTCCTTGCCTCCGCCATTGCTTTCTCTTTCGCCTCCGCATCCTTGGCCCAATCTTTCATGACCTTCCGTCGGGTTATGTGGTCCGGCTTTGGAGGCGCAAGAATTCCTTCAGGATCCTGTTACAGAGCCCCCATTCCTTTGGTCAGACTTGTTTTGGTAGATAATCTGCCTGCAGATTGCAGCAAGAACAGGGGCGCAGCTTTCCGAGATGGACGGAAGCAGACAGAGTCAAACAAGTGGGGGATATCAAGCCAGTGGTTGATTTGATGGCAAGTTTTACCACCCAAGAAGTGCGCAGGCGCCTTGGCACCTTGTATCTTCACAGTATACCCGACCATGTGGTCCATGATGCTGGCTCAAGGAACAACTGGAACTGCCAAATCCCTTGAACTGTTGCTAATAAAGAGGGGATTCGGAGGCAAACAGAGTCTTCCAGGGCAACCATCCAAAAATGTCACAAAATACCTTGCATTAGGAGTATGACCACCTCAGATGGAGGAAGCATCAACACAAAGAAACTTTCTAGGGCAAAGACTGATGTTGCGGTCGCGTGGGACACCCCGATGAAAATCCTTACTTGGATCGCAACATTGTTAAGCTCCATGGTGGTATGCAGTTTGAGAGAAGGTGTACGTCCGCAAAAGAGAACTTTGCTTGGAACTGCCAGGATCAAAATCTCCCTCAATGTGTGATCAAAGAAACGCACTGCTTCTCTGAAGCAAATCCCGGCTGCTAATCGTCCAGACTGTCAGTTTGTGAAAGATGAGAGTTTGAGCTCGTCCAAAAAGTGTTTATAGTCTTCAATGCCTTTCCCCAGCCCCTTCTAGTCTCGTCGCTGTGGTCAAAGACTTCTGTGTCAACTTGTTGCCCATACGACATTGTCGCCGCTGTTGGTGCACGGCGCTCTTGCTGTCAAAAACTTTGGAACTAAGGCAAGAAAACATGAAAGCAGACAAAGCAAACGAACGCCAATAAACAGACTGGTGTACTCTCATGATCAGCAAGGGCAGTGGTACAACAATGTAGGAACCCTTACCCAGCCAACATTCCTGATCTGCAAATTCCGCTTTGCCGGTCCGGTCAGCTTCGACCTACCCAGCCAAGGAGCTGTGTTACCCCATTGAAATGCAACGGATGATAAGTCCCTGCACGCCACTCCTGTGGTGTGACTCTGGCATTGTGTTCCCGCCATTGATGCCTTACTGCATAACGAGGCGTGCGAAAAATGACAAGCGGCGGCCATGGTGGCGTTTGCAGGAACAACCAGTATTATCACAGACACCTTCGCAATCACCTAGGTATCTGAAGAAGAGGTCAGCACTGCGCTTCTGAAAAGCTCTTCCTCAGAGTCAAGGCGCTGGAAAAAGTGGAAAAGTGGAAAAAGTGAAATGGCCTCGCGATTGTCACACTGACGGCCACACCGTGACGGACAGAAAGAAAGGGCGACAGAAAGCCCACCCGCCCCACCACGGGTTTAGGGTTTCGTGACTATCGAACCCTATAATAGCAGCGGTGCCAAACAGGGTTACGACTTAACTTAACCATGGCGTTACGCAACTGGTAGAGAGTTCAACCTACCCTATAACTTATAAGGTAGCGGTAAAAATATCTTTAGAACAGCAGCAGGCGTGCTGCACAGCTAGGCCGCATTTGTATTCGTTCAGAAGGCTGTGAGGGCGTTCAGAGGACCGTGGTCACACCTCATGCTGCAGGTTTGCACGTAATGTGTAGCTCTTGAGCTGACAAGGAAGGTCTGCATTGCAGAACCTGGACGCCTCACCTTCTCTGTCTCTCTGAAAAGCAAATTACGATCAAATCCACAATCGATTCACCGCTGCTCTTTGTGTGGGCTTTGTATCACTTCTTCGAAGGGTGGTGCGCCCAAGAGGCATCTTGTATTGTCGTTCTGTGACAAATGACCCTCTGCTCTTGACCAACCGTGACTTGCACCTTCTGCCCCAGCATTGAAGCTAGAGGACTATTTGAAGAGCACCAATCGCTGCCCCGAAGTATTGCGCAAGTCCGAATACATGGCCAGCCAAGCAGCAATGCGGCGAGTCCCAATGATCCGCTTCCGATACGGAGGCAAGTTCCTAGCTGAGGTGTAACAAGTTTCATTGCTTGAAGTTGACTGAAGCTTATTGTATGCCTTTCAATGAGTCATCTGCGCTGGTGAACCTACTCTTCAGATTTTACACAGAAGTTGTCTCAGAATAGAAGAGTCTTAGAGGGGCTTGCGGACAGGTGTTCAGAAGAGCTGACGGGGCAGTTTGAAAGCCAGCAATTCAGGCTGGTCTTGCCTTCTCATTTCTGCATAATGTCAAGCCTTCGATGGTGGATGCGTTTCTAAGGAAGATCAGTCCCTTCGGTCTTTTGAAAGAGCTTTCCACTCTCCTTTAAAAGTTTTCCCCAACCTAGAAGATCTTCCCTCCAAAACTGCAAAACGTTTGCTAGTGACAACATACTGACGTTTGATTTGGATAGAATCCAAGAGTTGATGGATACAATCTCCTCTCAATGCAGCAAAGAAAGCCGGAGGGGAAGTGTCGCAGCCGTCCCCCTCTGTGGGAGCCACCCCCCCTCCTGCCGCCCCGCCTGCTGCTCCAAAGTCAGCAGCTCTTTCTTCCTCAAGCTTGGCCCATGGGACCGCTAGCGAGCAGCCACAGCGGACGCCCCTCTCAGCAAAGGAAATTGCGGCGGTAGAGGTAAGTGTCACGCAGAATCTGTACTTTGAGACTGTTGCAAAAAGTGATCCAATGACTGAAGCGGAAGTTGCACTTGCCCTAGCCCTCGATTGGAGCGTGGGCTGTGTGGATCAAGGGAGTGAGCACTTGTAATCGATACATAGGGAGCGAACTTTTCCATCTGTACCCGGAATTAGTATATCCACAACGAGCATTCAGAATGTTTCACAAGAGCATACTGACATTTTGCACTTTCACCCTTTTTGCAGCTTGGTGGTGTTGCCGACTAGAGCTGGGTAGAAAAAAGTTTACAATTTTATCAACTCTGCTTGAAATTGGGAGATGAGGGCAGTCTGGCACGGTGCTCCAGCGCGCTAGCTAGGTTTGATAAGGAGGGGACTTCCTTACCTTTTAATGGTGGGGAGGGGTCGCGTCCATCATGAGTTTGCAAATCAAGAGATGTTGTTTGCAGTCTGTTTTACATATTTAAAATTTGTAACGGCCTCAAAATAAAGAGTTGTCAAATCAAGGATCTTTGTGTCTGGTCGACAAGATATAGAAGACGGAAGAAGACGGAAGAAGGCGTCTAGACTCTGAAGTTGAGTACAAGATATATATTACGGGACAAATCTTGTAGTAATTGCGCTCAGTCTTGGCGGACGTGCTTATAGTCCTTTAGCCTTCCCGGCCATGCTCTCTAATGCGTTGGACAAGCCAGCAGCTCCGAGCAAGCTGGTGACCAAGTAGGGGGGCCGCCCAAATCGCCGACAAACAGCATGTATTGAATCAATGGCTTTTCAATTCCTCGCATGCATTCATCATGTGAGTTTAAAAACTGTTGTAGTCCCTCTACGGCCAGCGGGGTAACATCGACACACACTCCCAGTGCATGGCAAGCGCTGCTTTCAAATTAAATTGGAGATCCCCGAGCGGGAGCCGCTGCGGGCGTATACATAATTGCTAGCCCCCGGCCGGCATGACCATGAGTTAAGGGAATATGGGGTTCTCATGGTTGAAACTTATCCCGTAAGTTCCATGAGATGTCACTTACCATACATATCCGGGATGGGCTTAAACAGCCAACCCGCACACATGCATATCAGATGCGCGCGCCCCAAATACATAGAAGAATGCGCACATCATTCCATAAGAAAATACACATGCACCGAAAACTTTCCTCAAGGCTGCACTAAAGACAATCAACCCGTGTCCAGATGCTTGACCTACCTTGACTTCCTACTTTCTGCTATATAACGGCAGACCTTGACACATTTCGAGAAACTGCCTCATTGGAGAAGGTACGGGCTGCCATTGGCCCCCAGATGACCGGTCATCCGTCCTCTCACTCTCTGAGACATTTCCTTAGTCAGCCTGTCCGACCTGTTCTTGCGTTGAACTGGTTCAGCCAGGCAGTTTTTACCTATTCCGACCATCTCTTAATGCCTCAGAATCGCCCCAGGCACTTCCGCCGTCTGCGTCTTATTGGACGCTGAAGCTGGCACTTGCTCCGGCCAACTCGAGAAGCTTCCTTCGGGCGAGATCGGATGACACGATGGAAGAAGTGGTGTTGGCAACGCACTCAGGGAATGCGGGCGGAGCCTGCAAGCAAAGCAGGCGAGTTCAAAGACAGCGGAGAGTCCGAACGTGACTGACCTTGACTCGGCCACTGTGCTCTTCCCATTGAGAAAAATGTAGCGCACCCGGCAGTCGATTCTTGGACGCTTCGCTGCGTTTATTGCAAGCACAGAAGCTTTACGAACCTCGCTTGTGCAACAAGATACTGACTCGGACTCCGGGTTTCCAAGTCTACCTTGCGAACCCTTTCTGAAGCAGGCAGGGTCGACGTGCGTACGTACGACGTCCTGAGGTTGAAACAAAAAGACTCGAACGCAAAAGCCCAGAAATCCAGGACCCAACCAAGTCACATTCCTCTGAGGAACAAAGAGCTCACCCTGCGGCGCATGGTCCCCTGCTCGTATGCATACGCGACTGTGAAGAGCGTCGATTCGGCGTAAGGCCGGCCCGCGATCTGGAGAACGATGGAATCATTGGTGATCCAAGCGAGAGGTTGTTCGTACGCGACTTCACTTGGAGCGCTTTCAGCAGGCGCGACTCTGGTTCCTATCTCACATTCTCAGCGCATGTGAGGGAACCAGGAATTTGCAGCTACTTTCAGAGCCTTTACAGACGTATGGAGGTTTCCATAGCTCTTGATCAATGGTATCCAGCTGATGAAACATAATAAGCCGCATTCGTACTGGGATACAACCAACTGGGCTCTGTACGTTTGCTCGAAACTCACGGCCGCAAAAGGGAAGCAGTCCTCAGTACGTACGTAGAGCGAGTCAGATAACAAACACATGCGATCTGCATACAATGTCTGGTGGGCAGACATTGTCACGGATACGCGAGCGTACCTGGAGACTTGCGGGAAGACCCCTCGATGTGAATCCCTGCATCCAACAAAAGGATTCAATTAGAAGTACACGAAATGCATCGTTAACATTGCCTGCACTCTCTAAGCTTCAGTAAACCGGCAGCGGTCGTCAAGGATTCGAAGCAGAGCGCTGAGATGAGCGCCCACGGCTCGCGTTTGTCTGATAAGATCAAAATGTCGACCTGAATCTTTCGAATCTTTGCAATCGTCGGGAGCATTCTGATAGGATGGAACCGACGAAGTAGGTAATAGACCAAGTGAAGATCGGGTTGAGCCTTACGAAAGCACTGTCCTGTCGAAATTCCGTAAAAGAGTGGGACTGAGACCGAGACAACCTTGCCTCGCTGAAGCCCCTCAAAGCACTGGCATAATTATCAAACATTCCGGGCCGTCAGATTACATCAAGACTCGGGAAGCAGGTGAGCTGAAGCAGAATATAGGGATGGAGGGATCCCCCACCATTGGCACGGTGATCCCTGGCATTCCTGTCGGGGGGCACACGTTCTGCGAGTTGTCGCCCAGCGGACTGTCGTAGTCGCCGATCAACCGGGCGGGGTTGTTCCAACTGGGGTACACGATCGCGTCCACTCCCTGAGCGTCCATCGCGGCGACCAGGTTCTTGCGCAGCTCTGCGCGGCACACCTAGAAAGAGAGCAGAGGGGTCGCCGGATCAGAGCGCGTATGCGAACATTACCTGGCCGTCCGGGGTTTCTAGTTTGGCCGAGATAAAGTGGTCGCCCACTTAGGCACGGCGTTTCATGGCAAATTGCGATTAGCTCCACCTTTTACAGCATGTCGCGGCGACCTTCGCGGCGTGTGCCGGATGGTCGCCAGCTTCAGGACCGTTTGATGAAACAAGTCGAGTACATGTTGCAGCACATCTTGAGACGAAATAGAAGGCAGGAGGGGAGGGAACACAAGGGTCACCTCGACAGACGTTCACCATCGGTTGCTACAACACTTTTTGAGAGTGCAACCGAAATACATCACGAACAGTAAAAGGCGTGATTGAGCTTCCAAGCCGTCTCTTCGCTGAGAACGCAGAGAGCAGTATTCGATGTAGTGAGTCACTCACGTTGGTGTATTCGTCGCCGCAGCCGCACGGATAGCCCTGCGCAAAGCAAGAAGGGCACGCCTTTTGAGTCCCAGATCTTCTTATAGTTCCTCGAGCACAGGCTCTGCAGAGCAATTGACAACGCATGCTAGAAGCATGTGGAGACTGTGTCGAGCTTGCAGCTGAGTGGGCGCTTGAGGGCATCACTATATACGAAATCGCGTCTTATTAATCAGACGTATCTGACTCCAGCCCTTTTGTGAAAGCTCATTGCAACAGCCATCCTTCTCGAAAAACAGACTCGTCGCTTTCAAAGACAGTCACCCTCAGATTCCAATAATTTGACCTCCTTTCGGATCTGTTTGCAAAAGTCCCTCAGTAACGCTGCTATTCCCCACGGCTGGCAAGGTTTGGTCCCTTTCTAACGCAGTCGCTCCACAAACGCCCCCTCACCCGGGCAAGATCCGCGGCGGACGGCAGGCTCGTCGATGAGATGTTCTGATTCCTCAGGAAACCGGTCATGGTCGCCAAAACGCTCGGGTGGAATCCCCCATTGACAAAGATCGCGTTCGCGGATTTGAGCTGGGTTCCCGCAGTCTGAAGGTACGCGTTCAGGTCTTCCGTCCAGAGCGCGCATTGGGAGTTCTGGTAACTCTGCCAGCTGCCGTTGGTGCCGTATCCGATGTAGATGCCGTTGCGGCCGTCCCACGGAACGTCGCCCAGCGAGTTGCCTGCCCGACGGAACTGGGTCATTTTGAAACCGCACTGTGGGAAAGCACTTTGTCTAATACCTGTCTAAAGGCTGTCTAGTCCGAGTAGGCCGTGTCTAAAAGTTGTCTAGCGAGTCAGGGCCGGACGTGGATGACGTGGACTGGGCGAGATGCATGTCTCGGAAGTGAGGTCGGCCTCGAATACTTTGCTTGCATCTGCAGATTGTTTCCTGATTCTTTTTATTGATTGACGAGATCAAGGGATCAGTGCTACACTAAGTCACGAGCTTCAAACGGGTCTCAAAACCGAACAGAGAACTTTGAGGATTTTAGGGAGCTTGGATTCGCCCGCTCGCGGGGATGTACATTCACCGAATCCAACTGTTTCAAGTTGAATTTCAGAAAGCTGCTCGATGCAAAAGCCAACTACCGAGAGAAACGGGAGTCTAGCACAGAGCTTGAAACCAAAGGTTCTTTGCACGAAAGATCAGAGCTGATTTTTCGAGTTTACGTTTGGGGCCGAGTCTTTCCCACTCACCCGGAACTGTGAAGTTCTCAACGATCGTCGCGCCCAGCGTTTGCATGTCCATCACGGCCCTGTTGAACAGGTTCACAATCTCCTGGTCGGGCCTCTGCGTCGGGTTTGTGATGGCACCCCGCAATACGCCGATCGTTTTGTTCTGCATAATAGCAGGGCCGTAATCAGGTACGCGCAGCGGATGTGGCTAGACAAAACGGGCCCCTTTTTTCCAAGCGTACTGAATCCGAAAGAGAACCAGAATGAGGCGCTGAACAGTTTGCTTCTGCCTTCGAGTAGTCCGCAAGGGCAAGTAAGATGCGATTTACCGATTCAATGAAACAGAAGCTCCCGATTGCACCAAATGCTTGCGGCTCATGCACGAACGATAAAAGGGTTCAAGAGAGTCGAGGCAAACGGTAGGTGGTGCTTGGATACAGCCGAGTAGTTCGCCGTTCCATTTTGAGAGTCCCTAATTATGGGCGCGACTTCCTTTGGGACTCTCTTCCATCTTCTTGCACGACCCGAACTCGACCTGCGTACGACTCTTCATTCCGAAAAGCACGCTCTTTGACTGTTCGTTTAGCTTCACCCACCTGCAAGCCATTTGCGATAAGGAACTGCGTGTAGTTCGTGGGAATGCCGTACGGGTTGAGGGTCGAGTTGGCGCTCTGCAAAGTGACGGTATCGCGCGCCGAACCGGGAGAGGGGTCGGGGCCAACCTGTAAGGGCAGAGAAAGCAGGTGAGCGACAAGAACTGACCATAGGAAGCTACGTGTTGTGGATGATTGGCAGACGGGAGTGTTAGATTCACTTTATTGAGGCGTCCTTGGGAGCGGAACTTTCTTAAACATTGGAAGCGGCAGTGGAACGGGAGACGTGATTGTGTGAGGAACAGAGACCATGATTACAAGGCAGCAAGAGTTTGCACAGCTGTTGAGTCGAAGCAGTTGTCGCGGAAGAATGTTCGAGGAGGCCTTGTTTCAGAGCTGGATGTCCTCACAATGTGCTGGAAGACGCGGGCGACGTCCTCAACGGTCCGCCCCATGGGGCCTCCGATGTCCCTGTTCAGGAACAGGGGGACGATGCCGGCCCTGCAGAACGAACGGACCCGGTTTCAAGAATGAGCTCAAAATGTTAAAGTTACAGTAACGCGCTCCGTGTCAAGAAGAAGGTATAAACGCCGCTTGAAGAAAGTTGCCAACGTAACGGGATGGAAGAGCTTCAGAGCAAACGCTTCGATTGGTGTGTTCTCATAGGAGCGCCCACTTGTATCCAAAAACCAAGCAGGTTTATCAAGCGAAATCCGTTCAGAAGCGGAATCGGGACTGTTTCCACTCAGGACATCTTCCGGTCGAACAATTCCCACTCCGTATCAGCGCATGACCTTTGGACTCCCTAGCACGAAGACAAAGCTCAAACCCCAACAATCAGCCGGCGAACTCGAGAAGTTTAACCAGCGTAACGCCAGTCGATCCAGCACCGCTGAAAGCCGGAATGACGTCACCGCATCCCTCACCGTGACGTCATTCCGATGGTGCTGCGGATGCCGACCAGTGCCTGGTGGCCGGAAGGCCCGCGGATCGAATTCCCGGTGTCGCTCCCCAACCCGATCATGCCGAAGCTCGCCGCGACGGATGCCGCGGTGCCGCCGCTGCTACCTGCGGGGGAAACACGTGGCAGCTTCTCAGAAAGGCTATACACCTGAGGAAGAGATCGCAGATGAGGGTTTGACGTTTCAGAGATGCCCAGCCCGATCGACATGCCAAAAGTCGCAGCGACGGATGCCGCGGTCCCGCCGCTGCTGCCTGTGGGGGGACACGGGGCTGTCTTTGAGGGCGGGACACGTGGCAACTTTTAACGGGTGCCACGAATTAAGGATTAACGGTAAAAATATATATGAAAGGCCGTTTTGAGCTGCCACTCGTTCATGCCAACGCTCGCTGCTACAGACGTTGCCGTGTGGCCCTTGCTATTCCCAACGCACAGAAAGAATCACGATGAATTCTCTTCAGGCTGGCTAGAGTGAGAGCGAGTCTGCCGAAACCCTGAAGATGGAAGCGTCAACCGAAGCATAGAGTATTCGTAGATGAGTCGAATTCGTGGTCCTCCAGACAATCTAGGAGCCGCCAGCTGCACATACTAAGTTCAGATGAGACCCGTTCCTTGAAGCTAGATCGGACGGGCGAGATTGCGCCTCACCAGCCGTGACGCGGTCCAGATCGTACGGATTGCGGACAATGCCGAAGACAGAGCCGATGGAAACGGCGTTCGTGTAAGCCCACTCAGCCATGTTGGCCTTGGCCAGCACCAGTGCGCCGGCGGCCTTCAGCTGCGCGACCTGCGAACATATGACAGAGTTTCGCTATCAAAATTTTACCAGGTTTTGCCGCTGTGCAAGTGTTCTTTGGGCTTTTGGGACCAGGCACGAGGTTGAGCCTAAGACGACGCTCTGCAGAGGGCGGACCGGTTCTGGGCAATACCGATACTACGGGGAGGATCGAAGTGGAAGGCTTGAAAGAAGAAGGCATAAAACATCAGAATATTGCAATCCGATCCAATCTGAACTCAAAAGGCAACGTTTGAAGTAAGAGCGCCTACTCTTACTGTATAGATCTGCAAGACCGCAACCGGCTGGCGGCTGAAACGAAAGAACGGCTCATCAGAAGAACTCACAATAGTCGCATCCTGCGTCGGGAAGTTGTCCAGCAGTGCCACTGCGCCGTTTGCTGTTGCAATCCCGATTGTGTCGTAGTTGTCCTTGATCAGCAGCGGAACACAGAACAGGTCCGGAAGCGTCATGTTTCCAGACGCTAGGACCGCTGCCAGTTGGGCGTCTTTGGCAGCGGTCACTGAGTCAAGGTCAGGTGCGAGCACCCGGATGGAGTTGACACCACTGCTCTGGTCGTAGAACTCGATGCGCTGGGGAAGGAGGGGACGGTGTCAAGAACTTAAGACCGGAAGTGGAACGTCTCAACGTCCAGGCTAATAATGAGATGAAAGAGGAGTAGAAACGAGAAAGTGTCAGCAGATTGCGTTTTTTCTTTGTGATGGTGTCGGGATCGCGTGCGGTTGGGAGGGAATGGTCAGCGATTTCGCGTTTGTGGAGTATCGTTGTGGTGAACCTCTAAAGCGCGATTTCTTCAACGTCGGAAAAATTTGTGGACAGAAAACAGCCCAAATCCTTTTAATGTCTGATCATCCTTCCTACCGCTTCACGTAGGGCAGCTACCGAACACCGCAAAATCCGGTCCTTTGTCTCGTTCTCTCCTATCTATCCTAATTGGGCGCCCAAAAATACAAGACGAGGTTTGCCTGCATCGGGCCATTCACCATGTATTGAGTGAACATACGCGCTATCAGAAATTGAAGCTACTTGTCTTCATCGATCCATTTCTTACCTGCTTGTATGCTGCCACTAGCTGCGAGCAGGTCAGATTACCTGCAAGCATCGCCTGCGAGAAGGAAGAGCAATGGCATGAACATTCCTGACTAGCTCGCGGTATAGGACCAGACTCTCTTGCAGTGCGGTTACATCCGACACAGAATCTGCAATCGATCGACTTACATCGAATCCTGGCTTACACTCTGGAGCAAAAAGCAGGTTGTTGAGCTGCCTTGCTGTTGACAAATCGAAGGGAAGTGCACTGCAATGAGACTCATTTGATCAACTTTCTAGAAGTCTCTACCATGTACACGGAATGTCTTGAGTGGTCCAATATAGAATCTTCACATTGGATGTGCGACTAACATCCACTGGACTTTTGTGACTCCTCTGACCAGAGAGTCCTCCCAATTCTGTAAGACCTAGCGCGCATGCTCCGCCATAGTCGAAATGGCAGACCTGCACCTTTAAGCCCAAAAATTTGAGCGTAAGGCTTCCACCCTGGACCCCAACCAAACCAGATCTGACAATCTCGTAAAATTACTGTACCTTTCCCTTGCTAAAATGCCGCAGCGAGTTCAACCTGTCAACTGCGGGCCCTGATCTGCTTCTGGGGACTTTGTGCCCTACACTACGACTCCCCGCTATGGTTCCGGGGGGACATGTTTAGCTCACCTGATGGACACCTGCAATGGTTGCCTCCACAACGGGGTATGCGGGCGTCCCCGTACGGCAAAGCGTGCGGGCATAGGACTGATCCACCTTGATGGCTGTGTAGTTGGACGAAAGGGAGTCCACAAAGCCTGGGAAGGGAGGAGAGGGGCAAGTCAGAAGGAATAGCAGTGACTGTTGGGCAAGGAAAGGGAGTTTTCCCAGCAAAGGTTCTTGTCTCTGGCAAAGTAAGTCTCCAGTCAGTTTGCTTGAGCTGGTTGGAGGAGCTACGGGGATGTGACACTGGGGTTGACAGCGATTGAATGTTATCAGAAGGAGTTCAGTATGAGGATCAGAATGCACTACAATCTTAGACTCGTGACAAGTGAGCATGTTAATGTTTAACACTGAGCTGAAGACTTTCCAACTTGCTTGTATCCCTCTGGAACCTGAGGCAACCAAACCGCTCGAACTTCAACATGGAATCTCTTTATCTTGCCTTGCGGAATATCAGCATTGACCTTTCACAGAAGCACGACTCAGCTCACATCCAGCTCTGGAACTCTGCAATTGGGATCAGCACTGCCAGGAATCTGCCCTTTAGGAAAGCAATCTGAGGTAATCAGCAAAGAGGAGCTAGATCAGCAATCGATCACTGAAAACATTCTGAGCGTTTCTACAACTTCAGGAAAATGATGAGATCTGCCAGTGAAAGAAGCGCTTACCAAATGGTCCTGCCACGGGGTAAGTCTTGGTGGTACCGCCTTGGCTGAAAGTGCCATTTGGACCAAACTGAGCCTCACACCGAAGCACCGACGTCAGCGCCATTAGCGCAAGGAGAAAGCCAGTCGAATGTAATGGACGACCCTGCACACGAGAAGCCATGGCGGTGCCTGCGATTCACAGATTCAGCACAGGAAGTGCCACTGTCTGGGAAAGGCTTACTCGAGGATTCTCAGGATAGGTAAGCTGCCGCAGCAGAACTGTAGAAAAACTGTGGAACTGCCAGATCTACGAACATTCCTTGTGATGAGCGGACAGAATGAAGCTAGTGACTGAGCGCAACCTGAGCGCAAGAATGTTTTCCAGGTACGGTAGGATACTCCCTCACTCGCAATCTGCAAAGCCTTGAACTTGAAGTGAAGACTCGGATGATGGATCCTCTGAAAATCGAGATTGGCGTCTCATCCTACTGCCTCTCTGAGTGACGACATGAGTGTACCTATTTCAGGTCCATGCAAAGAAGGTATGTACTTGATCGGTCTCAAAATGGACTGTACTCAGGTCGCAACGAGCCTAATATATGCGTTTCAGAAAGTGGAAACGGGCACTCACACCAATATAATCGTCTTACACTCAAGGGTTTCAATTAAAGCACATAGTAGGCACTTCTTTGGGGCCAGCTCCTCCGGTGCCTAGCTGGTGCAGCACCAGCTACCTCCCTACACTTCTGTACACTCGCTTGAATCACACGTTCACAGAGAAAACGTGGGTAGGTATCCTGCAGGCTGCAGCCCCGTGACTCTGGCTGCGGCGCGCCGCGCACGATCCAAGGCTGCAATTATTGAATGACGTCAGGATGTGAATCTCGCAGAGGACGGGCGTCGGCCCTCGGGGCCCGGGCCTCTGGTCTGCTCTGGTATTCTCTATGATATTAGGTATCCAAAAGTGTATGTATAGTGTATAGTGTATGTATAGTAGAAGATAGTCTTCGAAATTCTGGTAACGCTAAATATACCCGATCAACTGGCGTTACGAACTCGCGGATTTGTAAAGTGTAACGCAGTCACCCTTACCGGTTTAGCATTACAGTTCGATTCCTGGCGACACATTTCAACTTTCCAGTCGACCTTACAAAGCTCAAAGGTAACTTTGAAATCGCCCGCAAACCCCCTACCTGGGTACATGGCATACGCCACTGCACGCTTTTGAGGGGGCTCCAAATCGCGCTTTTGTACTCTGAAAAAGTCGGAGAGCTTTGTGGGTCGCAATGCACAACGCTCACAAACCGTCAGATTTCAAATATGGACGGCAGAAATCACATGCTCTGCAAGCTGCAGTTAGTAGCTGGTCAAGAGAAACCCAATTCGTTTAACCGCAGTTCTTGAGAAATTGTACCCCAGCTCCACGCAAAACTTCCAGGAAGAGCCTTTCGGCATGTACACGTGGGGCAGGTCATCAAATAGGCAGGCAAATGATTAGCTGAGGTGGTAATAAGCACCAGCCAGTCGCGATGATCCTTCCATCAAACCAAGACACAGCCGCATGCACCGGCTTTCACACCTTGGTCACAAACAGAAAATGTTAAAAGCCTCTCGCAGTGCAGTGAGCAACATACCACCCCTTTGTCACGCAAATTCACACCGCTAACGTAAACACCTATTTCCGCGCTTCTTGGTCACAGTCACAGTCTATGCATGGTAGTCACGGTAAAAGCTACCGTGCTCACTGCACAGAGCCTTGACCTGTAGAGGAATAAAAGCGAGCCCACGGGGTCCACGTGTCAACCTCATTCGTGATGCCTAACACCAATGACTGCTCTGAAGTCATACACCAGTTTCTAGATCCACCAGATTAATTTCGAACTCTGGCCGTAAGATTCCTTCTTGAACCAGATCGCACGGCTATGAACTGGTTACTGGCCTGGACTCCGGAAGATTTTGCCAGCCTGGCAACTTGTCCCAAGTCATTGACTAGTACACCAGCCGCAAACCGTTACCATATTGCGCTCAGGCTTCTGTGGAAGATTGCTTTCTAGTAGGTATCTCCCCCTCCACTTCGGGGCGCTTATTTTGAGGTTGCGTGTTGCCTCCCGCTGTGAGTATGGCGGCAGAGAAGACATCGGAGCCTGAGGCGGAGGCAACGGAAGCAAAGACGCCCCTCGAGGCTTTTCAAAACCTGGGCGTGTGCTCGCAGCTCGCCGAAGCAGCGGTCTCCTTGGGATGGAAGTCGCCATCGGCAATCCAGATTCAAGCAGTACCTCACGCCCTGCAAGGTGGGCCAGGGTCAGGGTTAGCTTTAATATAACATGATGGCTAGCGGACTCGGTAAATTAGTCTTTGGGCTTGAAAATGGCACATAGTGTTGACCTGTTAAAAAATATCTGCATAGGCGTCGCGGAGTGGGCTTATTGTGCCATGAGTATTTCAGAGCTTTTGGAGGGAATTTTTAGGACATGACAGTGCCTTCTGCTCTTGGCCCTGGGGCAGACAACGCAAAGTGGTAATGGTTTGCCACTCTCTCCAGTATGCAGCATTGAGCTGCTCGAAATGTCTGAGGTCTCAACTTTCTTGCCCTTTCCTCTTACTGACTTTCTGACATCATCAAGTTCCGTGGCGGCCAAAGACCTCGTGTCTTCAGACATCATACATAAGGCGCACGCGGACTTTTGCCACCCAATCATGTACTCAAAAATCTTGAAGGTACTGGTTGTTATGAGCAACTGAAGAGGTAGAATGGCGTCCTGGTCTCTGGTCAACGCTCCTTTGTGGCGCTGATTACAGGGAGTGATGTCATTGGGCTGGCGCAAACGGGGTCCGGGAAGACGGCGGCCTTCGCTCTCCCTATTCTGCAAGCTCTCCTGGACAAGCCGCACCCGCTCTTCGCGTGTGTGCTCTCTCCGACCAGGTGTGGCGGTTTTAGGGTTCTGCAATTTTAGGGTTTGCTCGACTGCTTGCCAGATCGTGCCAGGCTTTTCAAGGGATACTAAAGGATGGCTTTCTTGATTGTATGGGCATGTTCCCCCTGTGTGAGATGGCCGTATAGGTCACGATGAAAGGGAGAGCTTCAATTTCTTCATACCTATTTGTTCGCTTCGATGATTGGGGCCATGGTTAGGCCCCCTCAAAGTGTGCAGTTCTGTTGCAGCATTTGGGCTCCACGGTGGACACGTGTTTAAAATCGCTTCAGCATGAGGAGCTCAGGGGTCGACCTGGGCTCCGTTTCAAAAAGCACCTTTTAACATCCTGTGTCAAAGTAGCTGGCAACCGACCGTTTGCACCTGTGGGCTTACTCCCTTCTTTTTTATTGCAGAGAACTGGCCATTCAGATAGCAGAGCAATTTGAGGCGCTTGGGGCGGGCATTGGCGTGAAATGTGCAGTGGTAAGTGTGCGCTTGGGGGAGCGCCAGTGTCCTACTACTACAACCAGATCTAGTTGCACCTGCCCTCCACCTTTTAAAGAAAGGGTACAGTAGGGCGCAAGCTAAGTTTCACAGGTCGTCGTAAGCCGTGAAGTAAGCTTTGTGTGATCAATGGCCAGGAAAACGGAAGACTTACAGGTGGGATAACTTCACGGAAGCATATGGGAAGATCACTGTGTTGACGCTTATGAAACTAGGTCTTGCAAGTTGCATGATGTTTCAGATCCTTGCAATGTCGGGACCATTTTCCAAGGTTCGGTTTTTAACGAGGTTGCATCTGATCAATTCCTGTTCCAGGTGGTTGGGGGTGTGGATATGATGGCGCAAGCGATCGCCTTGGCGAAGCGGCCGCACATTGTGGTCGGCACGCCGGGGCGGTTAGTGGATCATCTCTCAAACACCAAGGGCTTCAGCTTACGAACAATCAAATACCTGGTACGCTCATTCCTCTCACTCTTGCCCGCGTCTGTATGTTGTGGTTACATTCACTGCTCCTCTTTGGTCGCAGCCCGAAGTACGAATAGTGGTATGCTGGTTGGGTTGGTAGGACCATCTTTGAGGTAATGATGAGGGAGAAAGAGAGCGATGAGCAAAGAAGGCTTTGGACGGTGTCGATGTTGAGTTGCTTTGGTGAAAGCAACGGGGCAACTAGCATCATAGGGGGCAAAGTCTTCTATTGCAATGGAACAAGGGCAAGGGCATCCGAGCTGGAATCCAAAGTTTGAAGGAGATCTGGAAAGCAGGGTTTACTCGTATTGAGTGACACTTACAATCAAGACTAGTCTTGCAACTCCTTGTTGTGAGATGGAAGGCACCCATCGACCTGTGCATTGACTCTAGTCGGAAAATACTTCTCAGGTCAGTCCTGACAGTGTCTTTAGCATCATGGAGCATTGAACCGTTGGTCTCGTCCTTTGTGAAGTTCAGACGGGGCAGACCGGCTGAATGTGACTGCAAGTAGATCACAGAATGCTTTCCAGTGAGTATCCAGGCTTCTCCAGTGCTCGCGTTCAGGAAAGCAGGGCGTTTCGCTGATGTATGCAGCTCTTGGACGGGACAGACCGGCTTCGTAACGTGGCCTCAATCAAAAAAGGAAGTAGACGGTCGAGCTCCTCGGAATAATCGAATTTGAAATACGAATCGTTGACCTCTTTGCAGGTCTTGGACGAAGCCGACCGGCTGCTTAACATGGACTTTGAGCAGGAGATCGACCAGATTCTGAAAGTAATTCCTAAGGAGCGCCGCACGTTCCTTTTCTCGGCAACAATGACGAACAAAGTCGCCAAGCTGCAGCGCGCGTGCCTGCGGAATCCAGTCAAGGTGGAGGTCTCGAACAAGTACTCGACAGTGGACACGCTGCGGCAGCAGTACATGTTCGTGCCGGCGAAGTTCAAGGTGAGGATGCGAGAAGCTGTCGACTCTTTGCCGGCATGGGCTCGAAGTCCACGTCTGTTGGTGCATATCTGTGTTGTGCTTTCTACAAGCAAAGAGGAAAAGCTGGGCGAGGCGATATTCACTGCAGGTGTAGGCAGTGTTCGGTCTTCGTTTTGCCACTGAATTCGTTGCAGCTTTGACGAGGAAAGAGGTTGACGGTACGGTGACAGGTACATTCGTCAGGTCAGAAGAAACGCAAATCACGCAGTGGCATGCATTTGAAAACTCGTCGACAACAGCTAGAGCAGGGAAGTTTACAAAGGAGTTACCGTTTTTTCTACGCAGGACTGCTACCTTGTCTTTTTGATGAACGAGCTGGCCGGCGCGACGTGCATGGTGTTCACACGGACGTGCGACTCGACGCGGCGGCTGGCCACGGTGCTGCGGAACCTGGGGCTGGAAGCCATACCCATTAGCGGGCAGATGAGCCAAGTAAGCAAGTTCCTTCGTGTTCCCGGAAGAAGGTCAGACGTTAATGCTCAGTGCTTCTGGGCACGTAAGCGCTTGGGTCTTTCTACGCTTGTGATATTTGAAGCAAGGACTTGTTGATAGCTGGACGGCTGGTGAATTGTGAGTAGTGAAAACTGTTTCACTCTAGCTGGGCGATCGCTTGAGATTATGTTCGGCGGCGTAATCAGGTGCGTAAAAAAGCACCAATCCTTTTCAAAGTTCTCTGGCGGCTGAGATGTTGCCTCTCTGGCGAGACGGAGTTCATGGGATCGGGCATCTAGGTAATGTCAACCCGGATGTTATTCAGAATCGTTATGCTCCCGCTCTTGATCTTCCTACCCAGCTCAAGCATTCAAAACGCTGACTCGTTTGTCCTGCTCTGTCTGCAGCCAAAACGTTTAGGCGCACTCAATAAGTTCAAGGCGGGCGAGCGAAATATTTTGATAGCAACGGACGTGGCCAGTAGAGGCCTCGATATCCCGTCCGTCGATCTAGTTGTCAACTACGATATACCTACGAATTCAAAGGTAAGATCTCTTCGTTTGTGTTCCATGACATTTCGCATGCCGACGACGCTCCGTTGGCAGATTTCACACCGTTTCGACAGTACTGACCCCGTTTTTCCAAGAGCAGAAGAGCGGATAGTACAATCAGTATCACTTCGGGGAAGCTTTGTGTTAGATTCTCCTTTCTCTCTACCCTTGCTACTTGCCTGTTTGGCTCTGCATGTTGGGCCGTTACAATCGTGCCACACCAGTTTTCCACCAAGCCAATCAGACACTTTCACAAGCACGCGAAGCACAATCTTCAAGCTGGTGACCCACTTTCCTACATTAGACCTAAGGGGGCCCGTTCATACTCCGCGCCTGCATTGGCAAGGTTTTCACTCCTTTCAATTTTGTACTCACCGTTACTAGGTGACCGATCGAACTTGTTGATATTCGCGTTCCAAGCTGACCGGGCCCATTCACACTCCGCTTGCAGGACTACATCCATCGAGTGGGGAGGACCGCCCGGGCGGGCCGCAGCGGGCGCGCAGTGTCGATTGTGACGCAGTATGACGTGGAGCTATTCCAGCGGATCGAGCAGCTGATCGGGCGGAAAATGGAGCAGTTTCCGGCGGAACAGGAGGAGGTTTTGCTGCTGGTGGAGCGAGTTAGCGAGGCGCAACGGATAGCCACCATGGTGAGCTGTTTTCTGATTTGGTCTCTAGTACCTCTCTGCAATCTCAACCAGTTTCAATATCGTTCTACCTGTCATTTTCTTCCTGTTTTCTGCTGTTGTCCGCTGTTCGATTCTTCTCCCTCTGGTTTGGTCCGACCGAATGCGTGACTGTCTCCTTTTGCGGTCCGTTGAGATGGGTCTAACCGACTATGTTGACACGATTGAGTACGCTGGTTCAGCTTTCAACAGAGACATTCTGTGATTCTGTGCACTTGAGCTGGAGATGAGAGGCTAGTCGACTGTGCGCTTGAGGTGGAGGCGAAACCTTACGTTTGCTGCCCTCCGTTTCGCAATCTTACTTTCACGTTCTCTATGCTTTGTCTCGTCTTTCTTTCCTCCTGTTAATCCTACTGTGATTATCCCCGTAAGTCTTGGTTTCCCTTAGTCTGATGTGGCATACAAACCTCATTCCAAAGCGTCGTTGAGAGAATCATTGCGAAGTAAAGTCGGTCTTGGAGTCATTTTGCCAATCTACCGAACATGTCCAGCACCAAAAAGTGGGATTTTCAATTTAACGATTGCTTGATTGCGTATGACTTGCAGCAAATGCGAGAAAAGGACGGTCACCGCAAGGGCAAGCGAAAAGGGCGGTACGAGGAGCACGGGGACGACCCCGAGCGGGCGGGGGGGTCCAGTTTGAAAAAAGCGAACGGTAACGGGAAGCACAGTAACGGGAAGAGCTTTAAGAAGCACAAAGGAAAACATTGACGAATATGAATATCATGCTGTACAGAGAATCGTGTCAAGAGTCCTGTTTTCAGTCAACTTCAATCGATACTACAGTTGCACGCATCTGATTCTTATCATGCATGCTGACTTCGGTAAAAACCAACGCCGATTATCAAGTTTTTGACGTTTAGCGTCGAACAGCATGTAGTCTGGCAACATTCCTTCCATTGAACCGTGCCAGCAGATCACGCCCAGTGCATGCGCATGTTGGACGTGTAGTGAGCTAGGCACCGTCCGTCAACTAGTTGAGTGAATTATATTGAACAACCGAACCGTCAAATCGTTTTATACCGTATACTTGCTGATTTTACGACGCTGATTTGAGGTCCGCGTTTGCTGCATTACTGAACTATGAGGCCGCCGTTCATACATGCATGTATGATGCACAGGACATACCATATTGGGGGCCGTACCTTCTTAAGTGTACACTTGTAGACATGCCAGCATGATATATATAGTGACCCCGAATTTCTCAGGATCTGCCGCTGAGGCAAAGTGACCTCATGGCATTCAATGATTGCTTCGGTTTCTGGTCTGTGCGCCCCACATCTTACACGGATGACCGCGGTTGTGGGGGCCGTGAAACTAAGTGTTATATGCATGACTGGGCGTGCTGGCTCATGCATGTTCAGCACAACGGGACACACGCGCAGAGTGGATCGCTGCTTGTCATCAAATTACAGTCTTCCATCTTCTTGGGGAGGCTCACTGTCAAAGTGTTTCTGCATTCATGCCTTAAATTCTTTGAAAGGTCTCCAGCCATCTTGTCAAGGCATCCATATGTCAGCACGGCCACACAATCCTCAGATCAAGGCGTGGAGAAACCCACTATCAGTGATAGAGGCCCGGCCTGCCTTACAGGTGGAGGCTTAACTTATTATGTACACTTTCTGTACAATCCACAGACCATGGCGTCCTCTACCGCGACACTATGGAAATATACATGTCGGCATATTGCTGCTGTTCTGTACATGCCTTATATCCGAAAGCGCTGCCGCTTCACAAGCAGGCCACCGTATGTGAGTCCTCTGAATATCCGCCTCTTCTTGCAACTGATGCGCTTACGGTGTGTGTCTCTGCCGTTCCCTGTATTGCTGTCCGCCCCACCCCACCCCATTCCAGTAAACCCGATGCCCGCATCCAGTCACTGACCTTTTGTAAGTAATTGCCTCACCCCGTATCTCTGCTTCCCGGTCGTCTCCGCAGGAACTCCAAACCCACCCCAAAACCCCAGTCCAAAGCCTCCATTCTCTCGTGCCTCTGACCCTCTCTCTCCGTTACCAATCTCCTCTTCCCTGTCTCTCTTCCCTCTGCCAACAGTCTCCGTCCCAACCTTACCACCCCCGCTTCCGACCCTCCAACGAGTATCCCCCCACCCTCGTTCCCCGCCCTTCTTATTCGGACGTCATTCAGCAACCTGCCGAACCACCTCATGCCTTCTATCAAACTGCACTGCTCCCCTCCTTCCGTCTCTCCCCCCAAAAGCCTCCGCCGCATGCCTACCAAACCGTCAGTAATGTTGCCTTCACCTCTAGACCTCAACACACCATCCTCAGGTCCTTCTCGGCGGCCTGCTCAAATAGTAGCAAATCTGCCGTCAGTGTGGAGGAATTGTCACGGGTTTGGTCCACAAGAGTGAGCGCTTAATGATAGCCGGTCTTCTCACTAGTGCGACCCCATTTCGTAAAGGGTCTGCGCTCCAAGGTGAAAAAAAACCTTGGATGACGACGAGCGGAGTCGACAAGAGACGACGAAGCCACGAGCTCCACACCACCGAGGTTGTCGGCTTGACACACGGGGCTTCTCAATTGTTCGGTGAAACGAATTGACTACCGCAGGGAATCGGCGCAGATTCTCATATAGGAAAGAGAAGCAGGGCAAACACGCGAACACTGTAAAGCGGACGGAAAAGTGAAACGACGTCGGGTTGAGCGATGAAGGGAGATGGTTCAGATTCGGACTGTCGAGAAATGGAAGGAGGAGAAGCAGAAAAAAGAGATATGAATCGTGCGGCCGGTGAAAGAGGAGTGAAAGACGAAGCTGAACGAGGTACATCCCAGAGCCACCTATGCTAATGATTGCATTCAATGGCAAGGACAGGGAGGCAAAACCGGAGCCAACGACTAAAAGAAGGGCGCATCTAGTTAGTAGGCTTACGCAGAAGCGACCGCGGTCAGAAAAGACCCCATTATCTTCGGAGTCGCTGCTTTCTTGTTGCCACATAGGAACATCTGCCGAAGACCACGTGGCCCCATAGCGACCGACTTTTGTCCGGAGTTCGATTCAGTGCCGCCTAAATCTCTGCGTTGGTAAGCTTTTCTTGCAACAACAAAAAGAAAAGGAGAATTGCACGTACCGAAATTCAGCAGGCCCGCCCTGAGCACCTCCTTCTGGCTGGCTCCCTGCATGATCGCCTGCAATTGCTGCGGCCGCATGTAAAACACTGCACGAGAAGGGGATTCTTTTTTTCAGATTCCAGAAGGTACTCTGTATGATGGACAAGTTGATTGTGCTTTGAACGACAAACCCTCGAGGATGCTGCGCCAACACGCAAATGTGGTTTGAAGATCAGTTCAAGCTACCAAAGTATTCTACAAGATTGGATCAGTCCAATAGGAAGACAAGTCAGCACAATGATGATGGTCTGGCAGACTAGGATTGCAGGTGCTTCACAATAAGAATCCGATCTTCCACCGAAAAAAGCTTCGAGGAGAGACCCGAAGGCACAAGCTGTTGGCGCCAAGGACGCAGGTCCAGGCCTACATGACAATCCCTCGAAAAACGGGCACGCCCCAGAAGTGCGTGAACGGAATCGCTTGATTTTGTTTTTGACTTATGTTCCCAAGAGCAATACAACAGGTGTTCCAGTCGCAAGCAGAGTACGAGGAGCCCTATCCTTTAAGTTGGAGGAGGCCCCCACCTTGAAAGTAGACCAGCGTCCCAAAGCAAACCAGCAGAATTGCCATGACCAGCTTCATTTTCCACTTGGCGGCCCCCCCGCCCCGCTTCCCCTTGCTTCTGTCCAGCTCCGTAGAGTCCCGCCGCCTGCGCCCGTTCTGCGGGTGGTGGCCCGAGTCTCCATTGAGACCGTTGTGAGAAGTGGGGCACCGGGGGGGCTTCTTGGAGGAGGCTTTGATGGGGGGGGGATGACGATCGTGACGCGCCTGCCGGGAAGGTATCGGTGGTTGACAACAGAAAGCGAACTAAGGGGACTCGTGCGTTGACTAGCTAGAGGGCTGGTGCAGCCCAGGAGGATCACTTTGCTCAGCCACGCAGATACGAGCTTGAAAGCTTCCAGCATTTATGGCTGGACCATCAGAGAAGGCCGATGTCCTACAGACTGAGCTTAGTGGACTCAATCACCCCCTCAACTGTACAAGAGAACGCCAAGCGGATTAAGGGAGTCTGCTTGTGCACAAGAGCCTTCTGACGAGAAACCGGGCTTTGCTTGTAAATTAACAGAGCCTTTGTTATGCGACATCTGGCTTGTCGACAAAATAAAGGAACCTGATTTTGGTTTGAACACCACTTACCCAGAAGACGACTGGACACCTTTAACGTGACTCTTTTTAGCACAAAAGGGGGATGAATCGGAGACCCCTGAATACGAAAGTTCGGGAGTAGAAGACATCCAGCGAACTTCAGGACTTTTCGGGGGGAAAATGTCACAAGGTTGACAATATTAATCATCTGGTTTGCTTGCAAGGGAGAAGTGAGTGACAAGCCACACTGGGGCACAAAAACTGGTGCAGCCGGCTTGCATGCATAAAGTAGAACCACTGAATTTTGGAGAATCGGGGTATAGAATGTCCTGGACATCACCAAAGAGCTTTCTTCAACCATACCCAAAGATAAGCAGTAGTCAGGCGCAGCATTGAGAAGCATCAACAAGGCTTGGGTAAGACTATCAGAACTGGGGCAGTCCATTACAGGACTTTGATTGGAGCACCCCATCTGAATGATGCAATGCTGCAACAACCTGTAGTACAATTGAAATCACGTATCCGCAAAACCCTAGGCCGGGCACAAGTTGCAACCCAAAAGCTGAAGTACCTCACATTGTGGCAAACCAGCTGAGAAGATTTACCTGCCCGTTCTCACTGACATACCCATTGCTGCCGTGCGGCCTCCCGTTGTCCTCTCTGACACCATTGGTTCTAATCGTGTGGTTTCCTAATGCAGGTATCTCGACAACGTGCTCCTTCCTTGGATGAGCCTCCCCATTCGAACCATGCACCCTGCTGGTATGAACATGATGTAATCCGTTCTGGATCACCGGGAGCGACTGCGTGGGCGAAAGAGGCTTCTCTACGCCTCCGACAACCGGAACATGTAACCGGGGAGGGGTTTTGGACCTATATGCGGGGCCGGAGCTCCTCAGGTGGGTATCATGCGCAGTACGAGAATCTGAGTATAGACCACTGCGCGGGCGTGAAGATGCTCGAGCGGGAGAGCCCTCCCTTCTCACAAGAGACCGGTCGACAGAAGTGCTGCGTCGCGGGAATGGACCCCGAGACCATGGCTGGGATTGACCAAGACCATTGCTGGGGATGTGTCTCAATGCTTCGGTTAAGTGCGCGCCATTTGCACTTCTCACTAGTGGCAATTGCTCGTTTGCAATTCCCAAAACTTCGTGGTGCATGTCTGAATCACACTCCAGTAACTTCGTTCGACTCCCATCGGGCCCTCTATCATGGCCGTGAAATTGCTGCTCTGAAGTAGGAAGATATGCCGAAGCAACCCCAGGAGTTGTTCCGCTGCTCAGGACCTCTACATCTTGGGACTGCACGGCACCAGGACTACGAGAACCTGCTCTCACATTGGGCTCGTCTGCTGTCTCCGTAAGAGGAATGTCGACCAACTGCGCGGAGACGTCGAAAACCTCGATCCTGACATTGTCAATATCAATGTCATTCAGCAGCGGATCATTGATGATCCTGTTGGCCCTTGGGCTGAGGTCTGATCGCCATGCGCTGCGGAGGCCGGGCAGCCCCCGAGCCCCGTCCATGTCCATGGGGGGCACATGCAGAACTGGCCGCGCCCAAACACACACCTCCTGAATGTAGGAAGAATAAAGCTTTCTGACTAGAGCTGTTGCAAAAGCACTTTCTAAACGTCCCAAAAGATCGATCGCTGCAAAAGCACAATCCTGGGAAGTTTCAAATTTCTGAGCAGAACCTGGCAGAACTTAATTCAGTGAGGCGTTTTACATGGAGAGTGAGTTGCCGACGGTAAATGGTAACTTACCGGGCACTCTCGCGACTTGGCAAGTACCGCCCCGACTTACCGTGGGCTCTCCGCAATCCGCGATTTACATGGTCCGAAGGTAAGTCGATGGTAAGTCCCGATCGACGGCAAATCCGCACTCATTTCGGAGTTACCGTACCAATTGTCCGGTTGGGCAGAATTTTGCCCAATAATTAATTTCGTATCTCAGGGATTTTGGACAGCTTCATTTATGCATTTATTTTGTTTTTTTACGGGGCAAAATGATCTGCAAATCCTTAATTGGAATTTATTTTCAATTCAGATTTTTGGGCAAGTCAAAAAATACTTAATTGTTGCCCAACCGGACAATTGGTACGGTACCACGACTTACCACGACTTGCCTCATCGATTTCGATGAGTTAAAATTGGGGCCTACTTTACCGTCGGTAAACTCGACTTACCACGGTAAGTCGCCACCATGTTAACTAGACTGGCAGCACACTGTGCTGCACCTGGCATGCCATTTGATCGATTTATTTCAGCGCCGAGCGGATTTAGACCGTCGGATTTTGTTGTGCAAGTTTTAGTCCGGATGATCAGGATATTACCATTTGACACAAAATCGGCCGGAACGTTCCGAGGCGACGGTTGTACCCCCTGGCACGGGCTGGAAATCCAGGCGACGGCCTGCGACACTTTGACAAACGTGCGAACTTTCATCGGAGGGTCTGCGACCGTCGGCCGACCTACTTTGTTTGCATAATACGACAAATTGGTAGAAAACCTCTGTACGGAAACTTGGTGCCAACAATGCCTTTGCGGCTTTGCCGATCACTCGCACTGGAAGTCGATTGGCAAAGTCGTACAGTTTGTTTACAATGCCCCTGGGAACTTTCTGGAAAAGGGGCCGGCCGGAATCCCCTCGCGCACAGAATTGGTGGATCTCTTAGGGTAATAAAGCGGTCACATAGCCGACGGCCCCTAGCAAACAGTCGCCTATGCATTTGCCACGTCGTACGGTGGCATTGGGGGCATCCATTTCGTGGGCTGTCGCCCATTTTCAATAACGCGTACGCTCGCGCGCATTTGGGGAGCACACAGAACGGAATGAAAATGGCATGCCAAAAAGGCAAGTCGTGGTAAGTCCGAAATTTGACTTACCGTCGGGACTTTAACCTCCATGTAAAACGCCTCACTGTTTCAGAAAACGAATGCGGGCGAGCCCGAACTGGCACTGTGGAGTTGCACACGAATCCTATTGTTTGACGCACATATCCGATCACACAAGTTGTGATAAGATTTTGGATCCATGGCACAGCTTCATTTTAATTTTCATACTCACCCATAAGGAGCTGTGTGGGCCCCCGGGGGACACTTTCAGAGCTAGCTGAAATGAGTACAGATTTCGACCGGAAGAAACCTATCGTTGTCGGTGTTTAGCCGATCTCAAGCAAGCAATATAAGACCCAATCGTGGTCCTGTATACGACCATGCTATAAGTGATCTTATGCTCTAGCTATGGATTTCGAGGGGCAAAATACCGTATCGTGTTTCTTCTGTGCTGTTGCAGATTGGCGCTAGCTGGCATATGCCAGGGCCACAGTTCGCGCCCCTTCTTCAACCTCTATACTGAAGAATTTAGTCTTTAGCTAAAAACTTGTAAATCCTGTAGCACGATGAGAGCGTTTTCTGAAAGTTCAACCAGGCTTTGAGCTTTTTGCTTTCGTAGGATGTGCGATGTGTGCGCCAGATTGCACCGTAAGATGCAGTCCGGGTGATCGATGCTGAGAGAAATAGGAACGTAAGTGGTGTGCCTGTGTTGGGGGTGCGATGGCGGCACCTGACGCGTCTCCCATACTGCAGCGCACAAGCTCCAGTTTGAAACCTGCCATGAGGGAGAAGTTTGTGGCAATCTATGAAGACATCTTTGCGTTAAGTAGTCCTGTCCAGCTAGCACGGGAGCAAGGCATCGCTGGCAGGGCTTCTTTGCAGAGATTCTGGGACGAGCTTCTGCTGCTGAAGGTGACCATGCTGCTCTTCCCCACCTCTGCAAATGTGTTGTGTGAGAGTCTACCGCTTGCTACTCTGCCTTTGGGGTGGTCTTGCAGGCTGTTTCCTCAGTTTGCGGCGGTCTTGCAGGCTGTTTCCTCAGTGTGCGGCGTGTAGCATTACTTGAGTCCAGTTGAATCAATGCCATGCTTGCTTTTGAAACGCACTGCACATAGATGTGTCTGCTCTTATAACAAAACTTGGACCCACTGTACGGACAGCTTGTGTATCCAGTACATCCTTAGCAATCGTTCTCAGCATTCCTTGTAGACCTTCAGCTGAGACTTGCATGATACCAGCTCCTTCAAAGCTTTCCTTCATTACATGCTCAATTACACCAGAAGTGATTGCATCATTCGCCGGGCAGATTTTTGGTCCCAACAAATTCTGAACTCTTTGTTTTTGTGATGTGTTAGGTGAATGAACTTTACCTCGCCAAGTGCGTTGCTAGCGAGCCTGAAGATCGTCTTGTTGGACCGCTGAAACACACCGTCAATGACCTCTTTTCAGCCTGTGTGAGGTAAGTTTTCTCTGCATGGTGGTAGCTGCGAGGGGACAGAAACTTAGGAAAGATTCCTTTTTGACCCATTTTTCAACCTGCTTGTGGAAGCCATGTGTGCGAGAATGATTGAAGCAACTTGCTCATGGTTCCCGATAGCAGTGTGGACTTTTTGCTTTGGTTGAAGCTCGGAGGCTTGCCATTTGACTAAGCCTCCTTGTCCTTTTGTCTCGTTCAGCTTGAGATCATTCCATTCTACACTCATCTCCGGAGGTTCTGTGCAGGTACCTGGGGGATGATAATTTTATACGGGTGGCTCATGCTCTGGAAACCAGCTCCATCCTGCTGAGGGAGATCTTTCGAAAGCGCTTCAATGAACAGGTGGGGCATGCTTCGATTGTTTTAGGGGACTGCTGACAAGAAGCGAGCTGGTTGTGGTTGTCTGGGGAGTCCCTCAAGATATTATGAGAAGGGAAGCATGTTACACAGACGGAACAAACTTTCTTCTGGGGGGGGTCTCTGATTCTTCTCAGTTGGACTCTATGCTAGCCGTCTTGCTTCCTTCAGGATGCATGGACGAGTTTTGATGTTGCTTCATATCATGCCAGGCTGTAGCGATCCCAGTTTCACCGGTCTTCTTAGTTGCCCCCTTGAGTTTCAGTGACAGTTTCTGTTTGCTTTGGTTGCAGGGATTCACAATCATCACACTGGTAGCCGGTTCTGCGGACCTTGCTGACAGCTTCTTCCGCAAGCTCATCGGGGAAAGTGCAGATCTTCTTGCTCGACAAGACGCACCGGTGACGGTCAAGGTACTAGTGCTGAGGTAGGCTTCAACATTTTTCGAAGTCATTGCACACATCTATGCTTACATGCCTGTCGTGATGATTACTTTGCTCTTCAGGCCTGCCAAAATATCATTTCGTGGATGCATTCAAACGCTGATGATACATAGTTTTCCGGTTGTGGGCATCGGCAGTGTTCATACAATGAATACATGTTGTGCTCGACATGGTTTGTCTCGCAGCTGCTGGCACGATGACGTGGTAGGCTGCTTCTGGTCGGCGACCTTTTCCTTTGTTCTACAACGAGTGGCTAGGTTCCAAACAGCCTCGAAGGCAGTGGCTGACGTTCAGGAGTTCTTCACAGCTCAGCAAGCAGCTTCAAATGATCTATCAACTGACAACGTGACGCTTTGAGACCCTCACCCCGTGAGTCTAATGCGCCAACATTATTTTCGAAAAATTTCTAAGACCTCCCGAATGATTGCCAAGGTATTGTCAAGTCGAGTCGCCTATTTCTTTTCACTGAAAGGGGAGCATATCTCGTCACAACATTGTCGTAATCTCTGGAAATTGTCTTTGTGCGCAGACTCTATCTCACCATCCTGACTGCCACCGACAACGTCAACACCAACTCCATCGCTGCCTACTTCTTCGTGAGCAACGTCTTCGACCCGGTCGTCTCCGCTCTCTCCGCCCGGGTCCCTGCCGACCGCCGCCGGCTCGAACTTGACGCCGCTCTAGTTCTCATCCTCCTTCTCCAATGGAAAGAGTCCCCCAACATCTACTCCGAGCGGTTGTGTCAACCGGCAGCCCCGCTGATGCCGCTCCTTAACTCTGTCCATTCGCTGCTGCTCCCGGCGGGGTTCGTTCCGCCCGCCGCTGCCGGCCAGAACGGAACGGATTCGAGGCGGAGCAGCGGTGTCATGGGCGGCCTCTTTGGTAAGCTCCTTGATGCTTCCTCCGCAGAATTTTCAGAAGGCCTTACCCAAGCTAAAAAAACGATATTGTATTCGGTATCCTTAAGATGCACAATCAGCAAGCGAGGATTTGTGCAAGTGTCCCGAATCCCCAAAAAACGTGTGGTTGTACTGCAGGTTCCTTTTCGTTTCAGGTCTGTCAAGATGGAGCGCGATGCTTGAATCGCATGTCCGATCAGTTTTAGACAACCACGTTGTTCCGGACCACCTACGTCGTCACAGTATAGAGACGCTTCCTTTCTCTGTCTGCCCTTCTGCCGGCCTGGATTGGCTTCGTGATCCGGTCATGCCCCGCTTCCAGGATGTCTCTTTGATCTAGCAAAAGTAAGCTCCTACACGAACACTAAAAGCCTAACCCACAAAATCACCTGCTCCGCACCCGGACCCACCGTAAACCTCCAAAGGTGAACCCACCCGTCCCAGGCTGGTCAGCTTTCTTCTGCTGAATCTAACCTTCGTGGTTCTAGGTACTTCGACGAGCTCTCCTGGACCGCCGCCCCCTAAAGAGGATCCTTCTACTTCCGACAGCAAGGCCGACACCCGCGACAAGCAGCGGTGTCGCTCGAGCGCAGCGGTTGTGCTCATCTACTACCTAGTGCACCTCAGCCCCGTACTTAAATCCATGCAAGTAAGGGTTCATTTCTGCACTATCTCCTTTGAGCGTTAAGTACCTCGTAGCTGCACGTTTGTTGTGACAAGTCGGAAGGAAATCACCGAGTCTGTGCTTTGATCCTCTGACATGACATCGATTGGAAGTTGCGGATCTTTTTCGGGATAGAGTTGACAATCGTGAAAGTGGGGTTGTATTGTCTTCCTTCACAAAAGCGAGCTTCCATAATATACGCCGATGCCGCTGCACAAACGACCGACATTCCAGGCTTGCAAAAAGGGACCCCCGATTCGATCCAGCAAGCAGCGCGAGCTGCTGCGGTATCTCCACTCACTTTCAGATTTCGAGTGCGCATCATTAATTGTACCAGTACTCAATATCTGCCGTCCGCTTTTCCCAGGCCTGGCGACGATCCGAAGACCCCAGCAAATCAGCGGCCCAAGCCGCGAACCCCCAAACCCCCACCCCCGCCGTCGGCCAGTCGCTTTCTTTCCTCTGGATGAGCGCCTTCCGCGCGTTCCTCTCCCTCTGCTGGCGCGCCTTCCGGGCACTCCCCCTGGTCGTCGACAGCCGCCGGACGTCCGAGAACGGGCAGAGCGTCCAGCTGTCCGCGGGGCAACAGGCCGCGGTCCTGCGCGCGAAAACGTGCCTCATGATCCTCCGCGTAATCTGCGAAGAGCCGCTCATCATCGAGTTTCTCCGGAAATGCGACGCGGCCGCGTTGCCCGCGTTTCCCAACTCGGGCGCCGCGTCGACCCTCCCCCCCCGGTCCCATTCCGTCAAATCCCAAGCGCAGCCCGTGCTGAGTATAATACTGGACCTAGCGACGGACGTGCTCTCGCTACCCCCCCGGGGGAGCTTTGTAGACGCGGACTTGTACAGTAGAGCGGAAGCAGTGGTTGCGACGATAGTGGTCAGCAGTAGGGGGCAGGAGGGGGTGGTTTCGGAAGCCGCGAGCGGGGCGCAGGGTTTGGCCACGCAAGGGTTTGAGTGGCGGCGGCTGTGGGTGGTGTTGAGTCGGATATGCGACTGGGCGGGTGAGGTGACGGCGCTACAGAAACCGGGAGTGACGGACTTGGCAGCGCAGGTGAAGGAGTGCCTTTGCATCATTTCTATTCCCATGGTTGCTTATTAGTGGCTTACGAGCAAGTCTATGGAACTTTTTGGTGGTGCGCTTCTCTGTCCCTTTCATGCAGCAGCCCAATAACATGGAGTACTGCCTGTCAAGTTACGCATATCAAAGTCATCAGAAGGACCAAAGAGGGGCGACGCAAGTTTCGAGTGACAAAAGACCACACGTTCTGCCAATTTGTTTCTTCTTGGGGGCAGATGGTTTATGAAGGAGAGCCCTTACCCTTTGCAGATTGCCTCACTTTGCAGCTGGAATGTTTGCTGCCGATAACGATTTTAGAGTAGAACTGTACAGAAGAAGCTATGCAAATCTCCTCCCTTGCAGTCTGTGGCGATATTGGAGTATATCCCGGCGGGGCAAATCTTTTGCCCGAAAACTCTAAGCTTAAGGCCAAAGCCAAATGGAGCACGGGCCCTGATGATCCTCGTAGTGCAAAACTTGCTGTGTCAGAATGCGTGGAAGGAGAATGTGGACCAGATTCGCACTTTTTAGACCCTGCCAAGCTTTAGTACCCTGTCGACCGCGCGTGGGCCCGCCACCCGGGTTGCTGAGTCCGGGGTCCTGATTTTGGTCAAATTCGTACCCGGTACTTACGTTGTACCTGAACTTCTAACGACTGTGGTCTGCGGGAGGTACCGGGGAGGTGCTGGTCCCCAAGTCGGTGCGGCCGGGAGAAGCTACATACTATACGCAGTCCTGGGTACAAAATGGTGGGGTTTCGAAAAGCCCGAATTTGGTCCACGTTCTCCTTCCACGGGTTCTGTCAACGTCCTCGCTTGCAGTCAGTGGCAATTTTGGAGTACATCCTGGCGGAGAGCCAAAAGATCCTCGGCTCGGTCGGCGAAGTGGACGGCCAATTTCCTAGATTCGTACATTCGGCATGGGTCCTCATAAAGCCTGTCGTGCAAAATTTAGCGCTTATGATATCTCTTCCGCTTGCAGTCTGTGGCGATTTTGGAGTACATCCTGGCAGAGGGCCAAGAGATCTCATTCTTATGGCCGATCTGACGTTTGAGGCCAAATTCCGAGTGATTCATTGCAGCACGGGCTTCAATGAACTTTGTGGTGCAGAACTCCCTTCTTGAATTATTCTCTTGCTTGCAGTCTGTGGCGATTTTGGAGTACATTCTGGCGGAGGGCCAAGAGATCCTCGGCTCGGTCGGCGAAGTGGAGGGCCAATTTCCCAGATTCTTACATTCGGCATGGGTCCTCATCAAGCACGTAGTGCGAAATTCAGCGCTTCTCATATCTCCTCGCTTGCAGTCAGTGGCAATTCTGGAGTATATCCTGGCGGAGGGCCAAGAAGTCTCATCTCCTCGGCCGGGTCTCAGGCGCAAGGCTCAAATCTAAATGATTCAATGCAGCACGGGCTCCAATGAACTTCACAGTGCAAAACTCACTTTTCAAATGATCTCCTCGCTTGCAGTCTGTGGCGATTTTGGAGTACATTCTGGCGGAGGGCCAGGAGATCCTTGGTTCGGTCGGCGAAGTGGAGGCCCTGCACGCGAGTGTCATGAGCAACTGCCTCGTCTTTCAGAAGCTGATGCAAGCCGCACAGAAGCAGCAGGAGGCCCTGACGAGAGGGAGTGGCCGGTCGGGGCGGGAAAAAAGGGCGTCCTTCACGGGGGACTTCAAAATGGTGAGGGTCGCCGAGGAGCGTTGCTCGGGTGATGGGCGGCAATGGCCGGTCTCTGCTTAGACGTGCGGGTGATGGTCTTTGTGGGTTCATTTGCGGCCGAGAGTTTTGGGTCTGTACACGGTGAGGGGCGTGTTGAGGGGCGCAGAGAAACTGCGCGCAGCTCTTTTGTCTGGCTGAATGTTTGTTGGCTCGAAGCTAAGAATATTCCTTTCCCTGGCAATCTGTGTCTTCGATCGTTTTAATGCTTCTTGTTCCGGGCAGCTTGGGACTCTGGCAGTCTGTCGCATCGTACTTGCATCTTTCGGTGATCAGAGGCCGTTCCGGCTTGTTCTTCATTGGGTCGGCTTCGGACGGACCGAATGCTTAGCCATCTCGGAACGATAGTCTCCGAAAGGCTCGATCGGAAAGGATACGGCGACCGCATCGATCTTCCAAGTAAATGCTAAGAAAGGTAGCGTTTTTGGTCTCTGATGATTGGCACTGGCGTGCCCAACCGTGTTCAAACCAGTCGCTTTTTCTACTTCGTTTTACGTTCTTTCGAAGTGATTTCATTCCACTTCCTTACACGAACACCTGCATCAATGCGCACGTGACAATGGTTAGTACAACGCCAGTTTTCTGCTGAACTCGATCCTTTGATTGTCCTCATTCTCGCCCCCTGACGGCGGACGTTTGGTGTGCAGCTGAACTTAACCGCCGTCCGGAATCACTACGAGGTACAGATTGCTGCGATGGGCGTCCGGGGGGTCCCCAGCGAACAGCAGGCGATGGCCGGGGTGCAAAAGAAAGGGACAGCAGGGCTCAAGTTCAAGTCAAAGCCGGCAATTGCGGCGCACGCCTATGCGGAGGTGGGCATAATTTCGGACATCCATCATCATGCCGTGACTTGTTAGCTCATATGCAAAAAGTCGTAGTTTCGAAGTGACGTCCATTTCTTTTGCCCTCGCACAAGCTGAATTTTGAGAAGCATGATACCGTTTGTGGTGCATGAACGACAATCTCGCCTAGCAATGCAGGCAGCTGCCGAGATACAAGACTCATCCTGGCATTCTGGGCCTGCCTGACTGTTTATTGCTTCGTCCGCAGGGTACATCCGAAAGCCGTGTACTGAACGGCTTGGCCAGAGCCCTTATTGCTGAGCATAGAAGACTTTTCTGGCAGGATATTCCTAATATTCTTGACTTCCTGATGTGACACTACGACGTGGTGGATGTTGACCCTTCAGTCACCTCAATAATAGAAAGCTCACTGATCTTGCATTCACCTCAGCCTCTTCTTCTACATGATTTTCAAGGATCACTTGGGTTGCCAATATCAAGCTGCAATTATGCACATTGGACCTAGCATGTTTGCAAGCAGCCAAGATTAGCCGATTCCGGTACGTTGTCAACCGGCCACTCTCATGCCTGTCATACCTGGGCAGGCCAAATGTCTACAATGACCGGCATAGTCCAACCACAGTTTGTAGAATCTGGCATTAACAGTTCCGGTTAAGCAAAAGCAGGAATGCTATATAGCGCCTCAAAGTGATCCTATCGTTTTTGCGGTTGAATAGCACTAACACATAGTCCAAAGTGTATTCCGTCGTTGGTGGTCAATACGAAGCTGAAGAGGTGGCCTCCAGTCCAACATGAACCGGGGTCAAGAATCTCCGGGTTGGTTTGCATGAGAGGTGGCCGCATGGTTGTCTATAATGATAGCATGAGAGTGCCCCACTATACTCAAGGTACTACAATAGGAGAACTACGCTGAACAAACTTTAATTGTCTTAAATATCCTATAGCTAGAATATCCGTACATCCGACGGTTTTTTAACGAGCTTAGTCGGTAAGTTTACATCTTGGAGCTTAGGCAATCTACAGATCTTGAAGCTCGCTCAAGCTCGCTCTGCCGCGTGATGCTGGACCCGCGGTGCAAGACTCCAGTGACTAGACCGCCACATTCCCCCACATGTGCTGGTCATTCGGTGTTCAGAGCCTCGATCAGTCAATAGCTTGGGCTTCATCCCATGTGTTTTCGAGATATTAGAAGGTGTTAATCCTAAGGCAACATACCCAAGTCCTTCTTAACACCCGGCCCACGAAGGATCGTCTGACATATGTCTACAGAAGCTTCAATCCAGCTCAGCGGCTATAGTCGCCGGTCGAAGCAATTAAGGTAGCAATCATGCAACATGGTCACCTGTTTTGTGTCACTTGAGATATATGTCTACGCTATGCATGCAAGGCTGTCAGTCATGAGCGTTCTGTACAAGAAACTTTGCATTCAACTCGCATGCGCTCGAACCGAAGCCACAACCAGGAAGCCAAGGCTTGCATGGGAGGCCAATTCGACTTTGCATCATAACTTTATTATATTATAAAGCAATAATATATGCTTAATTGCGCATATATTCTTATGCGACAATAAAGCATCAAACACCCGTATGAAGCAATGATCGCTGAAAGGCATCAACCAAGTACGTTTCGCAAGCAGGCTTGGGTCAGGCTTGTTGCGCCAATGCTGCAACTCACACCACTGACAACCAAAGCAATCAATGCATTGACGTGACGAAACTTCTCCACAAGCCTGCTGGCACAAACTCCAACACTTGACATCTTTGGCTACACGAATGTTGCATCTAAATTGAACCTAGCTACTGTCCTTATAGAACCCATAAAGGCTTCTGTTAACAAAGCAATCTAAGTAGGAGCAGAACTGCTGAAATACCTATGATTACTTATTGTAGTAGGAGCTTTACCGAACCAGGCCACCCTTGAGCGTTGCTATTTCTTGCCTTGCTTTGCCACGAAGTCCTTGATCCATCCTGATGTGATGCTCTTTGGCCTCTCGATGGGCAGCCCCAGAGCACGGTCCCACACAAGCTGCGACAGGACGCCCATGGCTCTTGAGACACCGAAGAGTACAGTGTAGTAGCTGCAAAAAGGGAGGGGAGCGTTAATGGCCACTGAGAATGAAGGAGCGGCTTCAAGGTCCGCAGGAAACGAAACATTCTGTTGCTTGCTGGTGCCTTCGGTGGTGAAGAAGCCAATCTGAATAGGGGCTATTGCAAGCAAAGACCGTCACAGAAATGGGAAGGAAAACAGGAGACTAACAGTCAGATCCGGGAACAAACATCAAATAATGAAAGAGATGCACAATACATACGAAAAACGGGGGGAAACGATTGCTCCATCACGCACCATCAGACGCCCCAGAAAGCATCTTAAGGAGATGGAAGGTGTATGCCGAGCGATCCGCACACCTCAACTGTGACACGATCATCTCGCAGTCAGGAGACAGCCCTCATTTGGAAGCAAACGGATGCTGATTGGCGACCATGGAGTCTCTGCATAAAAACTTTCAGAGTAACCGCCTAACATTGCAGGACGGAAGGGGCCAATGAAGCGAGGTGACACATCAACGGTTTAAAAAAAGCGGTCTTCTCACTTGGATTCGGTGAGGCCGTAGTACTGCAACAAGACGCCGCTGTGGGCATCCACGTTGGGCCATGGGTTCTTCACCTTGCCACCCTTCAACAGGATCCCCGGCACCACCTCGTACAGCAGCGACACCTGCCGAAATTCAAGCAGCCGAGCTCAGCCCATACGTTGGGCGGACAGAATGAGCAAGCGAAGCAGGCAGAATGACAAGGAATGACAACGAGATGAATGCTGAAATAGACCCTAACTCCGAAGCTTCGGCCTTAGTCGCTGATTTCGATTTTCAAAACCTGGAATCAGGCCAAAGTTGCTGGATCTGATCTCGTGCGGGTTTTGGTAAGGGCAGAATATAAATTCAAAGACAAGGGGACGGGAGTGCTTCGGATCGATTTTCAAATGGCTCCGAGGACAGTGCTTTTAGGACCGTACTGCTGCCCGCAATGAGATGGAAGTACAATACCCGATGGAGTTGCCACGGTAGGCAAAGCTCTTCCTTGATGCAAAGGGGAGACGAGCGGTCCAATCACATGCATTTGGAGATGGCGTACATGCTTTGTTCGAGTCCGTCTTATTGGCTTTCTTATAGAGGCGAAGTGTAACATTTGCCTTTCAGAAGATGAACGTAGTAAAAGAAATAGCACCAATTCAGCGGAATAAGCGCAAGACTAGTTCCGTAGTCAACGTGACTCACAAGCTTGAAGAGCGGATCGTCCGGCAGATGCTTGAGTGCGAACTCTCGCTGGCACGTGTAGCGAGGGTCCGTCTTTCGGAGCACTGCGTGACCGTAGCCAGGCACAACCTGCAGGCAAAAGAGCATCGACTTCAGTGGACCGAGAAAAACTAAGCGGACCGGTAAAAGCACCCCAACCATCTCAGAAAAGAATTCAAATTAAAGCGATGAAACGTGCTAGAAAGATGCAATCTAGTGTATCGAAGCTCAGCTCCAGGATGCAGGTACGCTTCATTCTTTGCGAGATGCTTAGCTACGACCTAAATTCAAATTTAAGCAAATGAAGTGCCGAGCACGCAACCGACTGGCTTATCGTGGAGTAGTCCCAGAAGGCCCCGACATGGACACGACTACCGAAGCCAATCGGTACATACCCTTTCTAAAGGCTCAATCAAAGCAACGTTCTACCTAAGCGTCGAACCAAGCACTTACCTTTCCGCTCGCGAGCGTTTTGTGCACGAAGTCCGCGATCTTCTCCTTGGTCAGTTCCTGCTCGCCCAGCTCGGCCTTGACGTCCTCCAGCCAGCGCAGCACCTCCTGGTTGGCCAGCCCGTGCAGCGGGCCCGCCAGCCCGTTCAGGCCCGCAGCAAACGACAGGTACGGGTCCGACAGGGCGCTGCCCACCTGGTAATACGGAATATATAGATCCTCGTCTCTGCCTTGAAGTATACCTGACAATTGTGATCCTGAAAGGCAATGAGCAAGTAAACGATGGGCCAGGATGAGGAAATGCGGAGAAAAGAAAGGCGCTGGCGGTGTCGAAGAGTTGGTTCGCAAGGTTCATTGGCCGGATCACATGAGCAACTGGGGTCGAAAGCTCGGCGGCGGTACTTTGCCAACATGCACGGGTTTGACGAAGCGCTGCCCATTTGGTTCGAACGGAGGAATAATCAGTTGGGATAAACGTGATTATGAGCTTCGAGCATTACGCTCAGTGGCTGAGGAAGGACGGAGTTTCTGTTCATGCCTGCTTGGGAGCGACAAGCATTAGTCCGGACTGCCCGCCTGGCTAAGAATTCAGGACAATGCCAAAGCGCAGATGTTTCACAAACGGTCGCAAACATGTTTTGAGTCAAACCGCCTTGCTGCAAACCTAGAGAGTTCAGACTTTTGGCAGGGTCGCTTTCAGCTGCTTTTTCGCTTTTATCCATGACGACCTTTGACCGGCAGAAAGCGATCCGCCATTTCTGACTCGTCTACAATTGGCTAGCTTTTACCGTCAAGAAGCAACCCGCCATTTTCTGACGTGTATGCAATCGGCTAAAACGAGTCATGGGACCCACCAGATGCACCGTGTGTGCGCTGACATTCCCCCCCTCGTGGTCAGAGTGGATGGTGAGGTACAGCCGCATGAGGTCGTAGAACTCGGGGTCGTCGAAGCCCAGCTGGTGAGCAAAGTTGGCGCCATAATCCAGGCTCGTGTCGGATGGAATGAGTTTCCCGCCCTTGAACGTGCTGCACAGAAATGATAGGCAAATGACATTAGAAAACGGCATAGCGTACGCTGGCAAGGTGAGCTTTTCGTCTAAACTGTAGGCCTTCTATCAAGAAGCGCAGGAGATAGTGTCGCTCTGTTTGGCGCTTCGTTTCTGTGCTCGAGAAACGCGCAAGGACAAGCTTACTGAAGAATGAATGAATTCGTTCGAGTCGACCGTACATGCTTTCCGAATATGACCGTGCTGCAAAACTAGGATTGTTTGAGATCCATTGTCCCTTGTGCACGGACCAGGGCGGGTCAACGGGCCAATTTCGCTCAAACCGCATCGATTGAATCACTTACAATCATCAAATTTGGACGCTTTGATATGAAACCCAGCGATTTGCGGAAGGCCAGAGATCGGAAGCGGACACTACAACAACTAGCCGTGCTTGAAAGTACTGACAGAAGGACGAAAGACAGCGGATCTCTGATGGATGGGCGCTCAACGTCGGCCCCAATCGAGAGCCGTTGTATCGATTGCCTGAAAACCACACAATATTGTTTGCCCCAGAGAACGTACGACCTATTGATTGGGGACCAATCCGTGGCTTCATGTAATACGAATACGCAAGTCTACAAATAGGGGAGGCCGCAGCGCTCAAAAGTTGCCTGCGAAGAATCTGGATCAGACTCCCAGCTTACTTTCTGTAGATGGTTGCGGCCAGTTCTGGCAGCTTGGCAATAAGGTTCATGGAGTCTTCGTAGACGGGGTCCCAATACCTGCAAGAGGCGAAGATTTCGTCAGGAGCCCTGTGAAACAATATCTGAGCGCATTCCTCCACTTGGAAAACTGTCGTTGACCAGCTCGTGGGATGCATGGCACTTGTTCGTCGTTGATACAGCCGTAAAAACGCTGTCACAATCAACAGAGGCAGCTAACCAGGGCTCCTGACCTCGTCCAAACTCCTCAATCGGTGAAGCATTGGACTGACGCACAGGTAAGCGCTAAGATTTCATCAAGCTCGACGACGAAGAAAGTAGAGAGTCAACGTCTTGCAGTTAATTTTGAATGACCGTAAGAGCCGGGTAAGGAGCGTAAGTGTTTGCAAGACCGGGCCCAGGACGTGTTCGTAAAGCTTCCAGTGGCCTTCATCCGTTGGATGGTCTTGAGGAACTCAATCTGACGGTGCGAAGGACATCCTGGGTGGCTTAGATAGAAACGGCGAGCTTGGCAACTCACAACTTCTTGCTATGTCCCTTCTGGTACGCCTCCGCGAACTTGCTTTCGCTCTGCACAACAAATGTAAGGATAAGTTATGCACTATGCAACTTACATGGATCAAGGCACTCCATCTGGTTATTAAGTGCAGAGTGCTGCCTGTTGTTCAATTGAATCGAGGCAGAAAAGCAAACGACACTTTCGGATCCTCACCTGCAGCGCCATAACACCGACAGAAAGCTGCGTCATGGGATGAGCTCCTTTTGGCAGCGCTTGCAGCGTGTCGTGCACGTAACCTGCGAGAATTAAATAGAAGTCGAAGATTGAAATCGACAGTGTTCTTTGAAGGAGGAAGCAGGCGCAACGTTGCAGGAATCCAGATCTATCCTTTCTGTGCCACAGGTTGGTGAGCAGTGTCCAGATATCAGAACTTGAAACGAAACTCCACAATTTTGCGGCCAGGCTTTGCATTATGATAAGCCTCCGTGGATTCCAACGGTGCAGTTCTGTGCCATGCACTGCCAGTATAGGCGCACCATCCACCATGGACATTGATCGTGACTTGCAGCGATCAGGAGTGACGGCTGTACCTGTCGCTCATCAGGCTCAGCACTGACCTCTCTTCAAGGCCCTTACTTTACCAAGAAAGCCGATCAGACTTCCAAGAGGCAACACCTCATGATTTGGACAAAGAGAAGCGCCAGACCAACTGCTCACCTGGTAACCCAGCTCGCGCCTTCAAGTCCTCAGACAGTGCAGACACTTGTTCCTTTGTGGGTACCTAATCAGGAATGAAGTTGGCTCAATTCATCTGAATCAAGGTCGCATTGGTAAAGTGACCATTGAGGGACAGCAGATGCTTCTCATAGCCTCGTCAGAAACCGTGCTCGACCGCCGATGTATGCACCTTTTCGTGGGCACCAGGCCCTTCAAAGTGCGCTTGAGTTGTTACTTGAAGCATCTGACCAGGACAGGAGCAAGAAAGCAGCTTCGAAAGCAGGCCACCAATCTGGACATCACAAGTGACAAGAAATCGTCATTACCTCGCCAGTAAGCAGGAGCCACAGCAGGCCCTCAGGAAGAGGCTCCCCCTTGTCAACTGCAGTTGGCAGCTTCTTCTGGAGCTCAGGAATGGACCAGCCGCGGAACCGGATACCCTGCACAAATTGGCTTCCAATTGACATTGGTACCCTTCGCAAGGTACTGCCTGACCGGCTTAGATCCCTCCAGGTAGCCCAACTTTAAAACCTTCCTCCGGGTGCTTCCTGATGATCTTGCCTTTGTTCAGCAGCAGCAATTGCAATGCTTAAGCGGGGCATGTTGGATCGCCTGCCGCACATATCTACAGCCGACAATAGGAAGTTCCAGGGATTTACAAAAGTTAACAGGACAATCTGATTTGCATGTATCAATCATACATCGAACGGCACTTTTATCCCTGGTAAATGTGTGATCTCCACGCAAGCCCCACTTTGTAAGCCCCACTTTGTAAGTGGATGACTTACAGACACCTGAACATTTGAACAGCCATCAGAGAAACTGTAGACACTTGATGACTTGGGAGTCATGTGGTCTAAATGATTGATGGAAGGGATTTTTAACCTAGATAGTCCATTGATAGAAGAAAGTTTTCTCCCTGAATGTCCAATGATTCTTCCGTATTGATATTGGGATTACATGCTCTGACCTTCCAACAGCCAGTGGTTCTGCAGGGTCTTAGAGTGGCATCTTAAAAGTTGTTGAATTGCGAATCCACTAATGACTGGTGATAAAAAGCACCGAAGCCTGCTATGATGACTCAGGTTTGGACATGAATTGGACTGGGAGGAGAAGAAAGGCACCTCTTCTGGATCAAGGAGTGACGTCTCCCAGAACATTCCCTTGATGCCGCGCATCCCTCCAATCGCCATGTCTAATGTATTTTCTCCAAGCACAACGCTCCCATACTTGGTCTTCAACTCCTTCAGCTTTGCCTGCAGGGGGAAAGCTCTCACTCAAATTCTGGGGCCTCAAAGTTCTGAGGATGGAGTATGGATGTAAGAATCTCAGTATGTGGTAAGACTGATGGAAGATCAGAGCAAGGGGAGAATCGACTCAGGTTCCAACCCACTGACAAAGAAAGTATTGAACCTCGGTCATTCTGATGTAGAAAGTACCCTCAAATATGATCAGTGAAAATCTTCCCTGGTTTGCAGCATGAACCTGGCAGTTTGAATGCATGCTTCACGAATGCATCACCCCAGGAAATCTTCATTTAGAACTGATTTGAAAGACATTCCAAGTGTTCAGAATACTGATGCAGGTTACTCCTCAAAGGTTCATTGAGAAGCTTGACAGAAGATCACCTGTTCTTCAGGGATCATATCAGCCACTCTGCTCTTCAAATCCTGCACAGGAACAACATAAAATTGATAAGCGGCACAAATTGGTCGATGAGAAAATAGCTTGAAGAAACAAAGTACAGCAATAGGCAATCGCGATTGTTGTGACCGCAATCCAAGATGCACCAGAGAAGTCTGCATTAAAGTCTAGGCCAATTGGCTCAGTCGACACGCAGAATCGTTAAAGTGTGCATGTTGATGGTCCAAAGAATTGATAGTTAGTTTGCCAGGCTTACTGTGGTGGTTGATGTCTGCAACAGTCTGGTCCATTGTCTTCCTCCAAGAGGGGCAAACTGCAAAATTGGAGATGAATGCTGCTATCACCTGGGAACAATGATCGATCAATCAAAGCAGCTGCAATCTCAACACAACACAATAAACTCGTAAACTGCACATGTGCCATGTCTGAGCACAATTGGAAGATAATGGCAGTGTGCTGGGCATCAGTGAGAGGTCCTTCCATCAATGCATGTTTTCAGCAGATAGTGAAATCTTGACAAACTCCTGCAATGGTCCATCAAGTGTATTTCCGACCGATTTAGCCTTGCATGAACTGCAACAAGGCAATTCCCTTCCAATGTGCACAATCCCCAAATCTCACCTCAGTCCCTGTTCTTCTCCCCGCCTGCGATAGAACAGCCCGGGCAGCTGCTCCAAGCACCATCTTGGCCCCCTGGATTCAGCTCCTCTCCGTCCCTGACGTGCCAAAACAGTGTGTGCCAATCAATGCCGCCTGATCTGCCGCTGCTGTCAAGCTGAATTGCGCCTCAAAAACAGAACCCCAGCCATGCAATGCTCTCTTTCTGCAGATCAGGATTGGCTTGCCAATGCAACTTGCAAGGTTGCACATGGGTTCCCAAGTCATAGGGTTGTTACATTAGAGATTTTGCGATCGAAAAACGGCCCGAGACCCATCAGCCGGACCTCCGGCTGACCTCAGCCTGTAAGAAATCTTGATCGGGTTGCCCACAATCCGATGCCCCTCAGGTCAGGCACTTTACGACCCGACCCGACATTTGCCCGAGCCCCCGACCGAAATCGGGGCCTCCGGCAGCCGCAAAAATTGGGCAATGTAACCAATAGGCCACTTGCCCGAGCCTGATCGGGCTCGGGCCGTCCCGGTTGGAGACTTTTCTCTCTCAAGTGTAACAACCCTATGGTCTGACTCGGACTCATGCGGGTTTTGGACACATTTGAGCATGGTATCCTTATCGGATAACGCGGCTGGGGGAAATGGACCCTATACGAAGCATCGTATAGGCTGCCCATAAGTGACTTGGTATTCCTCTGGAGTCTGCATGTGCCTCAGCTGCGCTCATGTCCTGGACTCGGAGTCGGACCTCGGCCAGGGGGACCAAACGCCAGGCAAAACCCTTGAAACCATGTTCCGAGCCGCCCGATGAGAAATTGCTCGTCTTGGACGGCTGCGATTGGACCAAATACATGTCCCGAGTACATTTTGGGTGGTTCATAGCAGAGGGTTAAGCTTAGGGTTAGCAGACGGTTGAAATGTATTTGCCCGTTAAATCCACCCTTAAACCAGCCCCTTTCTGCTCCTAAACGGCGTGTTGCCCGGAGCCAAAAACCCAGGGGTTTTGAAGCTGACCCTTTGGAGGTCTAATCCCACCATTGCCCGGTTCCGGGCAACACGCCGTTTGTCTGCTGGAACATGGTTCGTGTTGCATGGAAATTTGCCTGGGGTGTTTGGTCCCCCTGACCTCGGCTGCTCGGCTGGCAATTCGAGTGTCAAGTCGGGAAGAGAGGACACGGGAAAATGGCGCTTCGCCAGCCGCTTGGAGCTTCTGATGGCTACTTGATGCGCAGCGATGCCACTCCCTGCAGCTTGCTTACCAATCAGCTGGCTAAGATAGGCTTCTGCGGTGGCGCTTTTCTGGGTCTGCCATTCTGCTACATAAACTACGGTGAGTCAGCACCCTCAATGGTGCTTCGTAGATGGAGATTTTAAAGTTCCAGTCTGTCGAGGGCACAGGTGTGAGATTCTGAATGACATTGCGGTTCTTTCTAGCGTTCACTGTACTTCTATTCATCCTGCGTCATTGTGCTTGTGCAGGCCCCCGCTTTACGTGGCCCCGGGCCTTTCGCTGGATGGCTGGCGGCGCCGTGCTTGGAGCTGGCTTCCTGGTTGTCCATACTATTCTGTGGGAGCCTGCTTGCGAACTGCAGAACATACAGGCTTACGACTCTCCTGAAGGGGTTATTCGCAGCTCAGGCAGCCAATCAGATGATTAAGAGCAGTGTGACAGTTTCATTACATATTCAGAGATCTCCTTTTCCATGGGGTCCTCGCTTGTCAGCGAAGGCATCTGGCGACTCAGCAAGTGACCATTACCAGCTGGGTGATTGAGGAGGTGTGGAAAATACCAGAGGGTGAGTGATTAGTAAGTGGTGGTGGTTGCAACCATTGTTTCCAGAGCCGTTGTTTGAATCATATCTGTCTTACTTAATGAACTGATGAAGGCATCATGCACACTGGTTCGACTTGCAACTGGCTCAAAAAACCCTTGCACACTAACGGGTAAGAGAGACTCTATCTGCTCCAAATTGCTCAACCGACAAGTGCCTTTTACTATCAAGTGTAGAAGTTACTGTAGCATCTTCACCTGATTGTTGGAGTATTTCTTATGTTTGCACTAGTAGTGCCAACTTCGATTAGGTGTGCCCTTCTAGAAGGTGGTGGTTGTGGCAACTTTGTTGGAGGTCATTCGCGCAAGGCTACGGCTCAGCGATCGGTTTCCTCTCGTTCCCTGTTGCCCATATAATCTGTCCTTCACAGGCTGGCTCATCTTTTCTCATAGATGAGCCATATGCCTGCACTTGAGATTCGACACCTTGAGTGTGGACAAGATCGACCTTGAGGTCTACAAAACATGCGTCGTGATCATTACAGAAAAGCAAACTTTGTGCGCATGTCTGGTTCAAAGCACACTCTGACTTCCAGCTGACATTGGATTTTGTTCTACAGGCACTTTACCAGTGGTAACGTCATCCACTGGCCGACTCCCAAATCCTACCCACCTCTCTTGAAAAGTGAGCTCTAAATGTCCTTCAGCATTTCTCTCTGACAACTTGCCCAGCGACGTTGTTCTGGTCAATGATATTCTGCATTTATAGATTCGCTCAACTGCGGACTGGAATGGTTGACGGACAGAGTCAGCCTGGTTTTCTAATTGCTGATACACGTTGCTTGACCTTGTTCCAGACCCATCATTCTTTTCCGGATGGCAGACCCTCATGAATAGGACCGGTGAATTTTTGCTGAAGAAAGGTCTTCAAAACTGTTGTTTGCATCTTCGGGGGAAACTCAGTCTCGTTTCTTAAGATGGTTCAAATGCACTTTAATGAGGGTCGCATGGTGATGATGAGACTATAGATCCCGACACTGGGCCAAGCCTTTGTGTGTGAGGGGCTCAATACTTGAGCTGTGGTACTGAGCCATGCTTCCATAATCCGCATATCTTGACGCTCCACATTTGGAAAGTGTTTGTTCCATGTCTATAGTGAATTGCTCCTTTTTTGATTCTTTGCTTAAGTCTTCTTTTTGCTGGATCCCCATCTTGCTTTGCTTCGGCTTTTGTTCTCTCATGTTGGTATATAGTGGTCATATTGGCCATCTTGAAGGGAATAAACATCCTACTTTTTCATCACGCATATATATAGTCTGCGATTGTGGTGAGTCTCTTCTTGGCGGGAACATTGAGCCGCATGCGTCCTGGTTGTGCACGGTCTTTGGAAGGCAATGATGATTCTAATCTATCAAGGGTAATTTGCGACTGACCCCTTGTGATGACAACACTGATAGCTGAGCCTTCCAAGATCCACATCAAGGACACTTTACTAGATTCGTCTCGAATGGTGCTCAAAACAGTCCTCAGTCGAGCAACATTTTGTTTCGTCCCTGCAGATATGACGAAGAAATCAGAGGCGGCGGACCGATGGTCGTTTCTGCCTTCAACTCAGGAGGCGGGAAAGATCCATAGGAGGTCACAACATGTGTGTACTCTAAATGCAACGTTTTTACGATAAGACCCATAGGAGGTCACGACATGTCTTTACTCCGAACGCAGCGTTGTTACGATTTCAAACGCATATACAATTCTTGTTGTTGAGAGTATGGGCCCCTTGCCATTGCATAGAAGCATAGGGGTTGGGGTCCAAGTTCGCAAGTAGTTCCTCTCAGTTGTGTACAGAAGTTTGGTGAATGCTTGCTAATGCAATGTGCTTTAGTGCTATTGGACTGCTTGAGCAACTTTTATCCAGCTGATCTGTCAGACTCTTTGGATACTATCAGCCGCATATGCATAAATGATTGAAAGGTAGATGACCAATATCCCTCAATCAAATACTGGCCGCCTGGCAAATGTCTTGGCAATTAGATGCATATTGTTCTCACATCATGGATGGTGTCTTAATTTTCAATGTACTGCAGCCAAACAGGCCACAGAAGGCGTCTCATGGTGCACAATGTTTTGGATCAATCATCGTGCTTATTAACGCCACATGAGCTTCATCATGAAGTCCAATCAAAAGAGTGCTTCTAATACACAACGCATGCGGTTATGGAAAGAACAATTTTCCGGCAGATAAAGTCTGAAATCGCACATGCATATACTTTCAATCTAATACACACCAACTTTCGATCCAACGGTCGTTTCTAGAGCTGTCCTAGTACGCAGTGGGTGCCATATGGAGCACAAACTTCCAACCATGCATGTGCGCCTAGTGAATGGCATGGATAAGTGCATCTCGATGGAACACTTTAATGTGGTCGATCCAGTGAACTGGCCGATATCGCCAGCGTCACAAATTTGTGCTTCATGCAAAGGCCGGTGCTCTATAGCTTGCTAATAGATATCAATACATACCAAGATTTGTTGAATTCATCCAGTCGTACTGACACGTCCTGTGGTGAGCATTATACCTCCAGAACCCCTTGTATTTCTCCCTCCAAAACTTGTAAGGCCGGCCTTTGACCCAGTTGTTGTGTAGAATGATGCATCCCCTCTTCTCGCAGAACTCTCTCGTGTCCTGTTTCTCCCATATATAACTAGTGGCACCATTTGGAAACGATGTTCTATTTAAGAAGACCACACGGAGGCCATTATAGAACTCGCACGCGTCGTCACCAACTTTCCGGCTACCTTCCGCTTGGCACAACACGTGGTGGAAGCTCGGCTGCAAGAAGGCAAGAAAGATGCGGACGTCAGGTCTAGGCCAAAAAGATGCGGACGTCAGATCTGGAGTGCACCAACTCCCACTGCAACAACTCCCTTCTTAGTGCGTCCGATCTTCCATATGCAAGGGACCCCCTTCTTAGAATGCACCACTTAGGTTTCCTCTGCTTCTCCAAAGCCTCCAAAGCTGACGAAAGTAAGAAGCCGTTTGAGACGAAAGACGCTGGTCATCGATTTTTACTTGCCACACAGCTTCGAGAACTCAAACTAGCACATTTTAAGCCCAGTTGCCACATCAGCGCTTACGAGATGAAGCGTACAAGAACGTGGCGTCTTTCCTGGAACCGCGTCTGTTCCAACGAAAGCCGGACTCAAATCGCCTTCCCAAGATAGACTGTCAAAAGTAAACCTGATCCACGGGCCAACTTTCGCTTAAGCAAAGCTCTATCCGACTACAGGACGAGTAAGCAGGCAGTATCTCACCTGCTCCGACAGCTGTGTGGTGGCGGCGTGGTCGGCAATTGCAGTCAGCGCCTCGATGGTCGTGGCCTCGGCGCGCGCGAGGTAGAAACCCGAATTGAAGCGGCGCTCGTCGTTGGCAGGCCCAGAGTCGTTGTGCTGGTCCGACTGCAGAAGAGGATTGATCAGAATACAGGGTTAAACCACGGCAGGATACTCCAACGTCGGCTTATACTTCAGAACAGGGCCACAAGACAATTTCTAAGTGGGGTTGTTAGTGCGATTCGACCGCCCCAAACCAAAACAGTTTCCTCGTACAAACCAAGCAAGTAGGGAGAGACTGCCGCAGAACTGCGAACATGTGGTCTGAGGAAGGTGAACGGAACGAAACAAGAGGCCGAAGGAAAGTCAAAGGAAAGACGGCGTGTCTGCAGGGGTTGACAAGATAGCATATGCTCGCTTATTCAGCGGGGAGTAGTCACAAGACCGAGAGAGGGGCAAGAAGACGGTCAGTTTCGAAGAGGAAGCCGGACGGACGGACGAATGACGGACGGAGGACGGAAGTACAGGCTCTGGCAAGTCGCAGATTGATCGTATGCAAACACAAACTTTGCAGCACGGGGACGGCGACTGGCAGAACGAACGGAAGACACGCTGTTCCACAGGCTAAGTCAGACTTCCAGCTGCGGCTTCGGCTCAATTCAAGCACTTGAACTAAGCATAAGAAAAGAGTGCTGAATGTTGAATGAAAGGCAATGTCTTACGCCCTAAACTGCGTCCAACCGCACAGAACGTCGTCTTACTGTTGTTACTAACAAGAGCGGTACACGGCACAACCAGAACGAACAAAACAAACAAACTAGACCCTTTTTGAAGTCTTGAACCCCACAGCCTTGAACCCCACAGAAGACACTAAACGGTGCAAAGGGTTCTTTTTATAAGGTCTTCCTCTGATCAGCAGACTTTTTGGGGCATCATTTTTGGACGAAAGATTCTCACCTGCCCCGTGAGCGTGTTCGGCCCGTAGCCGAGCATGATCGGCGTCGGGTCACGGAACCAGATGACGTCAACGTCTGACATCAGCACGTTGTACCCCAGCTTCAGCACCTTGATCACCGTCCGGCTCTTGAGCTTCGTGACGTCACGGAAGCACTGCGTTCCGAAATGGCAGTCGTCGGGGGATATGCTCCCGTCGAACAGATCCTTGAAGACGGGAAGACCTTGCTCGGACGCGTAGCGGTAGATCTCGCTGTCGACCGCGCCCACGATCACGTTCCGGATGCCGAGCGCCTGTAAGCGGCACACGAAGCTCAGGAGCATCTCCCGGTAGTTGTTCGCCACCACGACCAACGTCACCGTCCCCCCGGGTGACGTCACCAGGGGCAGGAGCTCCGCTAAAGCCATGGGCAGCCCGACCGGGGCGTGCGCACGGGGTGTGAAAAGCCTCTCCGGCTGCACCATGTCGTGTTCACACTCCTCCACTTCGAACGGAACCGCCCAGCTGTGAATACCCTCCTCCCGCTGGAAAAAGCACAGCTCCCCGCCCCCCCCTTTGCACGGCCCCAGCCGCCAAGGCGCCTCCCGGTGCGCAGCCCCGCTCCCAAACGTCCCGTAAGATTGCGCCAGGTGGCGGTTCAGCGCGACCTCCCATCCGA